GCTCTCTTACGCGGCAAGGCGCTGACGATGTTCTAGTCTCGAAACCGTCGACGTGCCTTTTCCAAAACCGCTTCCAGGTGAAGTGGTGGTGCGAATTTCGTGTGCGTCCTTGAACCATCGAGATTTGTTTGCCCGTCAACGACTGTACCGGGGGGCCACTCCCGGGGTACCCATCATGGCAGACGCAGTAGGGGTCGTTGTATCTGCCGCAGCTGAAGAAATCGAAAAACAATGGTTGGGGAAAAGGGTTCTTCTGGCGCCGGCCAGAGGGTAGGTGGTTACGGCCCCCTGTCAAGAAGAATTTCTTCAAGGCAAGCTAATAACACCCATGCCTCTAGCTGGAAATGTGATCCTGCGGGTCCCGAGTCTGCTTTTTCTATTCTCGGAGGGACGGTGAACTTGAAGAACGGCAGTTGTCAGGAATACATTGCCGTGCCCGCCGCAGAGATCGAGCTGTGCCCGGCACATCTCTCTGATCGGGAAGCGGCGGCCATTCCACTCGCAGCACTCACCGCATGGAGAGCAACGTTTGCCAAGGCCGAGGTCAAGCCAGGACAGAATGTCTTTATCACGGGCATTGGTGGAGGCGTCGCCCTATTCTGCCTTCAGTTTGCACTTGCTCGCGGCGCGGTAGTCTATGTTTCGTCTGGCTCCGAGGACAAATTGTCCAAAGCGAAGGCTCTAGGTGCCACGGCAGGAGTGAACTACAAAGATTCTAAGTGGAGTGAGCAGCTGAAGGACCTTCTTCCACAGGAGAGACCGTACCTGGACGCAATAATCGATGGAGCCGGCGGCGACATTGTGTCGAGGTCCCTACACCTGCTGAAAGCCGGGGGCATCATTTCCTCCTACGGTATGACCCTTGGTCCCAAGGTGACTTTTAGCATGTCCGCCGTAATGAGGAACATCGAGGTTCGTTTTCATCTCCTACTTTCCATTTCCTTTTCTCTCTTTCCTGAATCTGCGCTATAGATTTCTAGTTGGGCTGACACGAGATGGCCCCAAACAGCTGAGAGGTTCAACCATGGGCTCCAGAGAGGAATTCCGGAAAATGGTGGAGTATGTCTCAGAAAAGAGGATCAAGCCTGTTGTAGATTCAGTCCACGCATTCGAGAACGTTGAGGACGCCTTCACGTTGATGAAGGAAAGGAAGAACTTTGGAAAACTGGTTATTGAGATTCTCAGCGGCAGAGGGTCTCCGAAACTTTAGATATGGAATACATGCCCATGGACATTTTGGTAGCCCTACAGCTTTGTCTATTATACTACTCCAATATACCAAGAAGTTGAACGTGTGAAATCTTGAGGCGAATTCCTTCTATCTTTCCTGTGCCATATTTGTGGGATGTTGAAATGAAGCATAGAATTGGATTGTATTGGGGTCCAAGCTCCTCAATCGCGGTCTACTAATGAGAGACTACGCCTCCGTCAACGATGAGGTCAGATCCGGTGGTATATGCCGACGCGTTTGATAAGAGCAACACTACAGCACCTTTGAGATCTCGACGGTCTCCCATGCGTTTCATAGGCACATTGGCACAGAGCTCCTCCAGTATATTGGGGCGCTTGTCAATGTCTCGAATTGCCATGTCGGTCAACATGAACCTGACATACCATGTGTCAGCGGGGAACACTGCAACATCTGACCTCGAAGTTGAAGGAGGGCTCGAAGAAGAGAGGATTCATCATACCCAGGGCTTATGGTGTTGACTCTGATTTTGTAAGGCACCAGCTCGTCTGCGATTGCGCGGCACAAAGATAACACGGCGCCTTTGGACGCACAGTAACCAGACACTGATCTCCCGGGCACCGAGCAATGAGCTGCGATGGAAGAGACAAGGAGGATGCTTCCGCCGTCGCCTTGTGCAATCATTTGCTTGGCAGCTAGTTGCGCGGTGTAACATGTTCCCAGAACCTAGGGTCGGGAAGGTGAGCTTTGTTGGGTCTGTCATCTAGGGACTCTTACATTGACTGTGAGGATCGACGACAGATCGTCTTGGGTTTGCTCGAGGAAAGCCTTATCCTTCGCGATTCCTGCGGCCGTGACACTGACCTGTCGCGTTAAGACTGAATCTAGAATGTCCAAAGACGTGCTCTCCTACCAATGGTCGATGCGGCCGAAATCTTTCACCACCTCCGCAAACGTCTGCGTGAGCAGTTCAAGGTTCGTGACGTCTGTTCTAGTGATCGACTTGGGCATGAGCATTGCAGCAAACCTTCAATGGAGGGTTTTACCAGCTCACGCACCGGTAAAATTTAGCTTTGACCTCTAACTCGTCATGTAACAAAGCGAAATCTTCATGAGGCTTCTCCAGTAAGTCCAAGGCCGCGATGTTAGCCCCGACCTCTGCGCAAGCCCAGGCAAAGGTCAGGCCGAGGCCTCGAGCACCACCTGCGGCAGGTATGAGCGTTGGAAGTGTTCACTGAAGGTGAGTGGAGATGGCTACTCACCGGTTATGACAATTGTTCTGCCTTTCAGGGAGAATAGATCGGTGACAGATGTTTTGCGATAAGAATCCGCATTCACAGGTGACGCAGACATGGTAGTCTGATATATAGATTTGATGGTGATGAGATCAAGCCACATCGATGTCTGGCACAGCTTCAATTCAACCGCCGAAAGTGATTTAATTATGAGTGAAGTTATCTTGTTTCTAGCACTTTGTCAATCACGACCGGCAGCTGGAGAAGGCATCTTCATCCAGGCTTGGAACTTACAACTCGAGGCGAAGCTGCCGCCATGAACCAAATCCGGGTCGCGAACCGTGGTATCCGGAGGAAAATCAAGGGTTGAATACAGTCGTAACTGGTTCCTCGGTTACATCTTTATGGCGCTTATGCAGCACGACAAGTCTGAGGTAGACTTGATTCCTGTCGGAAGGATAGACTCTCGCATCCTCTCCCTACTCTACGAAAGGAAGAATTCTAGTCACCTGTAGCTACTGTAAATCTATCTGTCTATTCACCTCGAGTTCAAAAAAGGACAATAGTATAGTCCTTCCAATTCATCAACCTCGGCGCATATACAATTTCAAGTCAATAGCACGGGTTATTCCTCCCTGACGATAGCATCTATAGTCCCTGCTTATCTACGGTGCGCGGAAAGCACTCCGCGGTAAAGTATCCGATTCGTCTCTTGGTCCGTTCGCTCTCCTGACCAGCAAAGACAATATTAAGCTCGGAAAACTGAGGTACCTTGCGGCGGTTCGATAGGAATATGTACATATCTAGTGTATCCACACGCGATGGATGTCTAAGCTGCGTAATATTATCTAAAAGTCTACTTCTTACTTATAGTAATAGGCTTACGGTTCAGAACGCAGATCTCGTCGCTTGGTTCCTCTCTTACTGTGCAAATCCAAATTCTGAACTCAGACTTAACTCCATTGTCATATGCCGTTCAATTTGCGCCGTCCTACGTTATTAAGACACTCTTCGACATAGTGGCTCAATTTTTGCAGAACAACTCGTTCGCTATGCTATCCGTCGTGATTAACCAGATTGCCTCGAAGTCCTAGATTATCTCCTCCATAAGGGTTCGTTTACTAATGACGTGATATATCAGAATCGGGTGGATTCATATCGACTACAACAAGCAATTGAACTTGGCACTCCTCTTCATGAAGCAGCTTGGCGTGGGAAGCTGGAGTTGATGCAATTTCTACTGGAGAAAGGCGTAGATCCAAACATCATAGACGCCCTTGGGTAGATAGTTATTTAACGTGCTGAAATCTCCTAGTGCTTAGAGGTGGCTGACTTTATACGCCGCACCGCGTCGATCCTCCCACAGTCAGTGTAGAAGAACAAAGTTGTTACCCGCCTACCTATTTTATGCCTCTCAAGCTACGACGCCGGAAAGCATTTTGGGATTGAGTATAGTTTATTCATAGACTGTGTTACATGAAGGGCCAAAAATGAAAAGAAGTGGACGCCGAAACCGAGTAGTTTTGGATATACGGTAGCGGCAGTGTGGTTGACGGAGATAGAACACTCTTCTGGGTGCTAAGAGTGTGGCCTTATCAGAACTTGACGGGCGACATTACGTCGAGTGGGATCATGGCTTCCTGGGCTGATCTGCTATCAGAGCGCATACCAAACCTAATCTTCTTCCAATGGTCTTTTGATCTTGTGTTTGTCTCTCTTTCTGATAGGCGGACATTTCAAGGTGCGCGAGCTAGTATAGAACGATTATAACAATTGCAAGACAAGTCTCACAGGAAATCAAACTGATAGGCGTTGAGGGTGTAAACAAACAATTTCGAAACATATCTAAATAAGCCGTCCGTCTTGACTTGCTAACTCTCCTTCCAGCTTGCTTCCCTCAACGTAGTTGTCACGAGATGAGTTGGTATTGGCCGTAAGGTAGAGCCCAGAATTTGATGGGTTTTGCTGACGATATGATCCAGACGACGTATGGTGCACACGGTACGCAAAGAAGTCAAACCAGCATACCCACCAATTTCCATCAGACTTCTGATGGGTCATTGCCACTACAACCCAATCAGGTTTGGTGCATATCATGTCTTCACACAGTGGCACACCTTTTGTGCGAACAGCATGTAGTTCGGTTTTCCTTCGTCTCTTTCACAGATTCAATCCAAGCTAGTCCAATAATACCAGCGTGGTAAGGACAGGGAAAAAGCCGTAGGCATTGCTGTCGTCCTCCGGCTCCCGAGTATCGAAGCTCTCTGCGGTTTGTATGTGGCTTGAGCCTCCTAGGTGAAATGTTCATTCCTTACATAAAACCGTTTCGTCTCTACTTTCTGTCTCGAGATATGTATTGTTCAGTGCAATGTGCCGAACACGGATGGTCTACACCAGTGCGGACGATGACCGCCGTATTCTAGCAGAAGATACTTTGAAAAATACATAATGGCAGCCGAATGAATGTCTTTCGAAAACAGGTGGACCGCGTTAAACCCATGCTCCATGACGACCTAAATTCTATTGTTTGAAAGTACGGCCGGTGCCGATGCATACGGTAAAAATCGCTTGGACGATCAGAAAGACGCCGACACTCCAGAACGTGATGTTGAAGACGTTGATGATAGCGTATGCTTTCTTCGATCCTCTGACTCCCACATCCTCAGGACTTCCTCCCTCTGAACTGGGTTCTGCTTGCATTCTTCCATGACACCATTCAACAACGCAGAGACGATGGTATCGCACGTCGACCTGCTGGCGTGCTTCGACACTTCCATGTAGATGCCCTTCAAGGTGTAGCCGGGCACACCTATCATGGCGGCACCAGGTTTGACCAAGACACCAAGAGCTCCAGATACCAGGCCTTTGGCCAGACCTACGGGTCCTTCGTTGTAGGTGCAGATGATAGGCTGGGTAATCAGACCCGTGAAAGCATCGTAAAAGCCCAGCCCGAGCTCCCTCCCAGCCTCCAATATCCCCTGAGACAGGTTCTGGACCTTTCTGTTCTTGCGGATGGTTGTGTCACCGTAGAGCAGCGGGGCGTTATGAAAGCCTTTTGCCATGGAAAGGCTCAGATCCATAGGGGTTTGGATGATTTTCAGCACCTTCGCAGCCATTTGGCCGTCGCCGCGGCCTTTCCTTGACGCAGATGAATTTGTGGGCTTCTTCAGGGATCCGGGTTCTATATCATCGAAAACAAATTTTGACGAAGAATTGCCGGCTGTAGGGTTCGCATTGTTGCTGTAGTGTCGCAACCCTGTATGCATCTCGCCGAGGGCAGTCGTCAAGGGGGACAAAGACGGATCGGTGACATAGGAGTGGCCGCTGATTGAGCCGGTTTCGTCTTCTTGGGAACGATGAGGTCCTCCTGGACTCACTGCCCCAAGGGCTGGATCCGACGATTCAAGTGACACCGGTCGGGCCAAACACTCTCGGGATACTCCACTAAAGAACGTAACCATTCTCTGTATTCCCTCGAAAAATACTCCGGCGGTTCCTGTGACAGGATCCCAGGGGCCGCGGTCGGTGTCGTAAGAGCACGGTCCGTATAATCGCAGGTCCGAGATGTTGATCTTGCCGTCGTTGACCAGAACCGCTGCTGCGAAAGGCGATAGCTTTTGCTTCGTTTTGCTGTGCTTTAGCATAGCCACTCTAGACGCAGTCATCTCGCATGGCGAACATTGCGCGTTGAATTGAGATTGGACGATCGAGGCTGTTCTCTCTGCGGCCGAGTCTGAGCTGAACTTTTCGCCGTAGGCAGCCACGGTCTCTTTCACCTTGTGATTGAAGGCTCTAAAGAGAGCGCTTGCCAGATTGGAAGAATTCAAATCCTTGAACAGTATGGGCTGCGGTGACAGCCCCCGCCTGGAAGCAATTTGACTCCAAAAACAATCTTCGCTGTCTCGAGGGACTAAAACCGACGGCTTTTTTGCGCGGAGGGCAGCAGCCAGCATCCCAATGGACCCATGGTGCACAACGCACGAGACCCGTGGTAAAAGCCATTCCAGAGGACATTCATCCAGAAGAAAGACCTTCGTGTCAAAAACATGCTCTTCCACATTGATGATGCTTTCACGGCTTAAAAGGACCCTTCCACCAGATCGACAGATTCCGTCCAATAGAAGCTGAAGCAAACGTGAAGCTTCTCCTGAAGAATATGCAACAAGGTGGACGAATATAGGCGCCGGATTATGAGCCAGGAAGTGTGCAAGCGCTGCTGGAGGTACGTACTGTGGAGCCTCAAGATGAAGGAATCCAGTTACGTGAATATTCTCATCCCAATCTGAAGGGGTTGGAAGCAAGGCCGCCGGCCAACAGTAGGTGTGTGGTATCAACAACTTCTGAGCCAGATGTACTGCCGAACCCATCCCAAGCGGCTCGAGGTGAAGCACATTGGTCCGAAAATCGTTCACCGCTGCACCCACATCATGCCACGCAAGCGCCTCGACAAGGCTGTACGAAAGAAGGTTGGACGTTCGTCTGTCTTGGTCTTGGAATTTAGAGCCATTCATCTGTGGATGCTCGAATAGCTTAGTCGGCGTCGACGGTCGGGTATGCATGATATGAAGCGGAATCCCAAGTTTTTCCGCGATATGTATGCTAGCTAAGCTGGTTGGATTTGCGACAATGGCATTAGCAACAAAGGGCGGCGAACGTGAGTCGGCAAGACTGCTATTGGCGCAATCGACGATGTTCGACTGAGACTTTCGCCATCTCGGCATGTGATCAAGGTCAGTGCAGCAAAGCCAGAAAGCTGCCAAGAGGCGCTGTAAATCTGCTTTTTGCAATTTTCTGATGGAACTTGACGTTCCAGAAGGGAGGCCTACGTCGTAGTGCTCAAGCCCATTTTCAGTGACGAGGTCGTGGAAGTCCGAGTGCGTAGCGAGGCGGATGCGGTGACCGTATTTAGAGCGCATGGTTCGTCCAAGCACAATGAAAGAGGCAATCTCGTGAGCATCTCCTAATGCAAGGAAGGCAAGATTCATCGAGGCATAGCGGTCGACTGCAACAGAAACTGCGCGCTGTTCTGTCCCTGAAGCAACAGTGGATCGTGTTGCCGACGTTGACTGTCGTGAAGATGGACCACTGGAAACTGCAGCATGATCAGGTAATTCTGACTGAGGTGACTGATGACCAGGTGGTTGATGACCAGGCGATTCATGATCAGGCAATTCGGCGAGAAAGTGAACGATATCTGCAGCGTGATCTTGGACTGTCCATCCCGCTCTTTCAGCCTTCGACACCGCACTCGTATCGTTTGACGTGTCACCATTAGGGCCCAATATTTGTTCAGCACTTGGAGACTGTTGGTACTCCGGTGGGGGGTCCAGATGAAGAAGCGTGTTTTGCCTAGGGCGTTCTTCTGACTGTTTGTCGGCGGGGAAGGTAGAATCCTCCATGGTATTGTGCAACCTCTCCAAGATATGCTGCTTCGGTGAGGCGCAGATACTTCTTTGTGGCTTAATGAAGGTCGTTGAGAGACAGACTGTTACCGACGGGGTTGGAGACAGAACAATGGATGGAGAGAATTGCAAAGAAGCTATGCGACGTGAATGTGCACCAGAAAGATCATCTGCTGGGATGACCTGACAGTCAACGAGCGTAAAGTCCTCCCGCCATCTCAACCCTCCAATAGGCTTCTGGCCAGCACTGTTGTGGACAGGACTGCGCGAGGAAGGGCCGAAACAAACCTTCGACATTGAAAATACTATCATAATATGCCGTTGATGCTATTTATTGGTCCAGATGCGAAGTGCCAAGTTTCTCTTTAATTGCCGCGAGTTCTGGTTCGAACCCGAACCCGAACACGGACACGGACACGAACACTGACGCGCGCACGCGCACAGACCTCTTGATATCGAGGTCTTATGAAGACGACCCGGATTGACAGATGCAGCTTTCACCGGGTGTCAGACTATATTTTCTCGGTTCAGCAGTCCCTCCAAATTGCACGCCGTCGGCCGAGTAAATTTGGGGAACTGCGAGATCCAACTATTTACTCAGCATTTCTGGTGACATCTCATCAGAAGAAATAACACTTGTAGGCCAGCTCAGCCACTCCTGCCACCGATTTCCGAGATACGCGTTGATATGCTTCAGCAATTTCCTGCCTGAGTCGCCAATCACCCAACTTCCTCTCCTTCGATGCAGTATGACGGCATAAGACGCGAGCAATGCTAATGCTTCAGGTCGTCGTGACTCGAGAAGGTCGACGAACTCGGGCTGTGCGCTGATGAGCCAAGAGAAGATCATATTTGTACTCTCTTTTACCGCCTCGCCGAGCGCGTTCTCGGCGTCGAGGAAGCTTTGAAGCCGCGAGAGTGATTCCGTACAAATGGCGATTGACGTGGGGCTCATATCAGCAAAACTGATGAGTTCTCGAAGTCTGTTGCATTCACCACGCGATTGGTATTCGGTATTGTGCTGATGGATATGGGAAGTCTGCATGATAATGCCGATTTCTGACTGCCAAAGAAAATCCCACCAGTCTTGGGTGACAGAGTCGATCCCTCGCAAGAGCCTTATACAGCTGATTAAGCGATCCATAAACTGGGTGTAATCATCATCAATGATACTAAAGGTATCGCAAAAGACGTGCAAGGCGATGACGTGCTGGAACAGGAGGACATCCAAAACGTTCGAACGATCGACATCGTGCGGGAAGATTGAGCGGAACCCCTCTAGCGCCGAGGACTGCAGAGCAGTAGCTGTGGCGCGGTAGAACTCACACGACTGTGGACGCTTCAAGGAAAGATGCAAGGAGGATAAGGCCAGAATGGCTTCCATGAGAAAAGAGCGTTGAAACGCAAGACGAATGATTGTGCGGCGGTAGATGTCGATATGGGCCGAGTTCCAACAAACTGTCAGGCAAGTTTCACGTTCATAATGGTAGAAAAGTTCGAGATGTAGCATGTTGACATCGGAAGCCAAGCATGATGTTGCAGCTTGTACAGCCACAGGCGAGAGGACGGATGTGTTCCCCTCAGGCGACGCCGCCGGTCGAGGCTGCGAAAGGGCAACACTTGTGGGACTTTGATCGGTCGACGAGGCATCATGAGTGAATGAAGACAGTGCACTGGAGGATCGACTGAGTGCTGGTATGGAATAGACGCATTGCCGATCGGAAAAGGTGCATTTTATACATCTGGGCCGCGTCTCGTCGCACTGGCCATTGTCATTGTCATTAGGTGCTTCATTCAAAACCACGAGCAAACTGTGCGCGCCTCTGGAAATCGGCGCATGACGACCACCCTGGAACGGCTCACCTTGACATGTCTCCTCTTGCATTCCTTACACCCATCACGAGACTTTTTGTAGCTCTTGCGCGCCATTGTGGTCGCTTTACGTCACGTGGCCCATCTAATGTTCCCGGAGGAGCATGATCGACAACTTGTCCACATTGTTGGGTTCTTGCATGGTCGATTTCATATTTGCGGCGAACAGAGTGAATGCTCTCGTGGTAAAAAGCTGCCTGGTTAGAGGAAGGCTTTTGTTTCTGAGTCTGAGGCTGCCGTCAAAAATCCCAAAACTTCAAACGCCAAAGTCCAGGCATCAACAAATGGATGCCAAGCCGGGAACAAGCAAAAGGACTCGGCATCGTCACCAGGCTCCCAACATTCAGAGCATCAGGATTGAAGGACGCTTCTTCCCCTTCGTCCCTTTCCTAAGGCAACCCAGCCTGTCCGTGAGGATTACTGGATCTTCTGCGACTAAGGTACAGTAATTTGGCATCAAAGCTTGGTTTGCAGCATGCACAACATTGACAAACTGTTCGATAGGCATGAAGTGCGCTATAAAATATAAAGCAATCAGACAACTTGTACTAAATGAATGCCATAAGTTCCATAGGCATTCGAAACTCAGGGCTCCCATCTCTTATCTCTCTCTAGTCAGACCCGGTGTAATCAGCATCTTTATAAGAATGGCACCCAATCCATCAATGCTGCAAGCCCGAAGGCCATGGCAGCAGGTGTCATTACATTTCCCACGCATTTGCCACCCATGTTTGCCGTTGCAGATGTGGAGGTCGCTGCAGTTGTCGAGGGATTGGACGTGACTGTTGCCGAAACCATCGTGGCCGAGGCAATCTCACTTGAGATGGAGGCAGCGATTGAAGAGTATTGTGCCAATGTATCAGTGCCGGTGACAGTAGCGGTGGCTGCAGAGAAAGCAGATGCCGCAGACGACAACTTGGATCCGTAGTCGGTATTCGAGCTCGCAAAGAGAGACGACTGGAGAGCAGAGCCCTCGGAAAGTAAAGAATTTAGATCTTGACCAAGGATTGGGACGGTCGCAGAAATAAAGACAAATAAGGTCGCTGCGAGATGCATTGTATAAGGGTTTGTCCCGAGATGGGAGTACACAGGCTCGAAATGGGGCAGGTTTGGGAGATGGAAGATGGAGGTTAAAAGTTGAACTATGTGACAGCGCGTTTTCTGTCACTTGTGCATAGAGAAAATGGAAGGCTGAACTTACCGAATCCCAGCAAAACACGTCTTATACTTATCAGTTCGCCGGACGAAAGAATTGGGTTTTGTGGTAGTTCGAATTCTTCGAGTTAAACTCGGATCGAAAGAGTGATCGTTGAGAACGTTGCTCCTCGTGTTCGGTTAGCCTGATTTCCGACTCGACTTCGGGTCCGCCGGTAAGAGCTGGAATCTGTTGATGATGCGAAGTCCCCTGCTCAGCTCTGAGCCAACACCGATTCAGCCCAGTGATAGTAAAGTCCCAGATTCGAGCAGACCTCGCAATACGAGGCGACGGACACAAGGCCATATAGTGGCTACCTAAGCCCAGACATCGAATACGCGTTTACTCACGCCAGCGGTGTCTGTACACCTTCCAAACAGGATAAAGGCCCATATTGAAAGCTACGGGCAGCAGCAAATATCAGAAGTGAATTTGGTATTTATATAAATCATTATTTGGTCCAAGAAGTCAGCTCCTTTATCACAAGATCCTCACAACTTAGGGAATGAAACTTCCTCATCCACCATTTAAAATTCCAGCCAATCAATCAATCAATCAGTCCAACAGCAACACCACCACCACCAGCAGGCTCCTCCGTTCTTGACCGCGGACTTTGTCCATCAGCTTCAATATGAGTATGACGCAGGGGTACTTCCTCGCGCAGTGCGTCCGGCATACGTTAATTCAGGAATGCACACGCTAGTCGTTCGGATTGTCGACGCCCTGGACAAAGAGGACGACACCGAATGCGACAGAGATGAATGGGGACGGTGATGACGAGAGCCATAATGATCCCCACGGATACGAACATCTTGAGCCACTGAAGGGGAAGGAAAAATGTCTTGACCGTTATCATGAATGGAGACGACGGTTGCTGCGAACCACCGCATGAATGTGGGGGCAAACTACATTTCGAAATCGGTCCTTGAACTGAATCTCCTTTCAATTAGCTGCGAAATACAAATTAAGATGTATCCCTGGGCTATGAGGGGAACTTATTTGTACGCGGCGAGAGCAAGGGCTCCAAAAGCGTCAAGTTACTGGATCAAAACGGGTCCGTTGTCCAGTGATAACGAGTATCACTTCAGGGATTCTTGAAAGTTGTAGATCCACTTATGAAATGCTATGGCCTTTGGTGGCGATTCATGAATATCGTCTCCAGCTAAAACACATCAAACCAGTCGGATCTCTGCTTTGCAGCGGTTCGTGTCAAAGAACATAAATGTAGAAGAATGTAGACATCTCAATCTGATTCTGGCTTCGTACCCAGTCAAGGTACGATTCAGACATAAATATCGTCGGATGCACAGATGGATTGCGGAGAAAGCCAAGATCTGGTGCATCAGAAAAGGATGAGCGAGGCCGTGAGTGATGACGACGTTGCGGTACAACTCAATTTGATCCTGCGTGCGGATAAGGGTCCTGCATGTGTCGGTGTAGAAGTGGTACAAGAGTCCCAGGTGGTCAATGTTGACCATGGAGCCACACGGTCCACACGGTCCATGGCTGAAGTCTTGGAGTGGTGAGCCATTATCCACGGAGGAGTCCCCCTGAGAACTGGCGCTGACCACAGTGGTCAGATGCGTGCTGCCAGCGGTTGACTGGAGAGCTGTCAGGGTGCTTTGGGCCCTGATCTGCTCGTTGCGAGTCGTCGTTGGGCCGCTGGCATTGGGCTCCCACTGGCATGGTTTGCTTAGAGGTGGTGCAGTTCACACAGATGGAATGTGTTTCATCACACTGCGTTACACGCACACGGTCAGACCAGCTCGCTCCAGTAATGGAACAAGCTCCAACGGAGACCCATACGGCGAAAGGTTTGTGAAGACTCGTACCTTGATGTGCCGGCGCTTGCACTCGGCACAACCTCGCTTGGATCTACGGTGGGATCTGCGCGGAGCCATTCTGGCTGGAGACATTTCAGTGCATAGGAAAACCAACAGCTCAGAGCTTGCTGCCGCCCACGGAAAGATGTGCAGGGTCGATCTTCCCAGCTTCCGGCTGCCTGAAATAGAAGCGATGAAAAGGAGAGAACACGACTGCCAGATTCCCCACTTTGCACGTGCTAAAAGTTGGCTTCAAAATGCGGGTTTCCAGAAGTCAGGGAGATGCAGATTATGCTCTCGACTTCTATGAGGCTTTTCCGACAGAGTCCAAAAAAAAAGCGCCCAACTGAACGTCACCGGGAAGGTTGAGGCGATCAAAGGATGCGATTGGCGCATGTACACGAACGTGAACACGAACACGGATACGGACACGAGGATTGGTATTGCAATACGGGGTCTATCACTTTTTGCACAAATTCTAATTATCTAAGCTTTCCATCAAGCCTCAAACAGCTGCGGTCTCTTTGAAAATGGATGGTCGTAGCACGCCAGTCTCCTCCAAATGGCTTTCCCATCCCCGCCGACCGTCGCGGCAGATGACGACTGAGGCTGGTATCGTATTATATATCTGTGGATTGCTTTCTAATGCTACTGATTCCCCGTCCAGTCTCCGAGTCCCGCTCGCGTTCAGCCTTGCAGGCAGCAACATTCTTGGTCTAGAGCCTGCAATCGCAGCAGCAGCAGCAGCATCATCATCATCATCATCATCATCACGACGATGGAAACAGGAAAATAGAGTCGCGTACGTGGAACCGCACGAGTTCCTCTCCGACTAGGTCGCCCTTACTGGGCAAAATGAATACCAGGGGACCCCGGTTGCTGATCTTCTCGGTTCTGGACAGCTTCAGTCAAACGAGCTTAAAGATACCGAGTAAGGGTACAAAAAGAGCCTATCGACTTTGATTGAGCAGGTATCTATTGCTTCTTCCCTCTATCATTTGCATTTCTAGTGCTATTCGCGTTTTACTGCTCGCCGTCATGAAGCAGACTCGCGCTGCGACTTTTCTCACCTTAGTCGCTGTTACTGCCAGCGCAACAGCGGCCTTGAACGCCTCTTCCACCGCGTGCAATCGCCTGGCCAGTCTGTACAGTGAGTTTACGCTATTTCCCGCGTCGACAAACTACACAATCCAAGCGACGGACTTCTGGGACAAGCGCTCCGACCTTAATCCTATCTGCATCTTTCTGCCGGAGAATGTTAGCCATGTCGTTTCGGCTGTGGAGATTTTCTGCCAGGAGGGCGCAGAGTTTGCTGTCCGAGGAGGAGGGCACATGAATGTGAGTGGGCGCTGCATCCGCTGGGGCTCAGACTGATCCAAGTGTTCCAGAATCCCGGTTCCAACAATATCGACAATGGCATTCTCATGAGCTTGTCTGGTCTCTCTCAGCGTACGGTCTCTGTCAACGGAAACCGGTCGACTATCGCAGTAGGGCCTGGGAACAGCTGGTTTGACGTCTATGCCGCATTGGATCCCTATGGCCTGGACGCAATTGGTGGCCGACTGAAGACCATCGGAGTGCCGGGCCTAACCTTGATCGGAGGCTTCCACTACTTCAACAACAAGTACGGCTGGACCATGGACAATGTCGATAGCTACGACGTCGTTCTCGGCAATGGCACACTAATCACCGCCAATCGAAGTTCCTATAATGATCTTTTCTGGTCTCTGAAAGGAGGGGCCAACAACTTTGGTATCGTTACTAATTTCGTTCTCAGAGCATATGAAATCCCCAAGATCAGCATACAGGCACAGGTCTGGAATGAGTCGGCCGTCCCCGACTTCATCAAAGCCGTCTGCGATTTTGCCGAAAATGACGACGCTTTAGTGGGTGCAGGCTCCGTCATTTCCATCCAATACAATGCCACGACCAAAGTGGTCTCACCTTCGCTGTTGGGGGTCCAAGAAGGCACTGAATCGCCGCCGTCGCGATTTGCCCAATTTGCTGCCATCCCAGCAGTGCAGACTGTCCAGAATGTCACCACGCCTTTGCGGTGGGCTTCCACGCTTGACACCCCCAATCAAATGTTCCGGTAGGTCTCACGTGCGACTGCAAGTTTGTTTGCAATGGATTATGTCTGATCAATTTTGGCATAGAGTACAATTCGCCCACCATACCATGAAACCCGACGCCGATCAGCTATACAAAATGTACCAGATTTGGAAGGACGCTGTGGATCAAATCGCCGATGTGCAAGGACTATACCCGACATTCGTGATGAACGTCATGCCCAAGAGTGCGAATACCATCGCGAAGACGAACGGCGTAGGTAATACTTGGGGCCTAGACGATGACCAGTCATGGATTCGTAAGTCCTTTTCTCTCCTCCATTCCATTGTCTCCGTGATCATCGTTAGCCTATTCGATACGACTGACCATCGCTTTCTCATGTAGTGTTTCAAACATCGACCGGCTGGGATCTTCCCGAGGACGACCTTCGCATCACTGCCTGGTCTAAATCGTTGATCGAGCATTTGCACAACCTGAACAAGGAGAAAGGAATTGCTTCAGAGTTCCTCTACATGGGCGACGCGGGCGAGTTTCAAGATCCCTTCGCCGCGTTCCCTGCCGAGAATGCGGAAAGGATGAAGGCCATCAGAAGCAAGTATGACCCAAACAAGGTGTTCCAACGACTGAACTGGGGAGGATTCAAGCTGGGCTTCTGAGACGTTTCGCTGTTGGCGGTAGAGTACATACGTATGCGGGCTCGCAGGCTTTGTTTCCTTCAATGAGAAGAGAGAGAGAGGAAGATATTCGTAATCATTCACTATTGGGTTAGTCGTTCTTCTTTGCGCCCTGATTATGGGGCAATGGGCGAATGGCACTTAACTTGGCACGATTCGTTTCCCTTTCGTGGATCAAGGGAACTTGGCCAGGAGCGGACTGTATCGACCAGGGCTGCCTTTACTTGGCTGCCCCCCTAAACACGGCAGCCGTCAGTGTGGCGTGTACGCGGTAACTCTGGTACCAGGCAGCTGACAGCCTTGTTACTTAGCTTGCCTTGCCCTGCGAGAGCCTAGCGTCCGAGAGATAGATATGCACTCAGGACGAGAATGAGAATAGAGCATTCGCAGCGAAACAGCAGCATTTGAGTTAACTTCAGAGTACACGTCACTATCTTCCGTTCAATTAAGCATGATAACCCCTCGAATACTACAGTATGGCGGCTTGGTGGCCCCGTCACACAGCCCAAATCCTGGGATTTCCAGAATGCCGTTAAATTTACATCAGATCGCAATCGCCTACGCCGCGAATTTTGAGGCGGCGCAGCGTTTGAGGCGTTGGCTGGATCGGAGCCTGATCAGCCTGGATTGAGATGGGCACGCTGCGCCTGCCTAATAAGGCTAGATTCGTGGGAGTCAGGATTCATGACTCCTGGGGGCGAGCATGGGGCTTGTTCATTCAATAATACAAAATCTCTAACGTTGATTTTATACAGCCCTCGTCCATCGTCCTATACCTATGAAGTTGCGTCTTGAGTGCTTGAGACGAGTAAGGCCAGTCCTAATGTCTTGAACCGGTCGGCCCGTGCAGGTGTATCAGTAAATGTCCCAATATTCGACACCTCCCATGTCTCGAGACGTGACCTATTTGACTCGAAGTACATTATCTTTCTGTTTTCGGTGAAGGCTTCCCATGGTTGGTTTCCAAAACGAAGTCGACCCAGGCTAGTCAGTCGTTCGACGTAGAGACCTACACGGTCGCAATAATCTATCAAGCTTGTTTCGCATCGGTCATGTCGCAACGCCACATGTACGCGTACACGTTGCGGCGGCTTGTTCTTCAACTTGTAGGCGTTGTTTGGCGAAGGCCTTCGGCATTTATTTTTGACGCCTAACAATGCAGCATGGTCGAAGAGAATCAGATGTTCTCCGCGACTGGCGGGTGACTAGGCGTCTTCCGTGGCACTGGGAACATACTAGCTCCGCCGAATCTTTTTCCGGACAGCGGACCACGTGGATTCCAGACGCAACAGTGGTTATGCCGATAGGCAGCAATATAAGTGGTGCCTTACACTGGCCCTACACTGGACGCCGGCGAGGTGGCTGCAGGACCCTGCATAAAGACACTTCCAGATTCTGCAGCTCCCTCCCGCTTCAGGATGCCAGCCTGATGGATTCGTCAGCCACAAGAAAAAGAAAGCTGAACAGTCGGGCCTGGAATTAGAGAGTTTGTCACATTCCAGCCGCAGCACAGCAGGTGTACAATCACAGCCGAGGGGAAGCTCCTTCGCAGCCCCGCCTGATAGGAAACTCTGTATGTGAACAAAACTCTCGGTGTAGCGGTATGCATCGGCTGTGGCCATCACTCATCCAGAGCAATTGTATATTAGCTTAATGGACCGAAACCTCAAAAGAAATGCTAACTCGACGCTTCAAGGTGTGCTAGACTTGAAGGAATAATCACGGTGATTGCTCAGGTTTGTCTTCGGCTAGAGCCAAGAGGGCTTGATTCTTTGCTTTGCACTAAGCATCAAAGTCGTAGCTGGTGAGGCTGAAGCCAGTAGCCGCGTGACCGTGTCTGTGCACAAGCTTTCCAGTGCCGGAAGGGAAATTCAACCTCAACCCCAGATGTGACCAGGAAGCCCCGCTTCGGGGAATCCCCCGCTTTATGCCTGCCATGTCCTCTTCTCGTGATATTTTGGTGCAGCCGTCGCTCTGGCTTCGACCTGGGCAGGAGTTGGCCGAGCAGTTTTCTTGTTATATATATGTCAGCCATGACTGCTATACACATTGAAAAGGACAGGACAGTGCCACTTACAGGGCATTCCCTCCACAGATCTAGATTTGTGACCGCTGGCCCCGGTATGCCTTTGCAAGTGGTATCGCCATCAACTATGCAGCGCGACTCCATCGCTAGTAACTTCGGCTTGCAGAGACAGCTCTCCAGCTTGGGATGAGCAGCGAGATTGTTGTAGAACCCGAACGATTGTTTACAGGACTGAGTGACATCGCCGTAACTCTTGCATACGGTTTTAATCGCGTTACACTCGGCGAGCGGCGCGAGAGTGACCGTCGGCGCTGACAATATTGGAGTGGTGACGGTGTAGTCGATCCAAGTGTCGCACTCTGCGTGCCAGTTTGAAATGGCTTGCTGTGCAGCTCCGTCTTCTTCTGTGGACTCCAAACAGACGCGAGTTTCGCTCTCACAGCTGCAGAAGCCATCAGTCAATCATTATTGAAGGGTGGGGAGAGCTACACACTCGACAATTAGATTGAAGAATTTTTGAGCACAGATGCAGTCCTTAAAAGCTGGTGTGTCCACTGTTGCCGGTCCAATTGCAAAGCACTTCGAATGAGAGCTTGCAAACTTGCTACATGCCGGCAGAGAAGTAACGTACGTCGAGCCGCTCGACCAGCAGTCGGTAATCTGAGCGAAAGCCGGCAAAGTCCAGCTCAAGATCAAAATTGCAAACATTATTGGGGTTGCTCAAGCAAGCGGTGCTCTCCAGGCTGGGGGGACGAAATTGGGTGTTTGCAGGTTGGCTTTTTCTGACTACGAGCAAGAATCGCTCCGTTTATAAGTCATTCCCATCTAAACTATTGTGTTTGCCTTCTGGAAGCCTTCCGCCATTGTCCTTGCAAAGCTACGCGCATTACGACTCTTTCCATCGGAAAGCACGGCATCAGCCGCACGGATTCGAGACCACTTCACGCCCTCAGGGTGGCAAAGAGTCGCGAGTAACTACTCCACATATCTGGGCAGCGGTCTAGAAGGCCAGCGACGTGTCAAATCAGACACATTTGCGGAGGTTTGTGGCTTGAACGCCACCAAGCCAAAGCCTCAGCTGGAGGGATTCTGTCCAGAAGAAGTAGGCTGAGTACTGCCTTGCCTTGCAAAATGGAAAACCCACTCGACGATTCTGGCGACACGGGATTGCAAGCGCCCTTGGAAGCTGTGGCAGAGAGGTTGACGACACTTTCCACAAAGTCCAAGCCTCTCCCCACGGCAGATGCCAAAATGCCATCCCCGCGTGGACTACAAATCTGGAAGATGCGATGCTGCCTATTATCTGGAGAATGAACCCAGTGCGTCCGGATGCTCGCTGCTTCTTTCAATCCTCACGGAAGCTGGAAGACTACAGCTTGATCTCGACTTCTTTCCCCCAACGATGTCACGCGCCGGTTCTATACCTCCTCCGTCACCAACAAGCTCGACGCAGCCTGCAACACCTCAGTCTGGCATACCACTGACTTCTTTACCTTCGTCTCCGCCAGGAACGAACGTTTTAGCACAGCCTATCCCCTTGTCGAGTTCATCATCAACTGCCTCAGGTCCGTCTGCATCGTTGAGCCAACCAAATGCATCTTCGCCAGCCACAACTACGTCCACGACGAGCTCACCAACATCGAATGCCAACCTCGGGCGTCCTCCAGCATCTGCAAATCAAATTAACTCGCCTCCCCAAGCCGTGTCTGCAAGTACACCTGCCACTAATGCACCGGCTGTGCCTAGCCCGTCTGGCATCACTTCAAGTTCGGGGACTCGAACATCTTTCAAAAAACGCTTTGGACGTTTCTACAACAACCGAAAGGAACCGAAAGAATGGATATCTTTCTGGCTATTGCCACACAGTCTGCTTGCCTTCCTGCTCTTCGCGTTAGGCCTGATAGCAGGTATTGTCACCATCAAGGTGGTCTCACACAAGAGAAAAGGGCTTGCAGACGTCTCCGCCGGGGCGCAAAAAGTCTTGAGTTACCAAGTAGGCGAGAGTTTGTGGTGGACTTTCTTCCCTGTCTTGATCTTCCAGATCTTCGGACTATGGTTCACAGCGATCGTCGGAGCACTGGGTGACCGACAACCCTTCGTGGCTCTGCGAAGGGACAATGGCTCAAACACTAAAACTACAGTCCTCCTCGACTACAAGCGCACTTTATCGCTGATGAGACCTTTCGTTGCCATTGGGAACGGCCACTGGACGCTATCTGTGAGCTTCTCAGCTGCGCTCTTGGTTGCTCTATTTCTGAGCTCGCTGGCTTCGCACCTGTTCATTGCTGTCGCCGTTCCCATCGTCACAACCAAGCATACTCCAGTCACGTCAAGTTTCAACCCTTCGAACTTTGGCTATTTGACCGACCTGACACCCGTAATTGACGTGGTTTCGAGCACGCTCGTATACGGTGGCTTAATGCCTGGTTGGACCACCTTCAACCAAAGCTTTCAGAGCTTTGCACGTCCGGACATGCAATTGGATTCAAGCACATTGGCTACCTACGAAGCAGATACAACGGCTTATTCAGCTCAGCTGAATTGTAGAGCCCTGGGTCTCAATGACTACACTCTGAAAGTGAATGTCGAGGAAGACACCTGGACATTTGGCGCACAAGACAATGGTTGCGATTTCTCACCAGACCTCGTCACAGCGACTGCTGGGTTTAAGTACTATTTACAAACGTTCTCCAATGTCTCTTGTTCTCCTGAAGTAGGGAACAGCCGTCTCTTCGTCCTTGCTGCATATACACCGGATCCGAGCAACATCAAGCCCACGAAGACCACGGTCCTAGCGTGCCGAACATCCTATTATAAGGACGAGGGCACCCTGAATGTCACATACTCACAAAGCAGCTCCTCTCCCAGCATTGGCGGCTTCCTCGTCCGAGAACGAAAAGCCCTTGTCAACCCATTGCCCGTCTACTACCAGAACTTTGAGCAACAGATCCATCAGCCGAGTATCGTTGATGACACCGCCACCTATTCCGCCACAGACCTGGGGCGCGTTGTGCTCGCCCACGCCACGAAATATGCGCCGAGGTCGGAATCTCCGTTTGACAAGGAGGTCATGATCAACTCAACCTCAGCGGTATTCACAGCCGCGTACGCTGTCATGGCAAGCAGCTTCTTGTGGCAGCATGACGCTGGAGACCTGGTGACAGGCAGCCTGACCATCCCAACAGTGCGACTTGTTGTCGTCGACTCAATAGCAATCGTTCTCCTGAGCATGCTCGGCGTCCTCGTCGTTCTTGCTGCTCTCATAGCTATTGACGTGATCAACCACGAGTCATCGCTATATGAGGAGCCCATCGGCCTTTTGGGATCAGCAATCTTGCTGTATGACAGCAGCGTTACAAGCTTGGCGCTTGATCTCCGGAACGAACAGGAAGCCAGAAGGGATGGAATGGCGTTGAAGCACAAGAAGGCCAGAGGTGACATGTGGTGTTTTCATTGGAAGACACCATGGCTTTCGTGGTCGACTGATCTCTTGAACAAGAGATGGAAGGTAGAAAACTGGGAACGCCCGGGGGATTCGAGGATTGTGGAGGTCTAACTGGTCATCACATTAAAAGGGCTTCGAATAATGCCAGAGAAGTTTCTTATATCCTTTCTTGCACTGGACGTGGTTGAAAAAGGTCTCTCTCGAACCACGATCACATCCAAGCTGAGGAATAATGGTCTAGATTACCCCGTTTCGCGAAGGATATCCTTCAACTGAACTTTTCCAAGTCCTCTGGGCCAGGAAGGGAGGGGGATCAGCGCCCAAACCAGTAGATTCAGTACATGCATCAAGCGGTTGGCTCCACCCCTAGGAGCACCCATTGTCAATCTCCGATCAGAGGACGTTGCATTTGGGTTGTTCAGGGGATCGGCCGCATTTGATATTCTCAAATGGCGTGCTTGTCCACGTCAACCCTTATGACTGTCCTGAATCTTGCAAAGCCTATATCTCCACCGAAGCAGGCTCGAAGATGTCCACGATCCGTCATCTCTTCAATGTTAGTGGACATGAATGTCGGGAGACGAGTGTTGCTCTTGGCGAAAAAGGGCCAGATTCATTCTACATGGAATGCTTCAAAGCTCTCCTCCAGACCTATCCTGCCCTTAGTGCCCACGCCCACCTTCACTCGGATCCGGCTACTAGCCTCGTGGGAATTGTCAGGAAATAGTCATGCTTAATACGTCTGGGGAAGTGGGTCTGGACATAATTTCTGTGGAGTGAAACCTTAACAGATGCACCGGTATTAGAGGCAGGCATATGAGATTTCGACAATACAATTCGACCACATGAGCGCCAATGGGTGAACATCCGCTGCACAGGGGAGCGGATGTTGGATCCGATTCGGAAAGACGCCCGTGGTCAGACCATGGCGCCACATCCCGATGCCTACAGAGCTCCGTCGAAAAGAAAAGGGAGTGGTCGCTGTCCACAGCTGCTGCACCATCTGCAATCCCACTACTTCACCAGCACCCTCAAGCCCTTCGAACCTTGCCTTGGTTGCGGATTAAAGAAGTCGTGCGCGACGTCAATGTCGTCTCTGGTCGTCTGGTATAGCTCGAAGTTGAACCGGCGAAATAGTGCCGCCAAGGTGAGATAGATCTCGGCCTCGGCGAGATGTCGCCCCAGACAGCCCCTGGTGCCCTTGCTAAAGTTGACCAGGTATTTCTCCAAGCGGTCGCGCGAGCCCGGGTTCAGCCATCGTTCCGGCTTGAACACCTTGGGCTCGGGAAAGTACTTTGTGTTCTCGTGCATGAACATCGCCGTCATGCTCACCGGGGTGCCTGCCGGGATCACATAGTCGTGGTAGATAAGGGGCTCGTTGGGCGAGACTCGCTGGAGACGGTGTGAGACTCCGTAGGAGATCCGGTAGCCCTCGAAGATGACCGCGGTGAGATACGGAAGCCTTTCGAGTTTCTGCCACGAGGGCAGTTTCCCGTCGGGCATGGCCTCGTTCAGCTCGGTTTTCAGCTTGTCGAGAATGTCCGGGTTTGCAAGAATATGGTAAGTCGTCGTGTTCAGGTAATGGCTGGTTGTAATTATGCCTGCTCCAACCACGGACTGGCCCTCTTCCACCAGGTGCTGGAGGGTCTTCTCCTCTGGAGGCAGCTCAGTTGTGTGAATGAGCTCGTGGAAGATGGTAGGGTGGCTTTGACTCTTGGAGTCCGCGCCTTTATCCGCCATGATTTGCGAAACTTGCTGGGTCAAGCTCTATAGATGACTTCATTAGCAGTTGTCCCCTCCTCCGCAAGCAGCCGAGGAAGCGAAGAATGGTACGAACAATCTGAAAGTTGATCATGCGCATGATGTGCGGGTTCATCCGTTCCACCAGCCACAACGGTACCAGCCTCATGACAGGCAGCATCCATGGGAATTGCTTGTTGACATGGCTCTGCACGGAAAGTGAATCGACTGCCTCCACCCACACAGGGGCAAAGTCCGGCTCGTCAAGGCAGTTGTAGCAATTTGCAAATGAATACTCAGTGATGATGTCCATAGTCAATCCAGCAAAGGCATGGCGGAGGTTAACCGGCTCCTGGGTTCGTTGAAAGCCCGCCAATCGCACACAGAGCTTTTCGACGAGTGCCTGGATCGTAGGCTCGAGTTGAGCCACGGCTTTCTTGGAGAAGAAAGGATTCAACGGTGCACGTCGCATCCGATGCAAACTGTACGGCACGCTACTAAAATGGGACGACGAATTCCCAAACATGGATGCGGACCAGGCCCATTTGTCACGGGGCTTTGTTGGACCCGTATAGACTTCATCATAGTATTCCGGGTCGTCAATGTGCAGTTCGTATGGATTGATCCGCACGATCGGGCCTTGGGATAGGTTAGCCAGTGCGATGAATGCCCCCGAGAACGCGTTGGCCATTGACCATATTTCGAATGCAGTTCACGTATCTTGAACGTGTATTGCCCTCCTTTGACAACATCGTAATAGAATTCGTACCACAGCGTCAGCGCGGCGAGCGGCGGCCCGGGAAATTTGGACAGAGGACTAAAATATAGTCGATAGACGGCTAGACAGACAAGATAGACGACCCAAACGCCAAATGCGATGCCTAGAGCTCGCAAGAAGATCCAGAACAGCCACGTGAAGGGAGATATGTGTGACATGGTAATAGTATTGGTGTTCGATCCACGAAGGCTCAATGTTACTCAGGGAAAAAGTGGCACGGGAGATCGCACAAATTGGGCGGGGGGAAGTTTATCTTTAACCTGACAGGAACCTCAGGAATATAATCAGTGCGAGTGGAGGCCGCCCGAATCCCATTCCCTCTCGTGTCGTTGTTCGTTGGCGTGACTGGACAGCGCATGCATACTGTAGGACGGTGGCGGGGCATGGTGGGGGGGACTGTGAGAGAACGAAGCCCCCTAATCCCAAGGGAAGATAGTCAGTCAGCCCAGATCGGGATCTCTTGTATCGCAATCTAGTAGCACGGACAGAAATAAGGGGAACAATGTACAACTATCCCAGCGGCTTCTGCCCGTAGACGACCGAGACTCTCGTATATGCGTGAACGCTCCTGTCTTTGAATCCCTGTCGCACCTGTGCGAGGAATACTTGCACCTCTTCAAGAGTCCAGCCTAGAACGCGTGTAAAAAGTGCCAATGTCCATCCCTCGAGCCCTCGATCAGCCTCAAAGAGATGCCATCGTCCAATCTCCTTCTGTTTCTCGTCCTTCGGCCACGGCCCAAGGGGCATTTTATACCGCTTCTCCGTCACATTGATCAGCCCCGCCTGTTGGACATAATCCTTCTGGAGGTCGAGAATCCGGAATGTCTTCCCATTCCTGTCCCCGGCTTCGACGTACAGCGCGGAGGATTTCCGGAAGATGTGCCCTTCAGGAATGGAATCGTCGTCCGCAATCCAATCGACACTGTACTCCACCTGCTCGAACCAACCTCCCGGTCTCAGGTGGGCATACACTTGTCGGTAGAAGGCGGGCCAGTCTGCGACCGAACCGAAAAGGCAGCGCACGTGGATATAGTCGAAACGATCCAAATCAAAACTCCACTCGTCCATGCAATCTTCGATCTCAAAGCGGCAATTGGGGGGGACCCAGGTTGGTTGAATGGGCGATAGGTCCGTCCCGGTTACTATTGCGGAGGGGAATTGGTCGGCGAAGTCGATTGCCCAGATCCCAGTGCCGGTGCCCACGTCGAGCACTTCCTGCGGACTGGGGCCGATTGGGGCCAGAAAGAGCTTGCCGTCGAAGAGGAGGAAGAAGACGTGATGTGCGATATCGAGTTGCTCGTTCTGCGTCTCATCATTGGGACCCCAGTATGCGCCATCGTTGTATGCGTGATACCGCCGCCCATTCTCAAACCGGTATCTGGTGATGGAAGACGTCAACGACACAGTCTCGCTGGCACTGTCCAAGGTTTGTGGTCAGCCGCCTCCTCCGTCCGCTGGTCTCTCGATTTTCGACCGAGGGCAGATGGAACTCGTACATCTCTTCGCCGTAGGCTGAGTCCAGGTCCTCCTCGGCTTGCTGATGATCAGTTTCCTAAGCATCATCAGCTTTTCTTACGGAAATGGACCATGGTCCTTGCCAATCTCCCCTACAGGTCGAACTATCGATTCTCCTGCTTCAGTCGCCATGGAGAAAGAGTCGTTCACAGTCTCATACTGACGGAGGCGTGGTTGGAGAACACAGTTTTGACTTGCACGAGATGCCGGCGGGGAGCTACAAGTAATGCTAATGGGCGGGGGGCAAGGGACCTGTGCGTCCGGGGATTGTGCGACCTGCTCCCCACTGGTGGCAGGATAGCAATGCCCTGAGATGATTCTTCACACGAAGGAATTTCTGGCAGGAGTTCCAATTGGTCGCAAGTGGCACCACATTCTCAGCTCCCATGCCCGTCCAACGCACAGCAATTCGATAGCGACTGATGGGCGAATAGACTCTGGCGAAATGGTGATGGATTCTGCGGGCCACTGCATTAGGTCCGTACTTTTGGCTGCATTTACCTCGTGCCTCGCCACGGCTCTTCCGGAAGTCAACTCCCCGTGCCCACTAAATACTGCACCCATGTGGTCAAAAGTGGATCGACTGGGCAGCGCCGAGCACAGTGAGCACGGTGAGCATTGTGCGCTAACGCACGTCCACAGTAATGAGTGTGTTCTCCATTGGTGATGAGCTCTGGGGCGGGAATACTCATGGGAACAAGTCGTGCTATATCTTTTGTCGCGTCCACGGACCGTGCTTCCCTCGTGCTTCTCAAGTCTTCATCATGGTACTGATCAATTTGTATGTCAATAATGTGGCGAACGGTCACGAAAAGAAATGCTTGAAATGCTTTGCTGAACGTAGCTGTGGCATTCAGTGGCAGTGGGACTTCATGATCTATTGTATTATATCCATGATGGCCGGATGAGACGAGGATATACCCAAAGTATCCACTAAGGTGAAGATTCAATCGCGATGGCAAGCGAGGTCGAAGGTCATGGAATGTAGTTCGGAAAGGCTGGATATCCGCACGGCAGCATCCCGGGTGTCCTGTATGCTAGATAGCTAAGCTGCTTTGGCGCCAATAGAGGCTCCGAGGTTGAATCGTGCTCGGGGAAAGTGCATTGTGTCCTGCCTCCAGGTCCCCAAGGCTAAGGAGGCTAAGTGATGCTGGCAACCGATGTCCTCAGCGTAGCTTGCGTCGTTCGCCTTTCCGGTACTCAAAGTCTTCGCAAGTGCCACTAATGCATGCGTCTTAGATAATAGGGACAACTGCAAAGCCTTTATAGATACCATCCCCGGACGCCTCGACGGCCTCATCCATCGCATCTTCTCCGTCAATGTAACTGGATCATGGAACATGGGCACCGAAGCCATCGCCCGCATGAATCAGCAGAAGCCCAGAGTGACTGAAGGCCTCCCACCAGGCTCAAGGCGCGATCTACCGGCTGGTTCTATTGTCAATGTCTGTAAGCGGAGCAGGCGTACGTGGTATCGGGCGCCTGGCTGCGTATTGCGCCTCCAAGCATGCTGTCGTTGGCTTGACTCGGGCGTGGGCTCAGGACTGACCCTGCTTGCGTATCGATTCTGTTGCCCCAGGTATGCCAATTCCTTTGTCCCAGGTTTCGGTCATTAAGAATGAACTCGGGTATAAATAACACAGCTTTGCCGGCATATAGTTTCGGTATGACATGGTCTATGCTGAACTATTGAGATGGGGTAGATAAATGGCGCTTCCTCCCAGCGTGCGAGAGACAATCATTCTGCCTGGCTTTAGCCAAACATTCAACGTTATTTCCAGGTGGTCGTAATAAAGCTTGCCTCTCCTCCCGTCCTGATAGGTAGTGGCTCTCAATGCAGTCACATCCGCCGGCTGCGGAAGAAATGATCCAATTCTATCCTTGGTCCTCAAGTACCAAGCAAGATCGGCCTTCTCCTCAAATTCAATAACATGGAACCCATTGCCTAAAGACCTAAAGGGATTACCTCCAAGGCGCCGTAATTTTCAGAACCACGGTACACAATCTTGTAGTCCTCAAACCTTGGCTCTTTCAGAAAGTCGAAGAACACGAGCCGCGAGCCGGGGAACATGGCCAATAGCCCGTCAAGACGACCCTGCTTCCACCAGCTTGGGCAGGGATGTGGCCACGCTGTACGTTTGAGGAACAGGTCGGCATGGTCGGCGAAGGCTTCGCTGACATCCCGGCGCGGAGTCACAGACTTGATGTTTTTGGTCTGCATCTTTGAAATTAATTTCAGGAAGTGGGTGTAGATCAATTCGACAGAAGGCAGGAATGAGCCGTGCCCTAGCGGTCCGTAAGGCCCCACTGCATTCCAATAGTTGGGCACTGATTGGTTGCGAATTGTCCTCCATCCGCAATGAATCGTAAATGAGGAGAGATCTAACTGCATCCTCTACCAAGACGACTTACCTTCTGGCATGCCTATCGATAGGTAAGATAGAGGCCTTTCTCTCCAAACATCTTGCAAATTCTTCCCTTGCGCTATGATTGCCAATTGGAAAGCGTGGAACCCAGGTGGTATCGAATCTGACATCTTCGTGAGCAGACTCGTGACGGAGAAGTACTAGATGGGAGAACGGACCCAGTCGCACAGATGATCACTTCAACCTCATGTTCCTTGCCTTTATGGTCAATGAAGCCTCTAGGAGTAATCTTGGCCATCTCTTTGGTGGAAACGGTTCCGTTCGGCCTTGTAAGAGCTTCAAAGAACCCATTGCCGGGCTGTTTCGCGTACACCACATTTTTGTCGTGAGCCACGCTTTGCTTCAGTAAAATATAACACACTCATACTTACAGTCAGTCTCCTCCAATGTGTCCAGTTGGGAGTGCGCGCCCATGTGAACTGTGATGGGAGAGTGTTAACGTTGCTCTTAATCACATATTGCTGAAGCCTCCGGCCTGAAGCATTCCTCACCTGATAGTTGACCAAGGTTATATCACATGCACAACCAGGATACCTGGAGAATACCTGTTAAACTGGAAATGGGACGACGTCTTGACGTCTCTGACATACCGATTCTCCCACCGTGTTCCTCCAGTCTCGGCATTCTTGTCATATAACACACAACAGAAATGTTTTGCAGAGCCTCCGGCAAGAATTTCGCGAAACAGATTCCGGAGGCGCCGCCTCCCAGATGGATTACACGAAGGGGTCGTGCCGTGCCACAAAGCTGCTCCTTAATCCTGTAACCACGCGAATTCTTGCCTTGGCCAGCCATATTCGTCAGGAAGTGACTCGGCTAGCCCCGTCTCTTGTCGCCATCGGACATAGCCCAGAGCAAGATGCCCCTGCCGACAATGCCACCGTTCTCGACCCACTCTACATCGCGAATGATTGCGTAGTCAGTCATCAAGTCTCGAATACTCGAAGATGCCACGAAGAAGGTGAGTGTTCGGGATGCAGAACACTAGAGTTGGAACCGAGAATCTTGGATCAACCTCCTATGAATGCCATTCCTGAGAGTGTAGATATCCTCGTGCTTCAGACCGTTGTAGTAACGCCCACCCTGCGTCTCCAGACCCATATGCCTGAGTCCATCGCATTGTGAACTAGCCTGTTGTTTATGTGTAAAATAAAAGGGGAGAGCATCGAGTATCATTGCAAAACCATTGAAAGCCCCCCCCCCCCCCCCCAAAAGGTGCAAAAAGCGGTTCCTGTGCATTTACGGCGTCGAATCCCAATCTTCCATGATTTCCTGAATGCGCCCAGTCCCATCAAACTAACAACGAGGTCCTCTCTCCCTGTCACAACCGCAGCCTCAAAAATATAAAAGCATTCCTCCAGTCCTCCAGACACGAATTTTCATCGCATGCTTGCGGACTTGGTCAGTTTGCCCTGAGCAGGCTTGGTTTTTCCTCCACCTTGTGCACAAATTTCCTTGTGGCGGGATGATCATCCAGCCAGAGAGCATCACGAAAGCTCGATAGGTGGTTGGCTAATGGAGGAGACTAGAGGGAAGAGCTATGTACAAAAGTTCGCGCCACCAGGGCGGGACGTATCGAGCGCGGGCGCAGTTTGTCTTGCCCGTCTATATCTATGTCAATGCTGCTTGTTTGTTTGTTTGTTTGTTTTTTGGTTCAAATGCTGCAACTGCTCGCCGCCACTTGTACAAATCACCCCCCACGTCCATCGGGGGAACAATGAACGCTTGTGGGTTCCGCTCCAGAGCCTTATCATGCGTTCTCTTTTTCCTGGCATGGACCTCGCGGCGTCCTTTCCTTACCCATGAGAAGCGTCATCGCGTAAACGTCGTACTCGAGCTATACACATACAATTCTGTGGCTTCTCTGGCTTTCCTGTAGTCCACTTCTCGCTCCGCAATCCCATCGAACAAGCGTAATTCCCGCCGATGTCAGCGAAGATGGGCACGACGCCCATGATATAGTGTACAGGTCGCAACAAGCGACCTTTTTTTGAAATAGCGAAGGGGGCGGAACTGCCGAATAGCGTGTTATGATATGGTTTGCGTTGATGAGGTCTTGCTGAGTTCAAAGTCGTGAATGCAATGGGAGATAGAGGTGGAGGTGGCGATGACGGAGCCAGAGCCGGTTGGCTGTGCGATGTTGTGATGAGTCTGCGGGTGCGATGTAGGGCATCTGGGGACGATATTGGGTGGTAAACTTCCAGTCGCAAGGGGTACCTGTCAGTATGTGCCATATTCAGACATCGATATGGTTTGATAATATTGTGCATTGGTGCGCAGCAAATATTGTCGACGATAGACCATCAGGCCAATCCTATCAGCCTGTCAGGAACGCGATGTGTCTTAAGAGGCCTTAACTCGAAGTCTCGTGATGTTAAGCTGTTGAGTGTCGCGTCCCACCGCGCTGTCTCTTTCGCCTCTGAGCAGTCTCAGATTCCTGATATGATACTCTCCCCTTTCCCTTCTCCCGCTCACGCTGCCAGCTCTTGGAGTCCTCAGTGATGTCCTCTATCTCGTGGTTCGTCAGCTTGCGGGCAGCTTCGACAACGAAGACGTTACGGTCGTCCACCGTGATGCGAGCTTTGGGGTCGACGTAGTGCTTCAGATATAGAATCAGCACCTCTTGGTCGATGTCGGTAGCAGGGAGAGAAGATCTGACCCTCTGGACTGGAGGGGCTTGTGGTATGCCGGACTTTGGCTCTGGGCTCGTTGCTCGGGCAATGTGGCTGGCTGGCTGGTTTGGGGTGTTAGCATGTTTTTGAATGTCGTATGCATGGGCCCGGGGTTCGGCGCGAGAGAGATCCTTGAATATTGGATTCCTGGCCGCGGTGGTTGGAGATGTGCTATAAGTCGTCGCGGGCGAGATGTAGCCAGTTGTTGCAGCGCCGTAGTTCGTGTTTGGTCCGCCATAGCTTTGAGTGCCGTAAGCTGTGGTGCTGTACGGGGTGGTTGTATGACCATAGTTTGTGTCTGGACCGCCATAGGTAGGACGCCTGTAAACTGTCGCAGGTGTGTTGGGGCTTATTGGTGCACGGCCGGGTCTTGTGTCTGAACCGCTGTAGCTCTCTTGCCGCCGGGTGAAGCTATCGCGTGGGTCTCGGTCCAGATGTCTCATTTCATCTTGCCTTGTGACTGCTGCATGATGTCTTGACCGTGTCTGGGCCTCGGGTGTGATCCGTTTTCCAAGAGGTTCATGAAAGGTTGAAGAACGTCGGGTCGGGTCAGGGCGCGAGCTGTGTCGTTCACCAGACTCACGCTGATCACCTTCCGCGCCTGTAAAACGCTCCTCAGAAGGGATCGGCTGGCTGAACGCAGCTTCTTCGTTGGGAGAATCGCCCTGCTGTGGTCGACTGGAGCGACCGCGGCTTTCAGTCCTCTGATCAGTTGCATAAGATTGCTGGCTTTCATTCCGATTCCGGGGTCCTTGGATGCGGAACCCAGGGGGCACCCCTTGCCGGATCTCGTAACTGTCTTCATTCTGGTTTCTGGGGTTCTGAATGCTATCTTTTGAATTTCGACCGTACGGAGTTGGCTGTGGTGATCGTTCCTTTCGCCTGCCAGACACAGCCATCTGGCTCGCTCGAGAAGTCACCTGAGATAGATCTTCTTCGAACTCGGTACTAGTGCGGTCATACCGGGAGCTGACTTGATCGTTGTTATCCACGCCACGACGAATGTAGGGGTCTTGGTGCTGTGGGCTCTGCTTTGGCGCTGACGTCAAGGGAGATGTGGTGAGCAGTTGGGTTGTGCTAGGAGAGGTGGTCGGGTTTAGCTTTAGATAGCTGGTGAATTCGTTGAATGGTTGCCTCGAGGGCGGCGCCGCGCGTAGGAGCCGACCCTTCCATTGCTCTCCACGATGCTCCAATAGTGTGAGCGCCTTGAGCTGTTTCTGGTCTTGGCCGTTGAGGCGGAAGCTAGAACGCACAAAGAAGCCGTTCTCGCCCTACACAATTGACGTTAGCGACCCATCTAAACCCTGTTACGCCAGAAGAACATACCATGAAGCGACGTCCTGGCAGGCAAGTGGTGCTGCCAAGGTTGTTCCTCTCAAGGAATGCTCGAAGCACGCTCTCGGAAACGCCGTCGCCGGGAAAGAAGAATTCGAAGATTCCATCTGGAGGCGCTGTGATGGTCGTGTTAGTGTTCGACGGGCTGAGTTGTTGCCGGCGCGTATGGCATTTTAGCGCATCCACTGCGCATCTTTTACAATCCTTATGCGCATGGTATTCGGCGCGTCTGAGAGCATAGCCCGCTTTGATCACGCTACCTGCAATCAAAGTCCCTTCGTCGTTCATATATCCATCACCACAGGAGCAAGTGTGATGTACCAAGTCCGTAAGAGGGTACACGAAGCCGCAGTTGCTTCCATTAACCATATTGCGGCCTGATAGTCTCGCAGATACAACGGTGAATCGACTGAAGCTGAGATGACGACGGATCATACAGGAGTTCGCGATCATTTAAGTCTGCCACAAGTGGCGAGACTGTCAGTTGGCAAGCCGGGCTGGGAGGCGTTCGCAATCTTCATGTAGGAGTGCCAATGGCAGCGACAGGTCAGGACCGCCGCCCACCCTACGAGGATAAAGACACCCCGGCAGCTATGCCAGCACACACAAGGCAAAGCGCATTTCTGCCAACAAAGGCGACTGGAAAAGTACAGGCGGACAACAGCGAATAAATGGGGCTACCACCCTCCACACCAGCACCAGCGGCACGCATACCACCCTCGAATACGAACAAATCTGCAGCTGACAGCCAGGCACTTCAGTGTTTGGGCAGCATTGCAGATAGATGCGTTGGGTGTGCTGGGGTAAGGCTGCTTGTTGAAAGTCGAGCAGATGATGTGCTGGCTTATAATGGTTGCGAGGTTTGCACTCTCCCTTCGCTGTTGATCGCGTTCCAGCAGAATGAACCAGACCAGCCAAGCAGGTCTGGTTGAGCTTGAGGCCGCAGAAAGGGAGATTTGGAGGGAAGCCATCGAGGTGAGGCAGTGACCGATGCGTGGGCGCGGCGATGAGGCTGAGCTTTTCTATACAGATTTACAACCGTGACTGCCCCAACCACCCTATCAGCCTCATCGACCACAGAAACGGGCAGTCGGCACAGCCTCCTGACAACATCGAGGAGTTGGTAGGGGTGGCCAAGGACCTGTGCGAGCAATTGTACGCAGTGCAAAACGCGTCTGCCAAAAGAAGGGCCATAACTTCGGCTCTTCAAGAGATCCGCCAATACGCCCCGATTTTGGACGTTTTCTCCCAAGGGGCTCCTAGCGCCGTGTCGGTGTGCTGGGGAACGATCCGGATCGTCCTCGAGGTAAGTGCCGGCGTGCCGTGTTCTCGAGAAGTGAGAGTGAGGCAAAGGATACTCAGGGCTGGGGATCTTCATCCAAGGGGGTGGAAGCGAAAATGTCAAGAATGCGGCTCTGCATGGGGGCGCCCCGGAGCCTAACTCGGCGGGCAACAGCAGAGACTAACCCCGCCCCACGCCCCGCTTCAGATTCCCAGCTCCACCCCCTGTGTCACCTCCCCCCAGCAACTGAAAGGCATGCGTGCGGCTGAGATTGCGCGTGCTCTTTTCTCACAGTGTGGAATGCTTCTCTTGATTTGCTGAAGGACCAGTTATTAATCTGCCGAGATCAGGTGACGTCGCGAGGCTTGAGCTTTGGTCAAGAGCTTCTCAACAACATCTGTGCTGTCGCGCGCCGAGTCTTGACTATCAGACAACAGCTACAGTATCTCATCATCAATAAGCAAAGTCGAGATTCTATTGTGCAGCTCTACGCCATCCTCCTCAGCTACGCAACACGCATTGCTCGAATCTGCAAGTCGTCCCGTTGGAATCGGGTCCTCAGAGGGTTGAGCAGTAAACTCCCAAGTATTTACAAAGACTTCTGTTCTCTCGCGAACGAAGTAGAGGCCCAAGTCTCAACCCAAAGTGCTCAATGTAAGAGTCTCGACCCAAACTGACCACCTCGAGGTAGCTGACACTCATCGCGTCAAAGCTCTGGAGCAGCTAAGGCTGGTGGAGCTCGGTTAGTGTGACACTCCCTCAGGACGCCTACGTCTCACCGCCGCGTAGCACATCACACTCAACTCCTGCTCAACCTCGACGACACCAAGAAAATGCTAGGGAATGGGATTGCATCTGGTTCGTAACCAAATTTTGTCCAAGGCATGCGGTACGCCGTGGAATGGGCTGACCGTAGCCAGTCCGGAGTGACCTTGGGTTCCAGCATGACTTGGACGCCAGAGGTAATTATGGCCTGGAAAACTGCAGAATCTGTCTCCAAAGCTAGACTAATATGCGGTTCGGTTCCAGATCAACAACTCAGCAAGTGGCTGACCACGGATCTCATCCCACACAGTGCTCCGCCAGCAACTGCGAAAGGGACGTGCACCTGGGTCTATGAGCACCCAAAGTACTGCGCATGGATATCCTCCACGCGTACCAAAGCTCTTTGTGTCCGGGGACCACGAGGTAAGTCTGGGAGCACACAACCAACGTGGCCGCACGAGAATGACTTCTGTCAGGTTCGGGCAAGTCGTCATTGTCCCATGCAATGGCCCGCTCCGCGGCTGAAGCAGGCCAACTTGTGATACACGTTTCGGTTCTTCCAGTCGGCACCTTCAGTCAGACACCCGCCAGCAATCTTGTCGTCTCACTCTTAGCCCTCATTTCTGAGCACCGCACCATCAGGACAGACAAGAATTTCCTCAAAATTCGTGACATTCTGATTGGCGTGCAGATGTATGGATCACGAACAGCTGTTGCGGTACCCACGAAAACTCTGATGGAGAAGCTGCAAAGCATTATCGCTCTTGTGCCACCGCTCTTGCTGATCATCGACGGCCTGGATCAGCTCAAAAGCACGGCTGACTGTCATCAAGAGGATTACTGTCGTCAAGAGGATTCAGCAAACGAACTCGTTGCTTTGATCAGTGGCATCCCCACCAAATCCTCCGTTTCGCTGATTACCCTGACACGGCCTCGAGATTGGATCTCCCAAAGTATGGATGAGGTGATGGAGCTAGACATCACCAACGACATTGCCAACAACGACATTGCCATCCTCGTAGGCGAAGCGGCGCGGCTATTTCCACGTTTGGAAGTGGTTAAGCATGCCATTATTGCCACAATCCAGGCCAAGGGCAGCGGCGATTTCAACTACGCCAGGATGTTATTGAGCCAGATTCAACAATGCCGATCCCCTGCGAATCAAGGGCGGATACTCGAAACGAGCCCCGCAGGATTGGAGGCCATGTTTCGAGAATTATCGGCAAAGAAGGTCACGAGTCTCAGTCTTGAGGACAGAGCCCACAGGTCAAAGATTTTGTACCTCGTTGCTGGCGCTCAACAGCCCTTGGCCCCTTGTCAAATCAATTCCGCCCTTATGCTTGACCCGGCGAGGAACGTTGAGCCTCCAGGTGAGCAACAGTTCGATCCGTCAGGGGCGATAGCAGATCTTTGCGAACCTTTCATCATTGTCTCCGATGGCAAGGTCTACTTCCAAGATGAATCGGCACGGGAATACGTGCTGAAATTTGAGGTGACAACGGATGACGCCAACACCTTCTTGCTGGATGTCTGCTTGACGAAGTTAATTGAGCAGAAATATATGGAATTGGACTGCTGCACCCACATGCTGGAAGACAATTTGCTTGATCCAAGAGGTACATCCGCGCCAAATCCTCCAAACACCACGGGCGATCCGGGTTTGTATGACCACGCCACTTTGCATTGGCACGAATACGCTCAGCAACTACAATACCTGCCTTCCGAGTTGTGGGAGAAGTTGCGCACCTTCCTGTTCCGGAACGCGTTTGTGTCATGGGCCGAGAACCTTTACATCCTCCTTGGCCGGGGTGGCCTTGACCCCCATCTTCAGAGGCTAGTGGCAGTGGCAGAATGGTATAAACGCTCACCAGACGTGTCAAAACCTGAGCTACCCATTGGCAATCTGTTCCTGCAGCCATACCGGGATGTGAGTGCAATGTTGGGGCGTCGGGACGACAGACCCGAGCTGCAATTCCTTCCTCTCATACGCGTGAATGGATACCTCAACAACGGGGGACGGACAAGAGCAGACTTCGAAGAGGCGCTGCAGTATGCTCAGCGCGTAGTTGACGGATTCACCAAGTATCTCGGACCCCGAAATCGGAACACCCTGAACGCAAGACTGGTATATTACCAAGGGATCCTGGCGTTGAGACGACCAGATGAAGCAGCTGTTGGTTACCAAGACGTTCTGAAGCTGCAGAAGGAGCTTCTTGACGAAGACGATATCGACATCTACGTTACGACTCGATGGATCGGTATTTGCTACCAACTGCTTACCAGGTTCGATGAGTCTCGCGCAATGCTGGAGGAAGCTCTCGCAGGATTTAAGCGTAAGCAGGGTGCGCGTTCCAAGGCTGTTCTCGCGGTGTCAATGGGATTGGCGAACACTTTCGACTGTGCAGGTAATATTGGCAAAGCATCGGCGGCCTATGGCGACATCTACGACAAGTGGGTCACCGTCAACGGCACCTCCAACTTGTTCTCCGCCTGGATTTTGACCTCGTTCGGCTCGGCTCTGCGAAAACAGGAACAGTACGATCGGGCGGAGGAACTGCTCTTTGAGGCGTTTGCCACAAGGCTGCGGCTTCTGACGATTGAGAACGACACCACAGTGGATTCGGGGCTGCACTTAGTGGTGCTCTACCGAGAGAAGAGAATGCGCGACCGTGCTCTGGCTTTCTTGGCCCAGATCCAAGAGTCTCAGGCTTTCGAGCTTACCTTCGAGCGGCTGTGTCAGAGAGAACACCTCAGGGCACTGCTTGCATTCGATAATGGTGAATACGAGGAGCCGCGCAATGCTTTGACCCGGCTGGTCATGCTGTCGACTGGGGAGAACCGCGAGCAAAACAACCGTGAGCTGTTGTGGGTGCGCCTTAATCTCGCGGACGCTGCTCGCCATCACCACGATGATCACTCTATCCCATCACTGTTCACAGAGCTGGTTGTTTCCACGGACGCAGAGTTTTCGGCAGACTCCGATTGCCCCCCTGACCATTTCGGCGTTTCGCCTCCTTCCCCGTCCTCTGAAGATGCTGTCTGGCTTGATAACCCTCGACACCTTGAGATTGCGGAACAAGCATTGAGGCTCACACGGGATGCGCGCCCCAAGGAAGCACGGCGACTCTTGGAGAGCGAGAAGTTGAAATGGGTCCGGGACAAAGACTTTTGGCTATTCGGAGGTGGTCCGAAAGCCGATACCGACACGGTGAGATATCGTGCACCACGACATGTTGATACAGACCAATGCGCTTGCCAGTTGGGCGGAACAGGACTTGACAACATCACCAGCCCCTGATATCTCAGAAGGAGGGGGAGTGTGGGACCAACTTGATCGATTGATTGTCCTATCTAACTAGCGGGGACGCGCGCCGACGTGAGAATCTAATCTGGCTAAACTTCCTAATTTGGTTAGGGCAACAGCGGGGAGGAGAGAGAAAGCATGCTGGGTGGAAATCAGCAGGCTGTCGGGTGCCAGACCTGGGAAGAGGCCTGTGGGAAACACTTAATGGCCAACATACACCCTAAATTCTGGGGGATTCTTTGATGCAGCCTATTGCGCACCCTGCGACTGTTGATTGGCAGCTAAAGGTCATCAAGTCGGCCAGTGACATCCCCCCATTGCAATGAAGCGAGACCAAGGCTGATGAGGCTGAACCGAAACCTGTGCTGATCACACCTGGCGGCTGCCTCAATTTCGGCCACTTCCAAAAGTGTTGACCCAATTTCTAGGGCAGGTCAGTATGCGAGGTTGCCCCTAGTTCAGGGCTGAGAGTAAGGCGCGAGAAGCTGGAAATGCAAGCGGTATGACGGCTTACTGGATTATTATGCTTGAAGTGCTGCCGTATGGGGGTTTCCAACCGCCTTCATCGTACGTCTACTCACCTCCTGTGAATTGCTTCGGCGAACTTGTCGCCGTGTGATCTCGACCTCTCGTATTTTGACATGTGGCATAGTCATTTAGGTGCCAACTTATGCCGTGCTCCCGTACGGAGCAATCACAAGCGGCCATTATTGCCAGGCGTCCCTCTCAGAGGGCTACCAGCCTAAGGTACAGGCATCATCGACTGAGCGCTAGGCATCGAAACCATCGAGAAGTGCGACTGGAACGTCCAAAAGCGCTCACCGGTCCTAGGCCCGCCCGTTTGGTTGGGCGTCCAGAGCCTCAATGATGCATAGACTGCGCTTGTCAGATCCACAGCCACGCACTACTTGGCGCCTCTCCGTATTCTCGGTTTGGCCACCGCATCTCTTTCGTCCCTGCCTAACCCGACCTGTATCTATTCCCACAGACTTGATGGTAATAGAACCCCTACTCGTATCGACCGATCGCCACAACCCCAGCGGGATGGCCAACTCGTCCGAGTCCCCAACCGAAGGAACGGGCCTTCTCCAGCCAGGCTCGGATCATCAGTCACAGCCTGAAACCGGAAGAGAATCGCCTGCAGGGTGGTGGGGGCGTAACGGAAGGGCGCTCCCCTCAGCCTTTCTAGCCGCCTTTGTGATCGGGGTGAACGAGGGATACACCAAGAACACCAACACTACATACATCGGCAAAGACATGGGCGAAATGCAAGACGGGGTGATCATCGTCCTCCTACCAACTGTGGCCTCCGCACTGGTACCTCCACTTGTACCCTTCCTGAGGCGCAATCTCTCCCGAAGCTCCTCGATGCTGATAGGCCCTCTTGCAATGGCGGTCGGCTTCCTTGGCAGCGGCACTGCGGGCGTGATGGGCAGTCCGCGCCCACTATGGTTGATTGCCCTGTGGCAATGCATTTCGACCTTTGGCATTGGGTTGTTGAACTTGCTGACGTACTTGGCGATCAGAGAGGCGACAGAAAGCTCTCCGGGTTATGCCCACTACCGGGCTTGTTACCAGATCATCATGACATCGGGAATGGTTGTCGGCGCTCTGGGGGGACCGGCAATCATCAGGTACTTTGAACAGACAGCCTTCGCCACAGCCCTTCGACCCTGGCAGTTCCCTTTCCTCCTAGAATTCATCTTCGTGCTGGGTCTTTTTTGGGTCATATACAGCAATCCAGGCTCGAGGGAAGAAGACGGGTTGGTATCCGAGTCCGTGTGGTCGGGATTGTTAGAGACTGTGTGTGCGGTTCTCTTGACGGGCACTCCCGCCACATTGTGCAGCATTCTCATCCTGTGGGACATGCCCGTGAGTTACTTCGTCATGGCCTTTATCCTGTGGCTCATATTTGCAACACTCCTGATCTCTCTCCGTTTCGAGACCACCTCCCTCTATCCAGTGAATGTCGTCGGCTCCAGACAAGTGAGGCTCCTTGTAGGAGCCCGGGCCACAGCGAGCGTTATGGTTCAAACGCTCCAGTACCGGCTCCCCCTCTACTTCCAGATTCGGATGATGATAGAGGCCGGTCCGGACAAGCAACGGTCTCATCTTGTTGCTGGGTCTCGGCGCCAGGGATTGAACACCGAGGTCGGAAGCTTTCATTTTCCGGATGATTACATGTTGCCTGTGCACAGCCTTGGTATACTTCTAGGGGAGTTCGGGGCAGCTGCCGCCATCAAGCAGCTGGGTCGCGAATCCACTCCGCTGGCAGGGTCTCTGCTTGCCTACTTCACGCTTGTCCAACTGTTTGGCCATGGTATTACCGGTTCTTTAACTGGGGCGAGTTTGGGGCCGATAGCGATAACACTATTCGCTGGCATTGCAAACGGGTCGGCCGATAATTGCCTTTCGTCCTTCCTTTTCGCGGCGGTGGGTGAACGTGGTCAGTTGACGATACCCCTGAATTTACGCCCAATACGCTGACTTGACATAGACCGACCGGCGGCAGAGGCGCTCTCATCGCAGGCAGGGAATATCGTTTCAGCCATGGCGCTCGCTTATGCTCCACTGCGGTATGAGAGCTTGCTGAGGGATGGACTTGCACGCGCGTATGGTGAAAAGGAAGGCCAGAAGTTTGCTGACGTAGCCCTCAAAGACATCAGTGCGGTGGATAGCTTTCCAAGTGGTCCAAGATACATCACTCTGCAGTATGCCCGAAATGGGATCGAGAGCAAGATCTGGGAAGTCGATCTCGTGCTTCTAGCTGGTATTATTGCTGCTTGCTGGTGTATTGTATTGGACGGACAAAGCGGAGTCGACTGACCGATCGAGATCCCAATGTCACGACAACGACGACGTGACTTCTATGTATTAAATCGGTCGTCTCGTGCAAGACAGATGATTCGTGGGCTACTAGAGACCCCGTTACTGTTCCATTCGCCACTCTTCACATGCACGAGGCTTTCGAGACATATGGCACACCGCAGCTGTCGCGAGTTTAGGGTTGCGGTCGTCGAGAACTAGGCTGATTTTGCAACCCCATAGTCTCCACTCCACGAAGAGTGCCCTTTGAGTAGGGCCTTTGATCTAAAATGTGGTCAGCGTGGAATAGGCACAGCTCAGAGTAGCGTACTTAGAGCTCTGCTATATTATCCATATTCTAGCTTGGTTAGGATAAAGCCTGACGACTATATCCAGGCTCACATGTATACCTCTACATCCCACGATAATAGAGGAACCACGACTTCAACTCCAGTCGCAACCACTCCCACGTCAACCACTGTAAAGATTACGGTAACGCCAAGTACATCGACTACCTCGTCTCCATTAAGTACATCAGCTCCATCAACGATATTGACGATATCGACTACATCAACTCCCTCAACCACATCTACATCGTCAGCGAGAACAACGACGTAGAGTCTGTCAACATCAACCCCGTCAACGACGTCCACTCCCCCAACCACATCAATCTCTTTAATCACGCCAACTTCATCAACAGCTTCCACTTCAACTATATCAACTGTATTATCTACACATACAACGTCAACCACCTCGACGACGTCAACGCCGTCAACGATCTCAACTACATCAATCCCATTAACCGCATCAACTATATCGACTACATTAACAACGTTGAAAACTTCAAGCACATCAACTATATCATCAACGTCTATAACGTCAACCACGTCAACCACATCGACGATAACAACTATTTCCACTCCATCAACTGTATCAAGCACATCGACAACATCAACAACATCATCTATAACCACGACAACCACGACATCAGCAGCAGCACCACCTCTAACCACATCAGCATCATGCAGTGGCCCTCAATATCAAGCTTGTTCTGGCGCGAGTGGTGGCTCCTGCTTCTGCAACGGACGCAACGATGGCCAGACACCTGATTGCAACACGGGCACTGCACTCTGCGCCAACAGCGGTGAAACCTGCGCCACCGACAGTGATTGTGTCAACAAATACTCGTTTTACGGCATGGATACGTGCGTCAAGAACGATGGCGAGTTTGGCAGCGACTGTGCTTCGTCAAATCATTGTGTATAGCCCGGAACATGCCCCCCAAATCGCAGGTGGGGCAAAGAGAGAGCTGGAAAACATTTTCCGGGCTTATGCAGGCTTACCTTGGGTCAACGATATGAATGGGGGCAGGCGGCTGCTTTTGGCGTAATGGGGCAATGGAAGTGGTGCTACGGCTGTATATCTCCAAATTCGCTACCAGACGAGGTCGACGAGCTCGAAGTCTGGCTCTGGGCAACCGTTCGGTTTAGGATGGGTGTTTCGCTTGAGTCATGGGTATCAACACCGGCGTTAAGGCGGATTACATTGATAGCATTATTCCGGCTATGAAGTGGTTCAAGACCATCGGCAAGCATGAGCCGGACGCAGAACAGAGTGACGATGGAGCATTCTGTATGCCGCGATCGACTGTCACTGATCCCGGGAAACAATTGCCCTCATTGGCTTGTACAGACTTGTATATCTCGGCCCGTGATCCTTTGACCGTCCAAAAGTCCTGTTATCTGTCTCTTACTGCAGCGGACCATCGGAAATGGGGCCTGCGCCCCATAGCGTTTCTGTTGTTGCGACACCAAACTTTGCCGACGAGCATGCTCGTGTGCGGAAAGTCCAGCAGCCGCGGGCGCGGGCACCCAGGTTTACAGCTTGAGATTCATAGCTCGACAGCTACGCTAAGCCGTCTGCCCCATCGCGTAGGATATAAACAGGATGGACATCCAACGTCCTGCGGATTCTCGGAGGACGGCGATGTCTAGTTATCGCCAGCGGAGGTTTCTTGCCGACGTTGGACTAACCCGGTCACCATTGGCGCCGTGTACGGTTCGGCTCGGCACTTGCTCCATGCGCAAAACACAATCGCTTATTTCTACCGAGCACCTCATCCTCTTCTATTTTACCCTAGATAGGACATCAGTGATCATGCTCATCGCACGGCTGCCCAACAAATTGAACAAAGGAGGTTTCCAAGGTGGGACGGAGATGCAGAAGACATTGATAATACAAGTTGAAGCTTGCGAGGGACATCTGCCATGCCTAAAGAGGAGGAGATGGGACAAGTTGCTTTATCCCTGGTTGTCTTCCTCTCTCCTGCCCTTTTCGAACCCATTTCAGTCTCGAGACTAACAACAGGTACCCACCAAGAAGCACAGCTGGAATAGGTCCGAATGGGCTCGCTGTCTCACCGTGTCAGCTTACCCGTCGAGCCGTGCCCCAGGGACCACCTGGCCTACAGACTAGTTTCCTGCAGTGTTGCAATTTCGTTCCTCGTTGCTGCAATATTGACACAATTGTGCGCCAGCTGCAAGAGGACATGATGCGGTTCGAATCGCCCAGGATCAGGCACATGGAGATATGCCACCTGCAGAAATGATCGACACTGAAAAGAGGTTGATGTACATGTCGCAGTCTTGGTGGATAAACCAAGCACCACTGGATTCACATCCTTCTATCTGGGCTATCTATCTCTTTCTTTCGGCCTTAGGACACTGTTACTTTAGTCCATGACTTCCTCGTTCTCTCAGCCCAACGCTCGTCGACAGAACTTTTATATCCACGATGGAGAGCGTGTCTGCCAGTCGACCGCAACGATTACTTGTGTATGGGGATCAGACGGACCGCACGGACCTGGCAATCAAGCATCTCTTCGAACAGGCAAAATCCTCCGTTCTGCTCTCGTCTTTCTTGTCTCGATGCGCCGACTCGTTGCAAACAGCCATCGCTGCGCTGGACTGGCTTCCTCGGCGATTTTTCCCGTCCTTTCGCTCGATTCTCGATCTCTCGTTAAAGTTTGAATCTTCGGATGGGTCATCGGGTCCTGTTTCCTTGGTTCTTAGCTATGTCACCCGAATTGGCGAGCTTTTAATGTATGTATAGCTCGTTCATACCACGCCGGAGAAATCTCAAGACTAACGACTGACACAGATACGCCGAGAAAGACCCAGTGTTATTGACAAGTCCCATGACCGTTCTGGGACTTTGTGTAGGTCTGCTCCCAGCCGTAGTAGCAGCCGCTGCAAAAGACGCCCGAGAGCTGGCCGACCTGGGTCTCACTTTCATTCCCTTCTGTGTGAGGCTGGCGGTAAGTGCCGAGCAAAGGACCCGAAGGCTCGAAGTGTCGACAGGGGCTTGGAGCTATGTGCTGAAGGACATACACAGCACGAGCTTGCAATCCGTCATCGACGAATTTCATGCTGTCTCTGTAAGTATGCGCAATGATATATCCCGTCCTTTGCACCAAGCTTGCAGAACCTGACACAAGCCGAACCATTCAAGGCTATACCAAGACACCGCGGTGTCTATATCAGTGTATTGGGTCCCAACTGGACGACGGTCTCTGGTCCACCATCAACCTTGCGCAGATTCCTATCTTGGTCCCCGCGTGTGACTGGACTTCCCCAGATCCGGATACCCATCGCGGTCCTCGCTCACGCGCCCCACCTGCCTTTGATGGACTATGAATGGATCATGGGGAACTCGCCGGCGCTGGAAAAGCCTCTGCCAGAGAGGATATCAATCATTTCCACCAGCACGTGTATGCCCTATACGGGTAGGACTCTGGGTGCCGTTCTGCTGGAGGTTTTAAAGGACGCGTTAGACAGGCCACTGCGTCTCGTCGACTGCATATGTGCGACGATAAGCCGCATGTACGGTGGCGGGGACATCGATATCATCCGTGTCGGACCGATGGCGCAGACCAAGTTCCTCGAAAAGGTCCTACAACAGATGGGCATGGGATACACCCTGACCATGTCTCCCCAGTTGAACGCGGACGGGGCCCATGGCATTCGCGGTGGCTCGGACAAGATCGCAATTGTGGGGATGGCAGGGAGATTTCCACAAAGCAACAGCGTTGACGAGCTTTGGAGGGTCATTCTGGAAGGTGTTGAGACTCACACTGAAGTAAGCATGGGCGCTATCACCTCTTGTATCGCAGCTTTTGTTGACTGTGCTGCGTGACAAAACAGATACCTCCAGACCGCTTTGATGTAGAACAGTGGTATGACTCCGCGGGCAACAAGCCGAACAGCACGGCCGTGCGGCACGGCTGCTTTATCAACAATCCTGGCGAATTTGACGCGAGGCTTTTCAATGCTTCACCCCGCGAAGCCTTCCAGATGGACCCTCTTCACCGTCTCCTCCTCATGACCGCTCATGAGGCGCTCGAGAACTCGGGGTACAGTCCCTCGAGCAGCCTCTCAACCGACCGGAAGCGAGTTGCCGTCTACGCCGGCCAGTGTGTTGAGCCCTGGCGAGATGTTCTCTCCTCGGCGCAAGGGACGGACGTATATACCGCCCCTGGCCTCTTGCGTGCCTTTGCACCTGGCCGCCTGAACTACCACTTTGGCTTCGAAGGGCCGTCCTACAGCGTCGACGCAGCATGCTCATCGAGCTCGACTGCCATTGCGTTGGCATGCTCCGCGCTAATTGCGCGCGAATGCGACATGGCGTTGGCCGGTGGCGCTCAGCTGGCTAACACTCCTCTCGAGTATTCGAGCCTCGACAAGGCAGGCATGCTGTCGACCACCGGCGGGTGTAAGACCTTCCGAGCAGACGCGGACGGGTACTGTCGCGGTGAGGGTGTGGGGATGGTCGTGCTTAAACGGCTTGAGGATGCCCTTGCAGAGAATGACAACATCGTGTCGGTGATTAGTGGATGGGGTCGGAACCATTCTGCCAATGCCATCTCCATCACGCACCCGCATTCTGAAACGCAGCAACAACTGTATCGCCAGGTGTTACAACAAGCGGGCATCGAGCCTACCGACGTTGGATATGTGGAAATGCACGGCACAGCCACGCAAGCAGGAGACGTGGTGGAGATGGATTCAGTCCTCAGTGTGTTTGCGAGGGACCGCTCTCCCAACAACCCTCTCCACCTTGGAGCCGTCAAAGCCAATATCGGCCACGGTGAGGCGGTGGCCGGTGTTTCTGCGGTGGTCAAGGCTTCGATGATGCTGCAGGAAGGACTGATTCCCCCGCAGGCCGGAATGCCGCGACCTTTGAACCCGAACTTTCCTGATCTGAATGCTTTGAACGTGCGCATCCCGTCGCACCCGATTCCCCTCTCGAACACGAACGACAAAAGCCGTCAAAACAGGATCTTGGTCAACAACTTCGACGCGGCTGGCGGGAATACTTGCTTGCTCCTCGAGAACAGCCCCTGCAAAGAAGCCGGCAAGAATGCGGACCCGCGAGAATGGCATGTCGTGGCCTTGTCAGGCCGCACTGCCCGGTCGCTGAGAGGCAATCAACGGCGGCTATTGAGCTACCTGGAAGCGCACAAGGCTACAAGACTGGCTGACCTGGCATACAGCACCACGGCCAGGCGAATGCACGAGACGCTGAGAGTTGCGTACACCGGCTCGTCGGTGGACGATATCATCTCCCAGCTGGAGGCGAACCTACACAAATCCCCCGACACTGAACGGCCGTCGCTGAAGACGAAGTCAACTGTCATCTTTACATTTACCGGGCAGGGTTCTCAGTATGCCGGCATGGGATGCCAGATTTTCCACCAGTCACGCCGCTTCCGGGGAGAGGCCATTGAGCTTCAGAAAATCGCCACACATCTCGGCTTCCCCTATTTTCTCGATATCATCAGAGACGCCGACGTAACCATGGCGGAGAAATCGACTACGCAGGTCCAGCTGGCCATATTGACCCTTGAAATCGCTCTTGCACACCTTTGGATGTCGTGGGGCCTCAAGCCCTTGGCCGTCATGGGCCACAGCCTCGGCGAGTACGCTGCACTTTGCGTTGCCGGCGTGCTGTCGGCCAGCGACGCAGTTTTCCTCGTCGGCACGCGGGCGACGCTCGTGGAGTCGAGGTGTACCGTGGCCGAGTACGGAATGCTCTCAACCACCGCTCCAGCGGAGACGATTCAGCAAGTCCTGCAAAGCTCGGGGCTAGACATTTCGTGCCAAATATCCTGCTTGAACGCGCCAGCATCGACGGTCGTCAGTGGGAAGAAGCGAGAAATCGAGCAACTCGCTGGTATTCTTGAACAGAACGCGGTTCATACCAGATCTGTCCGGGTCCCGTATGGTTTCCACTCCGCCCAGCTCGACCCGATTCTGGACGACTTCGAAGCAGCAGCAAGCAGCGTCAATTTCGGGGCGCCAGCGATACCGGTCATGTCTACCTTGAATGGGAAGCTGGTCGGAGACAGCGGGGTCTTCACAGCATCCTACCTGGCCAGGCAGATGCGCGAGCCAGTCCAATTCGTCTCAGCCCTTCAGAATCTGAGAGCAAGCGGGTTGGTGGACGAGGGCAGCTTCTGGCTCGAACTCGGGCCAACTCCATTCTGCACCGGCTTCGTCAAATCAACGCTTAAAGTCCCTCCCGAAAGGACCCTGGCTTCTCTCAAAGCCGGAGAGCCCGACTTCAAGACGCTGTCGAGCTCCCTTGGGCAATTGTATCAGAACGGAGTTCATATCCAGTGGGCCGAATTCCACAAAGAGTATCTCGACTCGGTCAGCCTGGTGGACATGCCGACGTATGCATTCGACACCAAGAACTTCTGGGAGACCTACAAAACCACGAATAGCTGGGGCACAATCAGCGCCACGGATGGAGCCTCCCAACCAGGGAAATTGTTGACGTCGGCGCTGCAGAAAATCACCTCGGAGACGGTCAGCGGTCAGGAGATTCGTGTGGTATTCGAGTCCAAGGCCGCCCAGGAAGATCTGTTCGCCGCCATCAACGGCCACATCATCAGCGGTGTGGCACTCTGTCCCTCGAGCGTTTTCGCGGACATGGCACTCGGCGCGGCCAAATATGTCCGGAGCCTGGCTCATCCTCGCGACCCCATTCCATCTGCATCCCTTTGCGACCTGGACATTTTCAACGCTCTCGTCCTGTCGCCTTCTGACGAAACCCAAACTCTCCGCGTCACCGCTTCGGCCGCGGCGGAGGACATGTGGAAGGTGCATCTCTCTTTCTCCTCGAGCTCGAAACGTGGCGGCAAAGACTTCGTCGGCCGCGGCCGATGCCACGTCGATTTCAGCGACGTGTGCCAGATTCGATCCGACTGGGAACGCAGCGCCCATCTCATCCGGTCTAGGATCGAGAGCCTCAAGAGCCGGGACAGCGAGGAACACGTCAGCCGGCTCAAGAGGCCGTATATCTACAAGCTGTTCAACTCGGTGGTCAGATACGACGAAGCCTACCAAGGGCTGCACGAGATCTACATGGACGAAGACAAACAAGACGCCGTAGCCGTGGTCAAGCTCAGGCCCAGAGTCGGCCGAGGTACGTGGACGGCCAACCCGTACTGGACTGACTCCATGGTGCACCTGGCGGGGTTTATCTTGAACGGCAGCAGCAAGACGCCGGAGGATGTGGCATACATCTCCGGCGGGCTTGACCGTATGACGCTCGTGGAGGAACTCGCCGAGGGGACAACGTACCACAGCTACGTACATATGCGCTCAGCGGGCAAGAAGGGCGCTTCCATCGGCGACGTGTACATGCTGGACGGAGCTCGAGTGATTGGCTGCTGCGAAGGTGTCAAGTTCCAGCAGATGAAGAAAAGCGTCCTCAATACGCTTCTTGGGGTCTCTGAACCAGACATCACATCTGTCAGGCGAACGTCTACGACACAACAACAATCCCCAGTGACGACGACGCTGCACCGAGAACTCCCGAGCGGCAAGCCTGTGCTTGACCCCGTCAACCAGAAACCCACTCCGCCTCGCGCCGTCTCCGGGACAAGGGCTGCAAAGGTCGACGATGGCGAGATTGCAGAGATTTTCCTGGAGATGGTCATTGCCGAGACGGGGTTTGACGCAAGCGAGGTGCACGACGATACCGAGTTCGCAGATATGGGCGTCGACTCGCTGATGAGCATGGTCGTCGTCGACGCGATCAAGCGTCGCACGGGCGTCGTCCTGCCGTTGTCGCTGTTCCTCGAGACAGCGACCGTCGGAGCGCTGAGGACCAGATTTGGATCCAAGAGGTCGAGCGGGGGAGAATCCCCGAAGACAGCAACGAATGCGCCGACGTCAAACAGCGAAAACTCGGCTTCTGAACGCTCGGACAACGATCTTGACCCTGTGTGGTCGACCACGCCGCCGACCGACGTCGATGAACCCGCCTTCCTCTCTGACGCGCGCCCAACCACTTACTCCAGCACCGCAGTGCTCATCCAGGGGGGCGAGGCCGACGCCACCGAGCCGCCGCTCTTCCTCATCTGCGACGGCATCGGGTCGGCCGTCGCCTTCGCAGACCTGCCGCCCCTGCCGTCCAGCACCGCCCTCTACGCGCTGGAGTCCCCCTTCCTCGAGGATCCCGCGGCCTTGACCTGCTCGGTCGAAGCCCTGGCCCCGCTGTACGAGCGCGCCATCAAGGCGGTGCAGCGTGCCGGCCCTTACCGCCTGGGTGGCTTGTCCGCCGGCGCCGCCTTTGCCTACGAGGTGGCGCGCCAGATGCTGGCCCGGGGCGAGCAGGTCCTGGGCCTGTTGCTCATCGACATGAAGGTGCCCCGGGGTGCGCCGCATGATCCGCAAGTCGGCATGCCGACGCGTGAGGCGATCGGGATGTTCGCACGATTGCGTGGTGGTGGCGGTGGTGCGCATTCGGGAGACCTGGGCCCGCTGGGCGAGAAGACGCTGGAGCACGTACTGGCGACCAGCCTGTGCGTGACGAGGTACGACCCGCTCCCGATGCGACGGGGCCAGCAGCCCGCCAAAGGCACCTTGGTCGTCTGGGCGCGACGGGGTCTTTGCGAGACGGCCGACGCGCAGGGCCGCGACGCCGCCGAGCTCCAGAACCTCGTCGACCCGGCCGGCAAGAACATCATGTATGACCACGACGTCGACTTCCGGGCCTGGTTCTGCTCCAGGAGGCACGACTTCGGCGCCAACGGATGGGACCGCCTGGTTGGAGCCGTCGAGACGCTCGTGGTCGACGGGGACCATTTCTCGCTTGTCCAGAAGCCCTATGTAAGTGACTGGCTCATTGCTCCCCCCCTTCTCTCTTTTCAGTTTGAGCTCTTTGGTTACCGGTTCTTACAATGTCCGATAGGTCGATGGCCTTGGGAGAGCCATAGAACAGGCGCTGGCCAAGTTCAGCGTCCGCTAGGATGTGCAAGCGAAGTTCACATCGCCGCCTCAGGGATGTTGCCCGTAAGTCTGTCCCACTCCGCCCTGTCACGATACATAGTGAGCCAGGTAGTCAGTCCAACGCCTCACCTGGAAGTGAGAAATGTCTCTGACTCAATCTCCCATCACCAGAGTTCCCTGACAACAAAGCCCACGCCTTGACTTCCGCACGAAACAGGTCTCTTGACCCTTGCCATCGAAGTTCTCAGCAAGGGCGACAAGACATCGGGTTTGGAGCTACAGCTCAGATGTACAAGACTTCGCGAACCGAACTCTCCGTCGTCGACGCGACGCTAGGTCCCCTTACCGACCCGGGCAGGATGCACGAGCCTCATTCACTTGAGATAGGTCTTCGAGAAGAATCAATGGCCTTGCAGAGCGCAGGCTTTCCAGTAGGGGTTAGTCAATGCACGAGAACAATCCCGAAAAAGCCATGGATAGAATTAGTCGGGTTGGACGGTCGATACGTAGCTACCTAGGCAATTAGATTCATAGGTATGGTACGTACCTACGCCGATACAATCAATCAATATACAGTTTGGAGCCATTATCGACATTATTGAACAAATCGTATGGAGTCAATTCAAGCGCTCGTACCAGACTCCTCGTCTTGTTGCTGCCGTCCCCCCCCCCCCCCGGACAAGGGTCTTAACGCAACGAAGGAAGTAAGTAGGTAGCTAGATGCGTTGAGGTTGACCCTCTTACTATTAATGATACAGCGAGCGACACCCATGGATGGATGGACCTTGCGCTACGCACAAGACACGAAGAATCGAACGCTACAGAGGACCTCGGATTCACCCTAAGTTAAGAGTGGCATCACCAGCCTCATCGTCCTACCGCAACGGTCTTTTTGGTCGAAGTGAGAAAGATTCTTCTCTTGCGCGCCCTGTCTATCATACACTGGCTTGGAGGTGGGTATCTCTTTCGTCAACCGGGACAATTAATCCTCCCTCTCCGTTCCCCCTTGACCCTAATTCAAGCGCCTGTCTCAACGCGCAGTGGCTTAACGCTCAGTGTTGGACAAGCCGAGGCACCCCCCGAAACGCCATCTTTCTATGCAATCGGTGACAATGATGACGTCCGTCCGTAAGAAGAGATACAAAATGTACAATAATGCCGGGCTGCGGTGACGATCGAGGCCCCTTTGTTCAATTCAAGGTCCAACAACCGCCCCGGTGTCACGAAGTTGTTCCGAAGAGCCGGAGGAAAATCTCGTAGGTCGACATCATCACGGCGGCGGCGGGTACAGCTCGAAGCAAATGCGGCGTCATCCCTCCATACAACCCAGCCAGCCCTTCTTCCTTGGCCACAAGGCGGAAGCACTGTACCAGGCCGGTGTATTTCATCGTGACTCTGCCCGTCTCCGTCGTGATGGTTGGCGCTTGCCGTAACCTCGTACGGACAACTTCATGAGGATATGTAATGACCGCGGCGAAGAGCTTAGCACCGGCTGCCGCGCAGAACTTCCCTCCGAATTCCTCCGCATCGTCGAGCATGGTTCGTTGGTACCCGGGGTGCGACAGGCGCTTGGCTTCCCTTCTGGCCAGGGACAGCTTCATCCGCTCGTACAACACCCACTGAAGAGTGGACTCGGTAACTCCCAAATACGAGGCTGACAAGCCCCGGTACAGACCCCGGATGCCCTCATGGCGCACAGTCTGCCTGATACAGTCCCAGCTATTCTTGTATTGTCGTCCTTTCGAAGGATCATGGCTGGCGGTGTTTTTGTCCAGTTGCAGTCGCGTCTTGACGACCCAGATGGGATTTGTAGCAGTACCCGTCGCTATTCCCGCCGTGGCTGCGGCGAGAAGATGGACGCTCCAGACATTCTCACGCCCCTCTGGGTTGAGGTAATTATTCAGGATCCTCTTGCCATTCCCGTACACGTAAAAATTGATGCTCCTTGCGGGCACGACGCCAATCAGGTTTGCGCCGAGACCTCGAAATAACGCCCGAAACCCCTCGTGTTGGTATATCGACCGCAGGATCTGTACAGTCTCGGCGATGTGGAAGAATGCTGCTCTGGGAACCGAGGTGAGCGTGACTTTGTGTGGTAGAGGATGTTGAGCGTGTAAGGTTTTGAGTTGAGCTTGGTAGAAATCCGATTGGAGTCGGGTCTTCAGGACGTCGAGAGGAGAAGTGAGAGTGGCCGCGGCCATGCCACCGATACTAGGACATCATGAGTTTTGACTTCAAGTGTTTGAGGACCCAGTTGTGGCCGCATACCCTCCTGCGACAAAATGGGCCCATGGCTTTGCCTTGGGCCCATCCTTTGTCACCGTAGTCGCATGGTCATTCCGTCCCCCAGGCACAACCTGTCCAGTCTCCCGGGACTGAAGAATCAGAGGACTTTCTCCTCTCGCGCTGGTACCCTGGAAAGGCTCGGGAGTCGCCGCAGGAAAGGTCATGAACGTTTTGCGCGGTTAGCTTTGGAATGAGATGAAGAAAAGGAGCCTGCACGAATGTTGGAAGCAAGACCACAGAAAGGTAGAACTGTACAGTCAAAGAGGGAAAAAGAAGGATAATGCTGGTGGTACAACGCAGGGCAACGACGAGGATTGAATTTCGTTACCACTCGTTCGATGCGCCAAAAAAGGGCATGGAAATTTTGGATCGGAGGCGGAAAAACTCAGCATCCGAGAAGCCGAGAGACCACCGCAGTCACGTGTAAGGCTTCAAATGACTGATTTCTCGGTCAAGCAAAGGCTGGTCTCTGCTGCCACATGCACAACATCTCATGAACGTGGACGTAGAAGATCACACGTCTACGCATAGCACATTATGTGACCGATTCCTCGGTTCCCCCCCCCAAAGAAACGCGAAGTGCATCAGATGGAGAAAGTTGGGGTAGGTGAATTATTACCACTCCCGAGGTATGTATCGAGGTAGCCTGAGCCCTCCAGTCGGCTATATGCTCCGAGCTGCTCTCCGCTTCCACCGGATCTTTGTCCGTATTATCTCACCCTTCCCGCCCTTTCCCACCGGAATTGGTCTGGCCGTCGTGCCCAAGGCTGCTCGAGCTCGACGCGTCCTCGTTTCCATCATGAAACTGTACAGGTTCATGTCGCTGGCGGTTAACGTGCAACGAGAAGACGTCGAATCTCTGATATCCGCCGACAACGTCATGGTACTGCTTGCCTTCTATGCACTCGTTCAGGTCTAGGTCTGCAAAGAGGATTGCTTCCATATTCGTGACCATGGCTTGTCCATCCAGCAGCTGGTCCTTGGTGAGGTCCATGGCGAAACCACCTTCGACGGTTTTGCCAGTGGGATCGAGAAATTGACTTGCTCCTCGGGGGTAGCTTGCTAGCCTCTTGCGCATGTCTTCGGGTGCCTCAGTCATGGCAGCAATGTCAGCCATGGCAGCATCATCAAGGTGTCCCGCACTCATGATTCCGAAGCATTTGGCTTCAAAGCAGTGAGCCGCTGCTCGCGTATGATTTGCAGCAATGTTGTCGTAGTTGCGACTCCTTGTGCTTACAGGATTGTGTTCATTGCCAGCGTTCTCGACAAGGACTCGGGTAGGCCAGATGGCGGGCCACGTGGAAATATGAACTTGCTCCCCCTGTGCCATGAGAGCATATCTGGCCAGCGGGTTGGTGTTCTCACCACAGATCAAAGCCCCAATCTTGCCGTACCGGGTCTGTGCGACGCGTAGGCCATAGCCATCCCCGGGAGCCCAGGTCAACTTCTCGAAGAATGTAGGCATCAATTTGCGATGATGGACGAGAATCTCGCCGTCCTCGCCAATGATTATATTAGTGTTGAACAGGGTCCCCGAACTGTATCGCACCCTCTCAGATATTCCCAGACTGACAACCACGCGGTTGTCGCGGGCTGCTTGACGGATGGCAGAGATCTCTTCGCCATCGACATAGACCGACTCCTGCACCATCCGTCGGAAGAAGTGGTGGGTGTGAGTCGGCGGAAGCAGTGAGGACCATAGTGGAAATGCAGGGATTGAAGCTTCCGGGAAGACGACCAGATGTGCCGATTGTCTGGCGGCGGTGTTGATGCAATGGATGGTCTTCTGCGTTGTGCGAGCCGCGGAGAGAATGTGGGGTGAGATGTGGCATGCTGCTGCTCTCAGGCTGGGTAGAGCCATGAATCATGATAGAGAGTCTGGAGGCATTCTTGTTCGCCAGGACCAAAGCCTGAAGCAGTAGTCAGCCGAGATGGAGGAGCCAGGCCGGGGAGCATGTGGCCTGATGGATCCGGGGCAGCAGGAGTCCATGATACAGGCATCTCGCCCAGGGCACCGGAATATTAATTGCTGCAGCTGTTGCTTTTCCGAATGTGGCCTCTGCTGCCTCGGTTCTCGGATTACGCCAACGGCCCCCCGTCGAACCGTCCAGCCTCTGGCTTCGTTGCAGCTTCTGATATTTGTTGTTGATCACTAAATCCATCATCTCCCATCATCCCCTTCTTCCAGATCCATTTAATCCTGACCTCGCCGCTTCGATCGAGGAACCCTCTGACCAACTTCCCCAGCTTCTTCTCCGTCTCTCAAGCTACTCCAGAATGTCTGTTCCGTACCTCATCAACAGTGCCGCCGGGCACATTCCTGCCTCGGAGAGAATCCCAGTTATCGCCAGACCTTTCGTGAGCGAGCGAGCAAAGAAGACATTGGACCTGGTAAGTCAGACTCGCAAATATTTCTTTGCAAGCTCTTTTCTGCATCCCATTCCATCGCCGCCGTCCTCTACGGGGTGCTTGAACTAGCCTCAAAACAATACATCCTTCCATGACACTTGCCGTAAAGCATCGAAAGCCAATGCCAATAACCCGGTGCTCGCTAGGTCGAGAGATTCGTCGAAGAAGAATGCATCCCCGCCGATGCCGTCTTCGCCCAGCAGCTCAACCAAAAGGGTGGCGACACAGTCTCGCGCTTCGACGCCCACCCCCAGGTCATTGAAGACCTCAAGACCAAAGCTCGCAAGCTGGGCCTGTGGAACATGTTCCTGCCCAAGAACCACTTCAAGGAAGGCGCCGGGTTCTCCAACCTCGAGTACGGCCTGATGGCCGAGTACCTGGGCAAGTCGGGCGTCGCCAGCGAGGCCACCAACTGTGCCGCCCCGGACACGGGCAACATGGAGGTGTTCGCCAAGTACGGGACCGAGGAGCAGAAGCAGAAATGGCTTGGCCCCCTGTTGAACGGTGAGATCCGGTCGGCGTTCCTGATGACGGAGCCGCAAGTGGCGAGCAGCGATGCCACCAACATCGAACTCGACATGAGGAGAGACGGGGACTACTACGTGCTCAACGGCCAGGTTGGTTTTACACTCATCGCTGCTTTCCTCGTCGTTTATCTAACAATCGCTCTAAAAAGAAATGGTGGTCCAGCGGTGCGGGCGACCGCCGATGCAAGATCTACATCGTCATGGGCAAATCTGACCCCAACAACCCGAACCCTTACAAGCAGCAGTCGGTCATTCTCGTGCCCGCCGACACGCCCGGCCTCACGATCGAGCGGATGTTGTCGGTGATTGGCTTTGATGACGCCCCGCACGGGCACGGCCACATCTCGTTCAACAACGTGCGCGTCCACAAGAGCAACATGATCCTGGGCGAGGGACGCGGCTTCGAGGTCGTCCAAGGCCGTCTGGGACCTGGGCGAATCCACCACGCCATGAGATCCGTCGGTGCTGTAAGTAGACTTTTACCTCCATCCCCTTTCGTTTTCCAACGCGCTTGGTGGACAATGAATGGTCTCTAACCGAGACCTCTCTCTTTTTTTCATTTCCAGGCCGAAAGAGCGCTCGAATACTTCCTCGCCCGCATGAACGACCCGGCCAAGAAGCCCTTCGGCAAGCTGCTCGCCGAGCACGGCATCATGCTCGAGCGGGTGGCGCGGTCGCGCATCGAGATCGACGCGGCGCGGCTCGCCGTGCTCAACGCCGCCATCAAGATCGACCAGTCCAACGCCAAGGACGCGCTCAAGGAGATCGCCGAGGTCAAGGTCCAGGTGCCCAACATGCTGCTCGACGTCCTGGACCGCGCCATCCAGGCCTACGGCGGCGCCGGCGTGTCCCAGGACACGCCCCTGGCCAACATGTGGGCCAGCGGCCGGACCATGAGGATCGTCGACGGGCCCGACGAGGTGCACATGCTGCAGCTGGGCCGCAACGAGAACAAGCGCGGCCCGGCGCTGCTGAAGCGCATCGCCGCCCAGAAGGAGAAGACCAAGGAGTTGCTCCGCCAGTATGGCCTGGAGCCCAGGGACCCGTTGGCCTTGAGGCGGGTCAGCGGAGGTCAGTCCAAGTTGTAGCTTTTCCATCAAGTCTGGGCGCGCGCGACGAACTCGCGGTCCAGGTTGTGAGTGGGAGAGAGTGATGACTTGTGGGTTGGATGCTGCGCCTGCTTGGTTTCTGTTGATTGGCTGTAATCAAAGGAAAAAGGGGTCGAAAGTTGCTTTGTGTATCTGCAAATCGTCCAAACTTGCTCCTTGGAGTTCTTCTCTTCCTGTCTCCCCTTTCGTGCGTGCTTCTGAATGGTTGAATGAGTGAGTACGCGTCTGCAGTTCTCAGATGATCCCCGTAAACCCCCTCTTTCTCAGCATCGCCCCGAGCTCGTTGCCTTCGTCGAAACTTCCTCTCCAGTCCCCAGACCAAACCCAGAGGTAACAAGGTATTCGCCCACCGCCAAACACCGGAGTAACGATAAAAAAACGGATGGTGGCACTTGGTTCTTTGCGCTTGTCTAGACAATATTTGCTGAAAGAGTCTTCCAACGGTCAGTAAACGTCCTCCGTTGCGGCCTGGACTCAAAGATGCATCTTTCGGTTCCCGCTAGAGAAGACTTAGACTTTGATTGTCTATATGCCTCAGGACAGAGTTTGAAGGCTCGGTCTACCACAGTCAAATCACAACCTCGAACTTGGTACATACCTATCCATCTAGAGCATCGTGGGACTTAGGTTTCAGCTTGCTGGGACAGCACATGGACAGTCCGCGTTCACTAGGTCTTGATGTATCACGGGTTCGCTGAACCTCTCGTTAGTCACAGAGGTCGTAGGAAGGGAGGCCGTATCCCCCCCAGTCGTGAAGCTCCAGAGCACTCTCGGCCTTACCGAACTCACCGTTTCCTTGGGACTATCTCATATACTGGAGCATGGATTGCTGAGTCACGATCCTCAACACACCCACGTTGGGAGTTAGCTCCTGGAATCTTTTTCCTTTGGGCAGAAGCCCAAACGGCGCGCGCAGATCCTCCACACTCTCCGGGTAGGAGCCAGCTCACGAGGTCTCGGGGTGGCCATTGCTGAAAAGTGGTCGGGAACGCCAAATTTGGAATTTGAGGCCCCAGACATGTGCTGAGTTCTTGCACTTGTGGTTCGAGGGAGGGAGGAGGGGGCTTCACTTTGAACCAAACGTCTGGGAAACTTGGATAAGCGCGCCCCGAACCTCTGGTCTTCGTTATGACTGGCCAACAGGTGAGAAGAATATCCGTCCTCTTCTGTGAGATCCAAGCGTTTGGGTTTTTCTGGTGGCAACCCTCTGCGGGGGGACCGATCGATCACTCATGGTTCAAACGGGCTCAGCACTGCAGAAAACCCCGGGTGTCTGGGGGTACCCGCAAACATGTGCGCCAGAATTCGGACGGTATCCATGCACGCTATGGTAAAAATGTCTGTTTTTTTTTTTTTTTTGAACTAGGCCGTTGAGATAGCTTAAAAAGAGCGGCCCAGAGAAACAGGGTAGATCTGGGTTTGGCCCGGCAGCACCGAGAACTGTAAGACCAAGTAAGTCTAAAGATGTTGGAATTGGCTCGGACTGCCCCGAGGCCCAACCATGGACAAATGAGGAGGATTTAGAGCAGACTCTTTACCTCGAAAGTCAGTCTGACCCAAGGACAATAATGTGCGCAGTTCAGTGCTGGAAAGGCGACTCTGGACCATTATGGCTCTCAGCCATGCCGTGCTTGTGGATGGACAGCTGTGCAAGGCTTAAGGAAGGGTGTCAGCGCGAAGAAACAGAAGAGCATTGGTGCCATCGATTGCCAACGCCGACCCTTCACGTCTGTATTCCCTTTTTGGGGCATTCGCATTGGTGGGGGACAATCATGTCTCATGGAGACAAGCAAAGATCACCCCTTTTGGCCTTTTCTTCGCAGAATGAGAATAGCGTCTTTCTTGACCGATCAGCGTGGTCACCATCCGGAACCTTGAGGGACATGTAAGTACCTATAGGGACAGACTGGAGAAGAGTAGGGGAGAAAGGGGTCCGTCCTGCCGTGAGCCAAGGTTTATCGAGAGAGTGGTTCATTGATCTCACTGGGTCAGGAGAGAGGCAGAGAGGCAGCATATCACGCAGGTATGGAGAAGTAGCCATCACCAAGCCCAAGACCGAAGTTTGAGCAAATGCCATGGTGGTGGCGCAGTCCAGCTGCATACGCGTCCGTGGGACATGGACTTAGACTTTCGCCTTTGTATCTCTTGCTCCATCGCCATCGCCATGTCCATGTCCATCTCCATCTGGTCCTTGGTTGCATGTGGACAGCCTGATGGTTTGTCGTTCTCTGCACACAGCAAACACGCTGCCCCCATTCGCTATCTCACTAAGTTCTATCTGCAAACCATGCGTGCAAGGCAACCTGCTGGTGCTGCTGTCCAGAAACTCAGTTGCTCCAGGACCAAGTCCGTTCCCTTCCCAGAGCCATGCCACCTGCCCGATCTATCCAAGCTCGCCTCCTAGGTCCCAGGACTTGGGACGAGAGATCCCATTTCCGCGGCAGAGCTGGGGGCAGTTCCCTCTCTGGGGTTTTTCTTCTGGTTGGCGAATGGTGGAGATCCAATATATGCTGTCCAGATGTGTATATATTGCTGGGAGATCCCCCCCTTGTCCAGAATCCTCATCACCATCTGGCCTGACCCCTTTTGCCATCGCAATTCTAGTGGTGCCACTTTTCCCGCCGATTCCAGACTCGTCGTTGCCTGTTTCCATCATACGTTTTCACCGCTCGTCAAGCTTAGAGCCGCCGCTCGAAGCCGGCGTTGGTCCCTGCCACGTCTCCCCCCTCCAAAGCCACCCCCCAGCAGAGCGCCAGGGTTACTTGACCAATCGTGGTTTTCCTTTTACTCATCATTTCCCTGGCCCTGAGTCTCACTTCCAGCACTTCAAAATCCCAGGCCAAGCCGCTTGGGCAGCTTTTCTCGGTCCCCAAAGAAGCATTTTCCTGTCGATGATACGTCTCTGATGTGGTCTGCGCCCAGACACCAACTCCTCAGCCGCCGAGCGTTGATGCTTGCTGGACATGGCGTCTGAAGCCAGCATAGCGCCCAATGTTACCATATCCAAGCAAGAACGGATCCGCGACAATCAACGCCGCAGCCGTGCTCGACGCCAGGAGTATCTGGCCGGCCTGGAAAGACGGGTGAAAGAATGCCAGGTGTCTTGTCGCGAGGCCGACCTGCAGCGCGCAGCCTACGTCGACCTGCAAGTCGAGAATGCTCGGCTGCGAGATCTATTGCACTATGTTGGTATCACCCCTGACGTCGTCGAGAACTTCGGCCGCCACGGCATGCAAGCGCTACCTGGCAATACAGCAGCGGTTGCGCATCGCCAGATCAGGCCGAGATATCACCAACCGATGGCATTGCGCACCGGCGATTTGGATGCTGTGGACATAATTCAACAGGAGTTAGGAGCGGGAGCGGGATCGTGTTGTCCCACAATCTCTAGTTCAGCATCGCTCTGTTCCCCGACGCCTGCGCTGCCGCCCGATTCTCTACATGGCTACGACGGACAGCAGTGTCCGCCTTACGTGGATGCTTCCAATGTGCCTGCAACGAGTCTTCCTGAGATCGCCTCAATGTCCCCATTCAGTTCGTTTGAATGGACGCATCGCCCTGACAGTCAGGATCCTCCTGCATTCCCCGACGAGACTTTCCGTTGCGACGCCTTCGGAATCCCGGCAAATGGACCACTTCTACCAGAGAACACAAACACCGTGCAATGTCTGATCGCCAAAGGGATGATCGAGCAGTACGACCCAACTCCCACGGAGATGGAGGAAATCGAGGCGCGCCTTGCCACCGCCTTCAGTCTTCCGAGATCCGGGGAATCGGGCTGTCGAGTCAACGCCCAGCTTCTGCTCGAGATATTGCAAGAGATGGATGCTAGACCGAAACGCGATTAAAAGAAGGTGTTTCCATTCTTGGTGGCATGCGTCGCTCCTATGCCGCCCAATTTTTGCGGCTGCCAAACCACCTGACTGCATACACAAGCCCAAGCAGAACTGGCACCTCGATAAGAGGGCCTACAGTTGCCGCCAGAGCTTGGTCACTGTCGACACCGTATGTCGCGATGGCGACAGCAATGGCCAGCTCAAAGTTGTTGCTCGCCGCTGTAAAGCTCTGGGTGCAGGCGAGTCTGTATCCGAAACCGAGTCTCCTGGTGACTAGGAGCGTCGATAGGAATATGACTGCAAAGTACACGATGAGCGGAGCGGCAACTCTTACAACAGATACGATCTGGTGGATCACACGGCGGCCTTGGGATCCGAACAGGACGATGATTGTGAAGAGGAGGCCGATCAATGACAGCGGTCCAATCCATTTCAGGAATCTTTTTTCGTACCAGTCTTTGCCCACGAGATTTCGAAGGCTAAAGCGGGTGACGATGGCAGCGGCGAGAGGTATCCCGAGGAAGACGCCGACGCTCTTCGCGACCGGGGCATAGTCAACATCGACCCCATCGGCGGAGTGACTGATATCGTCGATGAAAAGCAGGGCCAGTGGGGCAAAGAGGACCATTTGTAGGAGAGAGTTGATAGCGACCAGTATAGCACAGTACTCGTTGTCGCCACCAGCCAAACCTGTCCAAATCAGAACCATAGCAATGCATCTAGCGATTCCAACCAGGATGAGCCCATCGCGGAGGCCGGGTTCGTCAGGGAGGAAGGCCCAGGCCAGGGCCAGCTAGATTTTGTCAGTATTAAATCACACTGCACAATACTGCAAGACTCACCATGAATAGAGGTGCTATTATCCAGTTGACGAAGACGCTGAAAGCTATCTGCACCCATAGGGTCCTTTCGTGAAAGGAGTGATGTAATGTCTCAAACCTGACCTTGCACAGAATAGGATACATCATGACCAGTAATCCAATCGCTGGCTTAAGAGTTAGATCTCCGGAGCTCATCAGACTGTCTCAAGCCGGCCCAGCGTACCTATTGGGATCGAAACGCCGACGAATTCACCTCTTTGGAGGGCAGGGCCAGTGCCGGGGACGAAATTGCCCAGCAGAATGCCCGTGAGCATGGCCAGAAAGATCCATAGTGCAAGGAACTGGTCGAGGATGCCGAGATTTTTGAAGGCCGATGCATGAACACTGGACGGTGGTTCGTTACTGGGTTGTTGCTCGAGATCCAGAGGCGTAGCAGATGGGGATACTTCTGGGGCCAATATGGCCTCTTTGTTCTGGACGTCCATGGCTGGACGGTATGCAATATCTCTTCAGACCCCCGATGGTTCGGAAGAGATGAAAGCTAGAAGTTGGAAAGGAGAAATGGTGATAGCTGCATTAGATATAGATATCGAGGCTTATAGATAGACTGTCGACACCAACTCGAGGGGGCAAAATCCCAAACGTCGCCTCGAATTGTATCTGGCTGAGGTTTTCAGCCAATGGGGGCGAGGCCGTGACAAACTCGGGCATCTGATTTTCGTTCGAGTCTTTTCCCAATCCATAAGGAGGCGTGCGCAAGCGAAGGATCGAAGTTGCGATTGGTGAGGTGCCAATACCTTACCCACGCCCTCTCGCCGAAGCGGATGGTGCTGCCAGCAGATCCCCGCTAATGTCCCATTTTCTCCCCCCAGCTTCCGTATGCGTGCGACTGGACAGGCGAGCAAAGAAGATTCGAAGGACGACAGGAACAGGCATAGTGCGAGACGGAGGGGAGGTCGGCGGCGAGGTTGAACGATTGGAGGCACTGAGGGGGAGGTCCTGGAGGTCACAAGCGTCTTTTGCTGACCGTCGAGCTCAATGCTGCCCACAGCTGCCCAGATGCCGTCATTGCGTGATTGGAGAAGCAAAGCTGGTGGTTGGTGTCGCATGTCGCAGGCCAGGCGCAGTTGATCGGCTGACCAGCGCAGCTTCTGCTGCTCCGTCCCCTTCTCCATTCCCCGGATTTCCTCTTTCCTCCTCGTGTCGTTGCATGTGTTTGTGCGCTCTCTCTTGCTCTCTCTCGCTCTCTCATGTCTTCTGTCCTTGAGTCGAGCTTTTAACAAGGTCTTTTCTTTGCTCCTGCTTCCTGTCACCCCTCCGTCATGCGGCTGGTTTCCGCATTGGCGGTCGTGGCCGCCGCCCTCCCCCTCCAGGTCGAAGCCTCACGCCTGACCCCTCCCGTACTCCCTCTGATCGTGCGAAACCCTTACCTCAGCACCTGGCTCGCTAACGCACGAGACGTGCCTTGGGAGAAATGGCCCATGTTTTGGACCGGTCAAGAGATTGGCTTCTCCATCCTTGCCAGCGTTCCAGAGAAGAGGACTGCGTACCCTCTGCTGGGGAGACCACAAGACTCGCTCCGGAAGGACAGTGACAAGTAAGAAATACCTGTGCCTTTTTGTCTTGGAGTGTGCAATTAACCCTCTTTGCAGCTATACTGTGTCCTCGCCAATCTACCATGGAGCTGTGTATGATGCCTCCACTACGAATCTGTCCTACTCTCTACCGCTGCCCTCACTCTACCCAGAGTCCAGTTACATTGACATTACGGTTTCGTTTTTGTCTCCTATAACTCCCACTTCGACTGTCAGACAATCCATTCCCGCGAGCTATGTCACTGTATACGTCTCGGGCAATGTGCCCGTGGACATCTACATGGACCTGAATGGCCAATGGGTCAGCGGTGACCGAGGAAGCAAGATCGTTTGGGGCCTTGATCACACTGCGTTGGAGGGTATATCCCGCGGTTTCAAAACGTGGAAGGTCCAGAGAGCAGTGCAGCAGCTGTTCACCGAATTTCAAGATCGAGCTGAATGGGGTACTCTCTACTTCTCCGCGCCCTCAGACGTGCACCATGAGGCCGGTGTGTCGGCTAAGTTAAGGCAACAGTTTGCCAGGAACGGGAGTTTGAAAGACAGGGTCGATCACGACTTCCGATCGATTATGGACGAGGAACCCGTCTTCGCATTCTCCAAGTCTTTTGATCTAAACACCACCCGATCCACAGACCAAAGTATCACGTTTACGATCGCTCACATCCAGGACCCCGTTGTCCAGTTTGCCGCGGCGCGCGGGCTTACCTACATGCGTCCATTGTGGGAATCATATTTCCCAACTGTCCAAGAAGTGCTTACCTTCCACTACCTTGATTTCCATCATGCCAGCCAACTGGCGGCCAACTATTCGGCGCGGCTGGCTATCGACGCATACCAGTCTGGTGCTGAGGATTATGTCGACATCGTGGCGCTCTCTGCCCGTCAGGTTCTGGGGGCTACAAGCTTTTCGGGCACCCCAGACGATCCCATTCTCTTTTTGAAGGAAATCTCTTCAAACGGCAACTTCCAAACCATTGACGTTATCTTCCCCGCCTTCCCGTTCTTTTTGTACACGAATGCACGATGGCTTGGATATCTGCTGGAACCGCTGATTGAGCACATGCTGAGCGGACAATATCCAAACAAGTATGCAATGCATGACCTTGGCTTCCATTTCCCGAATGCCACCGGCCACCCGTTGGGACAAGACGAGTACATGCCGGTAGAGGAGTGTGGAAACATCCTCATCATGGGACTTGCATTGGCTAATGCCTTGAAGAATGACGCGGGCTGGACTGCGTCATCTACATGGCAGGCGATGGGCGGTGTTCCCACGCCGATTCCCTCGTCGGATAGCCTTGCTCCTTTGTCGGTGGGTAGGGACGATGGCATCCTCTACATTGACGATGCCTGGGTTGGGCAGCCCGAAAGCCTGAAGAGAGCCCAGAGGTGGGTTCGTAGGAGTTATCGGCTGTGGAAGCAGTGGACAAGTTACCTGGTTGAGTTTTCCCTGCTGCCTCACAACCAGCTCTCAACCGACGACTTTGCTGGCTGGCTGGCTTTGCAGACAAACCTGGCCCTCAAGGGTATCATTGGCATCAAAGCCATGGCCGGGCTTGCCGAGCTCACGGATAACTATGAAGATGCGAAGGTATTCAATAACATCTCGAAAGTATATATCGAGAAGTGGGAGGAATATGGTATTTCTCGAGACAAGACCCATGCCAAGGTCGCCTACAATTGGTATGGTTCCTGGACTACCACGTACAACCTGTATGCGGACAGCCTACTGTGTTTCCATTTGGGCTCAGGCAACTCATCGACGAAGACCTCCATTGCTGGTCGTTATGAGTACCAGAAACCTCTGAAGGATGCTATTTCTGGGGACCATGACGGATTTGTGCCAAAACACATATACCAGATGCAGAGCGACTGGTATTACGCTGTCCGGCAGAAGTACGGGTTGCCTCTCGACTCGCGACACCTATACACCAAGACAGATTGGGAATTCTTTGCAATGGCCGTTGCCGCGCCGAAAGTCCGAGCCAATATCTTGCAATCTGTTGCCAAGTGGGTGAATGAGACAGAGACAGATCGACCATTTACCGACTTACATATGACGGAAGGAAGAGGAGGGTTTCCCGGACCGAACTTTTTCGCACGACCTGTCGTTGGAGGCCATTTTGCATTTTTGACGTTGGGACAAGCGTGTAAGGGGAGGGCTATGGAGGGTCTGAAGTACCTGAATGACGATGTGACGAAAAAAATGGATGTGCAGGGCATACTGGACGCGGAAAGAGCTGAGGCTGGATGGCACTCACTCGAGCTCTAAATTGGTAGCAGCAAGGTCTTATACTTCAGGGGAATGAACCCGAATACTTCGTATATGTCCATATCGAACGACAAGGAGACAATTCTGTTCCTGAGGCGAGATCTTATTCGATCCCAGTGGCTCTTCCTTCATTCGAGGCACTGTTTCCGTTCCTTTGGCGAAGTCTAACCGACATAGTCTCTGCGAAGGGGGTTGCAGACGTCTATGAATGTAGGCAATTTGTGAAAACTCCGCGACTGATTCTCTCCATTGATTCTCACTCGCTCCTGTCGATTTTGACGGTCATCCCAAACGACGTTCACCACCGGGATAGGCTTGACTCGGTTGATTTTCTCTTGTCGGTCTATCATTTTCCAGCACCGCTGCGTGCCTGACGCAGAAGGATAGACGGTCTGGATATTGATCTCGACAATGGTCCGGGAGGGCAGCGGATCTTTATATTTTGGTTCTTATTCGCGAAGGTAGTCGGAGGCAAGTCAGTAAGTAAGCAAGTCGGTCGGTCGGAAGGGTGTGGTGAAGTGGTGATACATAGAATCATGAGTAGCGTGGTGTGCATATATGTGGTTCAATAGATATAAAGACTTTGTAGCAGTGACAGGTTTGGCATCCAAGCAGAGCTTGAAGATTCTTTTCTGTTGTCTTACAGCGAGGCCAGGCCAGGCGAGGAGAGGCGAGGAGAGGAGAGGGAGAGGAGAAGAAACGCTTTTGCATGGCTAAGTGTCCCAGTCGACCTTTATCGTCAGTCGCTGGATCACTTGCCGCTCACGTCCAACATCTCTTTGACGCTCCCAAACTTCTCTCGCGGCTTCCCTCTTTGCTTCCCGACCTTCTTCTCCACCTGGTCGATCCTCTGCCAGCTGTCCCAGTGGACTGGTCTGAGCGGCAAGCCGGACGTGGCGGCGTCGGCCTGGACGCCATCCCAACCATCTCGACTGCCCGCGGACCACGACAGGGTTTGAGCCTTCTTCCTCCAGTCCGCCACGATTGCTTCGGCGGTTTGGAACGCGTCGGTCATGGTGCTGGCGATCACACCTGTCGGGCCGCGCTTCACCCAGCCAGAGCAGTAGATGCTCGTTTCGTGCCCCCCCAAGGCCTCGCTGCTCGCTAGAGGCACGACTCGCCCCGATCCGTCATGCCGAATCGTTCCTTTTCGCTCGTCGAATTCGACACCCAATTCTGCCATCCCGGGGATGGCTTCAGCCTTGTATCCTATCGAGCGGAATAGCGTCGATGTGGGAATCAGCTGCGTCTCTTCCGTAGTGCTGACCTTGGATTCCGGGTCAGCTGGGTTCTCGAGGTCCGTCTTCGAGAACACGACTCCCTCCAGTTTGTCTGGGTTGGAATGGGACCATTTCAGCGAGTTTGGCGCGAGCAGAAAATCCAGAGACCAGGATTTCGTGGCGCTTTCCTTCAGCGGACTGCCCTTCTTCAGAAGTTCCATCAGCCGTCTTTTCGGGCGGGGCAGCTTGGACAGGTCGGGCGGGAAAAGATGGTCCGGTATAGCGCGGAAATTGACATCTTCCAGGTGCAGAAGCTCCCGCACTTCCTTGATTGTGAATGCGGCCTGCATGGGGCCTCGCCGACCCACCACATGGACATGCTTGATCTTGCTGTCGGAGAGCGCATCCAATGCGTATTCTGTGATATCGGTCTTTCTCAGCGCGTCAGGCCTGCTCAGAAGCGTCCTAGCCACGTCCAACGCCACATTTCCTTGCCCAACAACCACCGCGGTGTCCCCGGCTGTCAAGTCAGGGTCAAGATCTCGATATTCGGGAAGACCGTTGTACCACCCTACAAAAGCGCGAGCGGAGTATATGTGAGGCTTGTCCTCTCCCTCGAGGCCGATTTTGCGATCTTTCGAGGCGCCGTAAGCGAAGACTATTGCGTCGTAATGTCTGGCGAGGAGCGGGAGCGGGAGATCGTGGCCTAGATTGACGTTTCCAATGAAGGTGAAGTCGGAGGACGCGGCTATAGCTTGGAAGGTGTCTTGGACATTCTATGAGGCGTGTCAGAATATCGTTGCGTGCGAGTGGAGGGGGAAAGTATGACCTTTACCTCTGGATGATCTGGAGCGACTCCGAACCTGACGAGCCCAAAAGGTACCGGAAGCTGTTCGTACATGTCTATCCTTGTCCCTCGAATTTCCCGCAATAGCTTTTGGGCCGTGTAGAAGCCTGCTGGCCCGGAGCCAATGATGGCCACGGTAGGGGCTGGTCCATTCCCATCATGTCCTGCAGCTGCATCACTAATAAAGTTCCTTTGAACAGAAAAAGTAATTGAGCAGCGGTAGCGTGGAGAAGAAGGAATTCTTGCGCGAAACGGGTGGCGCAAGCATTTGGTAGTCAGCATGGCCAGTGTAAGGAGAGGCTCGCCATCATCCCCTTTCTTTGACCCGAGGAAGCTCTTCTTTCGAAGAGGTGGGAGAGTTGCAGTCACAATTGAGATGACGAACATGCATGGGTGTCTCGGAACGGAGCAATTACTCGGTATTCGTTATCGATAAAGCTTTTGTCCGAGGCTTAACCGACCGCATCAGGCTACATCTCAGCCTTGTCGCATTCCCCCACCCCAACTGCGTTGCCATCGGTTAAATACCAGCAAGAACTCGAAGTCTCGACTCGTTTGTCCAACACTGGCCACCCCTTCCTCTCCCACCTTCCACCTTGTCCTCTTTATCGTTTATCTCATTCTTCTCTCCATCCTCCTCCCCGCGATCTTTTCGTGGTTTACCGTACCAGCGTTCGAAATGCCGAAACCGCGCTCGTCCCAGCGCCCTCTGTCAACCTCTTCCTCAGTCCCCTCAACATTCACCGACTCCCTGCCTCTCCCTTCGATCATAGTCTTCGATCTAGACTACACGCTCTGGCCCTTCTGGGTAGACACGCATGTCTCTGCGCCAGTTAAACCACAAGTCTCAGGGCCCGCAGCATTCAATACCCACATGCTTGATCGCTGGGGAGAACCTTATGGATTCTACTCCGAAGTTCCTCATATTCTAGCTGCTGCACGGGGAAAAGGCATAGTCATGAGTTTGGCAAGTAGAACCCACGCTCCAGACCTGGCCAGGGATATGTTAAAGGGCCTCCATGTTCCCGCTTCAACGGAGAGTGAGTCGAAGGAGAAACCAGAAACAAAGCCATTAAGAGCAATCGATCTATTCACCCATCCACAAATATATCCCGGGTCTAAGACAACGCACTTCCGCCGCCTCCAAACACAACTCTCAAAATCACCACCATCATCTGCTGTTGGTGGACATGGGAGTGGCCAAGGCGGACGAAAGATACCATTCGACGAAATGCTCTTTTTCGATGACGAAGGTAGGAACCGTAACGTGGAGACAGAATTGGGGGTTACCTTTTGCCTGGTTCCAGATGGAGTTGATAGAGAGGAGGTGGATCGAGGCGTCTGGGAATGGAGGAGGAGAAGAGGCATCACACTAAATGACTTGAGAAACGAGGAGCAGGTGGCAGAGTTGGAAGGCTGATTCCCGCAGATCTTGGTTTCGCAAGCTTCTGGTTTTGCGCCTCCAGCATCGCGCCACCATGCCCAGTGCAATGCATGTTTTCAGGGGGTAATTTGTATATGGCGGACTTGAACGTGGCTTTTCTATACACAGCGACGGCGCTTTCTGGCAGGTGGATGGTTTTTGCGCGCGAGACGATCAGCGCGCTCATGGGAGAAATGAATGGATCAAAGACATGAGATAGAACTCTCCGCTGTAGAGACACTTCCCCCAGCGAACAAGGGCTGATCTTACGGTCGTGATCATGCCAATACAACCATCTCAAGGCACTGCGGTCCTTGAGCCTTGTTGATATTGACCACGAACTAGATCACTGTGCTATCGTCGTCATCGCTGGCTATCCCCCTGCCGCTGTGTCAATGTCAGTAATCTACTCTCAGCCACTGATCCTGCGTCGTGTCAGGTTTTGGCGCCTCACCACATTGATCGAAAATTCCCGGTTTCATGCTAATGACCCCAGTCAGCAGGATTCAAACTCAGCCGGCACGTTCCGCAGCGAACTTCATACCACTTGTATACTGATCGCCGAGGGAATCAACCAACAGGAGCGCTTAGACATTCCCTCTTCTATCTGTCGCCCAGTCCCGATGTTGGACATCCTTGGTTATTGTCCGACTTCGATCTTTACTTGGCTACATACCGGTTTGATCCCCGGATCATTTCTTAAATTGTGAGGCCTTTTTATTGGCTACATACCAATAACTACGCAGAATTAATTCATGTGACCAAAAGCTACAGCTACACAGGGGTCGCGTCGACCAAGCACTTTCGATACGAGAGCGTTGCCGCCCACTCCAACTGGACAGGATCCATGTCAAGCGAGATGATATATGGCCGCCTTGCAGCACAGCAGCTGCAAAAGGATGCAGGTTTTGGACTCGCCTGGTCCAAGGCGTTGTGCTTTTGGCGTCTCGCACAACATTAGCCCGTTTGGCTAAACTTCGCCTGGTTGCGGGCTACGAATCACTATGGAACAAAGGTCCCATGCGGCTGAAACAGCCCTGAGGATGGAGGCCAGAACGCTTTCCACGTATGGACTCGAGCGAACACTTTCCAAAGCTGAACAGGTGCTGGGGCCACGACGCCTTGGCCGGCTCCAACTCTATGCCACTGGTTGACTGGGCTCGAGTCTCACCCATGCTAGATTCCGCCTAATGCGCATGGTCCACGCGACCGTCTCCGCATGCACAAGACGAATCTTAAGGCAACCCAATTTCTGAGAGCATCAGGGGGCTAGAAAACGCCCCTCTGGGACTTTCGTGATGCTCACCTGGTCCCATGTTCCAGCCTGGCTGGTCATAAAAAGGGATTGAAAGGCCTTTTCGAATTAATAATCATTAGTCTTGTTTCGATGTCGTCTGAGTATGGACTGCAGGAGTTTTGCCCACAGGCCTTCTTAAAGTCAGCGTACCAACACAGCAGTCCAAATTCTTGATCCAGCCTTATGCGTTCTGGTGAGGTGTTCAAAATCATCAATTCTTGCTCTATGCTAGTCCACCTGCATCCATGCTCTTGACAGTTGCAGGTCACCGTACAAATCACTCAACATGAGTGTCAGAAATTACGATCAAAAGAAGGACGAAACGTTCGAAAAGGAGGCCTGGAATGCTGCACGAGCAGTGTTTTCTGGAAGCCATGATCCAATCAACTTCCAGCCCTTTCTCAAAGACTATACAACGCCAGAATCATGCCGGAGTTCCGTCGTACAAGCACAAAAAGATGCCAACTCCGAGTATAATGGAAAGCTTGGTGCTATCCTTGACAAGGTCGACCAGTTCATGAAAGTGGGAGATCTTGCCATCAAGTCAGCCCCTGAAAGTATCGGCCTTGCTTGGACCGGCATCAGACTCTGCCTCCATTCGGTACAAGATGACTTTGCCACCTTCAGTCTCTTCTCCGGAGCATGCGCAGATATCTTGGGGATCCTCATCTCCTGCCGAGTGTACGGCGGCTTGTATGCAAGTCAGGACCACCCTCCGGAATTTACCGAACTTCACGAGAAGGTGTTGAGCTACATCAAAGACACCTATGTGAACATCATCGAGTTCTCATATCAGATGTGGAAATATGCCCGATCCAATGCAGGCGTGCGTGTCATCAAGGGCTTGTTCCGTAGCGCCCAGGGCAAGTTCCAGCCCAAGATCAAAGCCATCAAAGACAATGAAGCGCAGATGAACAAGTATGCCTCCCAAGCAAACCAGCAAGTCTCGCAGTATTACCAAAAGCAAGGCCTGGACAATGACCAAACGATGATGAAGGGCTTGTCCGACCAAATGGAAATGCTACAGGCACTGCAAGAGGAGGCCGCCAAACAAAACCAGTTGATGGAGGAATTGATGAAGAGGGACGAGCTTCATCGGAAAGACCAACGTATGACTGCGGCAGAGATCACGCATGAAAACTGGGAAAGGCAAAAGAAGGAACTACCGTCTCTCGACGACAATCTGCAAGTGCTGGAATCTAAACTGAAAGCTCGCAAGCCAGGAACCTGCGGCTGGATTCTGGAAAACACCAAATTCCAAGACTTTGTAAAGGCGGAAGGTGGTAACGTTACTTGGCTGGTCGGCACAGGTGGATCTGGAAAGTCTTTTCTCATGTCTGTGGTGGTTGAAGACCTCAAGAACAAGGCCCACAGACACGATTCTCTGGTGCACTACTTTTTCATATCCAAGGGTTCTCAAGCCACGATGCAGGCTGATCAGATCGAGCGTCATCTGCTTGCGCAGCTCTACCAAGATGCAGCTCAATCACTGGACGTCTTGGACAAGTGCAATAAGGTTATGGCGGAATATATCGAACACCAAAAGAAGAGCACTACCAAAACCACCAGCAAGAAAGCAGGAGACGGTCCGGCTGGATTTGAACAGACCTACACCGCTCTCGCCAAGCTCATCAACAAGCGAATCTACCTGATGATAGACGCTTTGGACGAGTGCACCGACAGAGAGACACAAGAATTCATCCAGACGATCAAGAAACTAGCCAGTACACATGGCTTGAAGGTGAACATCTACACCAGCAGCAGAGACGAACCTGATATTGCTGCTGTGCTAGAAAATTGTCCAAGAATCAGTGTGGAGGAGAACAACTCAAAGGATATCGCCGAGCATGTCCAAGCTGAGATGGCCAAATTACCAGGATTCACGCCAGCAGAACGTGAAGAAGCTTGTCGAGAAATCACCCAAAAAGCCGGATGCTACTTTCGTTACGTGGAGCTGGCCATGGATTTCATGCGTCGCCCTTGGCGGAGGCCTTTATCAGCACATCTTGGATCTTTACCTTCAGGTGTCGAAAACATTTATGCTCAGCGCCTCAATCAGACCAATCCTGCATACTACGATCTGCTCACCCACTGCCTCACCTGGACCATCCTTGCCGGAGAAGAATTGAGTGTCCAAGAACTCATCGATGGCTACAAGGGTAGTTTCACGGATGGGGAATCCGACCCAGGGAATAACGACGACGAAGAAAACGTGAATCTGGAACTATATGAGGACCAAATCAGGCAAGCTGGAAGTGGCTTCCTTCGGGTAAATCCTGACCACACAGTGAGCTTGGTCCACAACACCGTGCGAGACTTTTTCCTGCGATCAGACAGCATTACCAATGGTAGTACAACATCAGAGGGTGAGCCTGAATGTCAGTGCGCCAGATGCCAAAGGGAGTTGATACGCAGCAGACAATTTGTCGTTTCGGAAAGAGAAGGTCACATGCAAATCATCACCACAATTCTGCAGCATCTGCTGTCTCCGTCGTTTCAGCGCAAATACTATGCTAAACCTCAGGATGAATCGAGCGGCAAGGAAAATGATCAAGCACAAGTGGATGGTGAGAAACCAACTGATGTTGTCCAAAACGAGAATGATGCAGCGCCGGAACAAGCAGTATCTGGAGATTCAGCACCAGGAGATGGGACATCAGGAGAGACAGCGCCAGCAGAGGCAACACTTCCAGAGGCAACACCAGCAGAAGCTCAGGACGAGCCTGTTGAGATCAATGGCATCCAAATACCGAATCAAAGTCCAGACGAGCAAGCCGAGGGTCTCGACGGTGTACAGCAAATATCGGAGCATCAATCCGAGGAAGCAACAACAAACAAGCCGTCAAAGGTCAGTGGTGAACCATTAACCAATGGTGTCTCCGATGACCTGGACTTAAAGCCAGCCGAAAACGATGGTGGTTCAGACCAAGCACAAGAAAAAGGTAAACCCCCGGAAGGAAAAGAAACCGAAAACACCAACAATGCCGGTACGGCAGATGAAGCCACAGATGAACAGTCTGTGGTAGACAGCGACGAGAACGTGGACTTGACGGACCAGGATCGAGCTCGGCTTTGGGACTTGCAGTCAGATTCCGACGACTTCCCGGCACGGTACGAAGTTTCAAGACTGAGGTGGCATTTGACCCAGCTGGAAGATATCTATCCCGCCAACGAAAGGTCTGGTGAGCAGTGGAGCAAGTTGCGCGAGCTTCTCGAAAGATTCCTGGATCCAGAATCCGAGGCGTGGAGAGGCTGGATCAGGACGTTGTGCGCTGCAGGCCTCGCCATTGACTCCATCGAAATGTATGGTGACAGTGACGTCAAGGAATTACATCCTCTAGTGTTTGCTGCGTGTTGTGGCTTGACCAGCCTGGCGAATATACTCTTAGCCCGCCCGAATGCCTCAGAATTCGTCAACCTAAAGATGCCAGAGGGGATGAGTGTGTTGTCTTTTGCGGTCACTTATCAATTGACCACAGAAAAGGGCCTAGATTCTCTCTTCCTGGCTTTGCTGGAAGCTGGGGCGGACCCAAATACTAACAATCATTGGGATGAAGAGTATGTGGGAAGCTCCTTTCACTTCCTCCTCTTGTGTCGAACAGTCACCTTGGCGCAGCTTAAGATATTCCTCGACCACAAGGCTGAGATCAACACACTGGACGAAACTGGCAACAATGCCTTGCACTTCTTCGCATTGGGAGAAGCCGACCTTGAGATAGGTGAGGCCTTGGTCAATGCTGGCGCGGATATACACCTCCAAAATAAGAGAGGCGAGAGCATCATGCATCTCCTCGCCCGGCGAGACAACTGTCGCGTTGACATAATGCGCTACTTCATCGACAAAGGGGCCAAGGTCGACGAAGAGGATGATGCATCGGAAAGGCCATTATTGGAGGCCGCCCAAGCAGGACATTGCGAGGCAGTCAGATTGCTGCTCGAACACGAAGCCGACATTGAGGATGTGAATGAATTCGACCAAACTGCACTTTTTGCCGCCGCAGTGGCTGGAAGGACGGAGGTGGTTAAAGTGCTTCTTGAGAAAGGAGCAGACCCTCTGAAACGAAATTCCCTAGGCGCCACTCCCTTCGGGATGGCTTGCAGACATGGCGACGCCGAGTCCGCTCTGCTGTTGGGCAAAGCAATGGTGGAAAAAGGGGAAACCGAGCATCTCAACTGGCAAAATGCCTCGGGAAAGACACCACTTATGAGAGCTGCCTCTCGAGGAATTTCGAACGTCATTGACTTCATCCTTGATCATGTCGACGCACAGGCTGCTCTCACAACCGTGTCCAAGAAAGGCTGGTCGCCCTTGCACTACGCGGCTCTGAGGGCTCGTCCTGAAGCGACAACGACACTGCTGAAACGCGGGGCAGACAGTCAATGCAAGGATGTACAGGGGAAGACACCGCTTCAGGTGTGTTATGCGAAGATCTGGACCAAGCCGGATGAGGACCGGGAGAAAACGATATCTGCCTTGATTGACCACGACCAGCAAGCTGCCATTGCAGAGATCGAGCTGCTTCACACGCTGGCCATCAACGACTCACCCGAGCTCGTGGCAAAACTCCTGGAATATGGCGCCAATCCTTATGCCACGGATGAACATGGCTGGAACGTGCTCCAACTAGCGGAGCAGTACGACAGACCAGAGGTGGTCGAAGTGATCAAAACCTCCAGGCTCAAGACGGGTAGCCGACCCTCCAAGTTCGTGGGGAGCTTCTCAGATGTGGTGGTCTGTTCTCCGTCTGGCCTGGAGATTGAGCTGCTTGAACGAGGCAAGACCATCCCTGAGACATCGGATATGCCCCTGTGTTACACAACCGACCAGGCATTCATTACCGAACACCCCATCCCGGCATCGGCCGAGCGCTACTACTTTGAAATGACCATTGCGGATCGAGAGATCAAGGCCGACGATCCCGTGTTTGTGATTGGGATCACGCAAAAGCCCACCGGATCCCCCAAGCAGTGGTTCCCGGGGTGGTCGAAACCCGGCACATCGAGCTGGGGCTATCACAGCGATGACGGAAAGATATGGTGTTTTGCAGACCCTCCCAAGATCAAAGACCCCGGGTCGGCGAGGAAATACGCATACGGTGACACGGCGGGATGCGGGATTGACGTGAAGAAGCGGACGGTGTTTTGGACATTGAATGGGCAGAGGCTGATGGAGGCCGGGTTCCAGAACGTGCGTGGCCAGATCTATCCAGTGGTCGCCCTCAGGGACGTCGGCAAGGTCAAGGTCAACCTGGGCCTGAACTTGAAGGACGAGCCTTTCTTGTGGGCGCCGGGTGTCACATGCGATTTCGACAGCGACGTACCTGCCCCGACTTTGAGAAGGTCAAAGTCTGAGCACTGAGAGGTGGACATGCACTTTAGAAGGATTGGATCAAGTTAGAGACCACAGTCATTGAAATTGGATGTGTTCGGAAGTGTCTCGACTCTCAAGACGTTGCTCTGGACTTGTGAAAGTGCTCTATAGAGATGGATCTTGACCGAGGCCAGCGTTGAATCTCAGGAGACTTTCAGTCCTCATAGGATGGCAAATGTCAGTTGAGACTTTCTAGGTATTCATAAACTATCCCCAGCGACGACACCTTGAATGACGTCTGCCATATAGTCCTCAATCCAGCAAGGAGAACCATGCCATCGTGCAACCACTTTTCTCGATTCTAGTGACCAGCCTCGTCCGATTCTACCTTTGTCGTTGCCGTCAGTTCACCCCTGGAAATGCAGTTCACAGGTACTTCCGACTTGTGTCGATGACGTATTTCGCAAACGCCTCCGGGTGCGAGACGTAGGGGAAGTGAAAGCCCGGGAGGGTCGTGATGGGGATCTTCTCGCGGGTCGCGATCACGACGTTCTCGAAGAAGACCTGCATGGGGCCCGCGCCGCCGACGGTCCAGTCGATCGGCACCTTGTGCAGGTCTTCCGTCCTCGTCGCCGCCGACGCCGGGATGGTGCGCGGGTACCCGTACGCCCAACGGGGGTAGTTGGCGCGCAGCCGTTCGTGGACGACCGGTCCGAGGGCGTCCCACGCCTCCTCGTTCGCGGTCATGGTGCGGATCGTCGACGCCAGCTCCGCCGCGATGGTGGCGGGGTCCCCCTCGTGGATGTTCTGGAGGGTGTCCGGGTTCGCTGTCGGGACCTCGTGCGGCATGCCGTTGCGCACGCGCTCCGGGAAGTCCGCGCACAGGGCCAGCACGGTCGAGGCGCCCGAGCTGCAGCCCCAGACCGACGCGGCTTTGATGCCCAGCTCGTCCATCAGGGTCACGATGTACGCGGCCAGCTTCTGGCCCGTGACGTCCTGGTACGTCTCCGGCGGCGCGGCGGACGACCGCGACATCCCGGGCATGTCGAACGTGGTCACCTTGAAGCCGGCGCGGGCGATGGTCGACATCGGGCGGTCGAACATCTGGCATTCGCCCAGCCCGTCGGGGATCAGGACGACGTCGGGACCGGTCCCTTCCTGCTCGTAATACCAGTTTATGCCATCCTTGGTGAGAATGGTGGACCTCAACCTTTCGGCAGCCATGGCGAGAGATTCAAGCTGGAGACGCGAGTGGAGGATGGTTGAAGTTGAGGATGGAGGTCTGTGCTCGAGATACATATATGTATCTCGTCGGTCCCGCATGCCCAGTATTCAAAGCCCCGCGGTCCCGCCATCTGGGGGACTTTGGAGCAACCCCACAGAGCAGAGGACGTACTCTCAGGGTTTCAGTTGTTGTGTGATCTACACAAAGCGACCTCGTACCGAGTAGAGATTCTGATCCTAACAAGTTACAGGGCTGTCGGAGTGACATGTTCCACGGTGCGACGGGTGTGCTCTTCAAGTGGAGATAAACGTAGCCCACTAGCCTCGTGGTCCACCGGGCTCATCCGCGCAAAAGACTTCGAAATGGGAGTTTGATTATGGGGTAATACGGAGTACGATCCAATGGAATAGAGACTGTTCATCCCAGCGAACTGTGACATAGCCGCGGGTACATGGCACACGACCATAGAGCATCTTCTCGCAATCCACTCCCCGCTTCCCACGTCTAGGAAGTAGTATACTCTTTCTGCCATGGTCCGATCACGGGCTGAAGATCACCTATGCCTTGCACGCGCTCTCATAGCTGTCTACACCATACCTGCCCCTTCTCGTATTCTTACACAAACTTCTACATCTCCTCGGAAGGAAAGATAGTGTCAAATATGGACCAATGTTCTCCATCTTCACTCTCTGCAGTTGCCGATTCAGTCTGATCAATCTCCTATTCGAAGTCGAGAGTAAACTGCATCCAGGGCCTCCCGGAGAGGATCAGGAAGGAAGTCATCGTCTTCGGACGCGGCAGTGACGTTGCTCCCCCCGGTCAGAGTGCTGACTGAGGACATGAAGAGAGCGTGCCTGGACCAGGATACCCCCGATCCCAGCACGTCCAGCAGGCTGCCTGTCGCGGAGAGACAGGCTCGCACTTGTTCTCTCATTGTGCCGAACGGGGCCGACCGGTGGACGACCTGGAATGGAACGTCCGCCGTTCTTGCCTACGCTTTATAGCCCATTGTCACTCGAGGCACTGTCCATGTCTCATGTATTTTCTGCGTCTTACGACGTGGGCCCCTGCATTGATCGTCGCTCCGAACAGTCCCCCACCCAACTCAGCTGACCCGTTTCGCTCATTGCGGTAAACGTAGCAGGATGATGATACGACCGCAAGGGGCTTAGTGCTGCGGACTCCTGCCCGGTAGGGAAGTGATAGACTACTATTTTATATGCAGGAATCTGACTGCGTGTGGAGTTGTGGAGTATATCGGCTGGGGGAACATATCACCGAATTGAATTGTATCTGAGTCCCATGGTCCTGGAACTATTTAATTGCCATTAAACAGTGTACTTCCCTTTTCTCTCGTCAGTTGCCTTTATTCTCCATCCTTTTTGGTTCCTGCTTGGATCTTCCAAGCGTCCCCCTTCGTGTGCCGTACCTCCAATCCAGCCCAAGTCACCATGAAGCTGCACTTCCCCGGTGCTCTGTTCCTGGCGGCCGTGCTGGCCGCAGGTGTTTCCGCGCAGATCAGCTTCAACACCTGCGTCGGGCCGCCGACCTCGGACTACTGCGGGGCGGGCGGCGCGTGCGAACTGCCGGACGGGTCCCTGCTGTGCTGCGACGGGGCCATCAACTGCGGCGGCAACGGGGTGTGCATGTACATCCAGGACGAGGGCTCGGCGCTCTGTGACTGCGACGGGATCTGCGAGCCCGGGGGGGATAATTCGCAATGCTCTTGCGTAAGTTGAAACTCACTTCTCGGGATTGGGGCACAGGGGAAGCATTTTCAGTCGGGCTGAAACGTGAAATAGGGCAATTGAACTGGCGCCGAGGCTGGGAGAGAAGAGCGTCGACGACGATGAGCCGGAGCCGACGTGGGCCTGTTCTGTTGGTGGTCCGCACGACGGGGTGAAGAACGAGGAGCTACGGGAGCGGGACGAGGGAGAACAAAAACGGAACATTGATAAAGCTGTGGAGGAGGAGAGTCACCGTAAACATCAGACCTCAGAGAAAGTGAAATTACGTTGTGCATTTACTGGATAAACTACAAGAAGTCAAGGACAGGTGACAGATATTGAAGGGACGACATGGAACACTTTCCAACGCGATATTTTCACGCACCCGATCTCAGGCTTGCCTCACGTGTAGAAGTGAGCTTCGAGGACAAACCTCGCCTGGTAAAAGACCCCTAGAAGAGCAAATGAGACGAAAGGTGTAGGTATAGTTATAGATAGGCGTCGTCCCCACGTAATCACTGACCTCCTGTGCTTCTGACGTAGCGTCCGACGATATTGCGAGAAGTCTATTCAACTCAAGCTGATATGATTGCCAGATATGCGCTCTCCTGCTCGAAGAACGACAGCGAACATCTGGGTTGACAGCTTCTTGTCCCTCCGCACTACTCGGCTTGTCCATGCAGCAAGGGTCATGTCAGAGTTGATACCTCGTAGAACTCTTCATTTGGAGATCTTATCCCACAAAGGTTGATCTTTTGCATCACCTGCCTTGTGCACGTAGTGGCATGTATCCCCCAGCTTCCTAATCCCCGTACCTCACGTCATCTTCGCCCACACTCCAACGTCTAGGAAGACCTCCGTGGGGAGTTGGATCCTCGACAAAATGCTCGGCCAGTCTGAGCTCACCACCACCATCGCAATTGGAGGCGTGGATGGTCCAGATGTTGATATTGCGGAAAGCTTCATGGGGTTTCTCGGTGAATATTGGCAGCCCGTCGCCCGCTGTCTGGAGCGGCTGTTCGAAGATGTTCGGGCGTGACAGCGAGAAGGAGAACTGAGGAGGTCTTCTCAGCCTGACGCGGCTCTGATGTTGAGGACCAACGCTCATTCATGATGCAAAACAAGCGTGGTGGTCTGCAACCGACGTAGCCTGCGCTGAGGCATTTGAGCATCCTTCTAGGAAAATCTGAAATCATGGTACCGTCTTCGAGTCGTGTACCATGCCATTCAAGCGGGTCAACAACCTCCTGTTTGTGGCCGGTCCTATCCACCGCCGTTGTGATTCGTCCTCAGCTGCATGTAACGATGCTCTTTGACGAGCGTGTCTGGAGCTGTCGGTTGAAGCCCAGGCACACGGTCCATCTTAACGCCAATTGCATTAAGGATGAGTTTGTTTCCAGGCCCACAACAAGTGCCGAAGCTCTAGTTCCAAGATGATATGTCAAAAGTTCCACCAAACCCACAAATAGCATTACCTAGGCTGTATATGTTGCAAGCCCATATCGCCAGGTAGTTCTTGAGGCAGGGCGCGATGCGGATCGTGGTACATTTCATGTCGTACGGGAGACAGGGCCAGCTCGCTCCATGGCGACGTTGGGTGGTCAGTATGCTGATGTGGGAGGTGCGAGTGACGTGCCTTGACCGAGAGTTCGGCGCCAGGTGAGACCAACTCGTTCGGCGGCAAAGGCACGGAGGGACTGACGGGGTAGACCTCCATTTCGTGCTGCGCCGGAGCCTTCATTTCAGCATAGGAGTGCGCGTTCGCGCTGCTGGAGAATGGTTGGCCATGAGCTGTGCCGGGCTTACTGTCTAGCTCCTGTTTGGAGTATCGGTGACCTGGCGTGTAAGGTACGGCACTGATGGTCTCCCGCTTCTTCTGCTGTCGTCGCCGATAGAAGCAGCAGTAGCCAATGAAAAGACCCAAGGCCACGACGACGAGCGTTCCTCCTACGCCGATCGCCGCAGCGATACCCGGCGACAAGCCACTTGACGAGTCCTTTGCAGAAGGGGTCGAAGAAGTTGTTGGGGTCGGTGTGGCACTCTGGAACTGGAAATGCACAGACTGGGCGACATAATTATTGCCTAAAGAGATGACGAGGTCGTTGTCGTAGAACATCCATGTCCAGGAGTCCCTACTCTCATGAGCTCGGGCACTTCTCTTCTGCAAACTGAGAGGAAACTTACCCCTGTGGCGGTGGTTGACTCAGAGTGATGGCAGTAGAATAATCATCTATAACGGCCACGATACAACGCTGCTCGCTCTTGAGGGTTTGCCCACTGTACGTTGCTAGGTAGATTGCAAGCTCCGTGGGATCAAAGCTGGTGCTGAGTTCAGCCTATCGCCAAGGACAGATGGTTTTCGAAAGGCTTACTCGGACGTTGACTGCCATTGCACGTCAAGGGGACCTTTTGTGGGATAGACGGTTCCGATCTTGGGGTAGGTAACCTCCAACGCCGTGACGCTGGCGAGCAGATGTACCAGAAGAAGGAAGTGGAGCCTCGCCTCCGAGATAGGTCGGGACATCTTTAACACTAGCGAGGAATATGGTGGGCCTCGAAACTGGAAGCGAGACTAGAGTCACAGACACAGAGGTATCATTATTGCCACACTCGCGTCGCATGGAGAGATATTGAATTTGGAGGGAAGAGAGTCGCGAGAAGATGGGGAGAGGAAATATGAATCCCTGGCCGGACTCCAAGGCAAGGTCTCTGTGCTAGATTGGTTTCAGAAAACGCCACTCCGCCGCTGGAAATTGCTCGTCCAAAGGCACAGAAGGCTGTCCCTAAAGTTGCGGGTTACTGGTGCTTATACTCGTCCACTTGCAGATCTTAGCCAAGCCATGTGTAAGAAAGCCTCTTATCGTAGAGTCGGGACCGTTGTCTGGGCCGTTGAACAATGGCTGCAACAGTCTATTTGCACTCCACGTGGGTAAGAGTTGGCAGGTCCAACCAAGAACATCACAGAAAACATCTGATCTGTCACTGTGGATTTACTGAAATGTAGAGACGTTATATTTCGAGAAGCCTGCAAGGGCGTTGGTGGGAAGGGAATGCGCAAGTTGAGTGTCTACCTACGGACGTACAACTACAATAGGGGGTTATCTCTGCCTCCTAATGGACAGCCTTTCCATCAAGTCACTAACAACATGTGGTGCAGGCGCTGGAGTTCCCCCTTGCCTATGGGTGTAGATCATCCCTCGTGCCACTTGATCACATAAAATTCCAGATATTTTCCAGAAAACATAAGGGGAATGATGTGGCGATCAATTTTGTCTCGATTGGATTAGGAAGCTTCTTAGAGAGCAGGCTGTGGATTCTAATTTATTAACACCTTCGACGGAAGGTTCACAAAGTATAACAAGAGGCCTTGCGGGAGCCGCTTTCTCGCCCCCAGGCTTTAAAGTTCTCTGAAAGCCACGCTTTGATCTTGGCCCCGGACGATGTGGAAGTTATCCGTGTTCCTGACCGCTCATTGACCGAAAACCAGTCGCCAATTAGGGGTGTGCGATAGGGGGTACTTCGAGATGGAACCTGCGTTGACTTTAGCTGGGCCAACAAGTTACAGGCAAAAGGGGACAAGAGTGCCACGATTATTGTCTATTCACTTGTAATCGATAATAGTTAATGTGCCATAGCTCGGGAGCTGTTGCCCGATGATCAACAATAGTTGGCCTTCACTGAACACTCCTGATAAAAGCCCCTACCCGGACTGACAGGTTAATACAACAACTCGGACAGCTACTGTAGCAGGCTCCGATGATGGTTTCTCTGGAATCCCCAACACCCTACTGGGTTCAAATCCGCCACGTCCGAGAACGTACCAGAAGATAACGAACAGGAGATTGACTTCCTCAATATTCTGCTGAGCCTTCCGATCAAACCATCCTCGTATTAGATCTTCCCTAGGATATAAAGAGTGCTTAGTGCTGGCTTTGCAATCTTGCTGCAGGATAGCCTTTCAAATGGAGGCCCAAATGGTGTGTTGTGTGAGTTGCATTGAGCATCGAGAATTCCCAGCATAGGACCCGATACCTATTATTCATTCTCCCCCCTTCCTATGAACCATGAGAATATGAAAATCTTACCGTGGGGTTGTTCTCAGGGATGGCGGAGTGAACCTCAACTCCGTGGGAGGGAGCCTCGGCAATTCTCATTAGGTGCCTCGTACAAGCCTCTGCTTCGTCAGTGTGAAGCGCTACTGCGGGAGAACGGCAAAGTCGGTCCGCGCGTAGTTGAGAAGGCCGAAGATAGAGCGACGTCGGGGTGGTTCTAATGTCGACATCAAAAGCGTGCCTTTGACGAGCTCATTGTCTCTTGCTGACCTTGGGGCTCTCAGGAACATATTCTTCTTATTGCATCCCTAATGTGGAGGGAAAACCACATCCTCATCGCCCAATATGACGGTCAGCCCGGTGTACACACCACCTCCGGGCCTTGAGACTGCCTTGGACGACTTCAGGTCCTATGTGAATAGAAGATATGGACTGCAACTGCGTACGTTGTCAACCTCGGAGAATCTATCGACACTATCTTCAGATCCGTGCTAACCTCAACAATTCAGAGACTTACGACGACTTGCACGCATTCTCCGTCAATCGACTGAATGATTTCTGGATGGCCATATGGCGGTTCCTCGATATCAAAGCATCTGTCCACCCCGAAAAGGTCTGGTCCGATCGCTTGGTGGTTGTCGATTGATATGCTGATTGTTTGGCCAGGCGGTGGACCAGAATACCCCCATCGACCAGTTTCCACTGTTCTTCGAGGAAGCAAGACTCAACTTCGCAGAAAACATGCTTCGTGGCGATGACGACCAAATTGCTGTTATCGATGTTAACGAGCAAAACCTGCGGAGTCCTCAACAATACACATGGCGAGAACTCCGGGGCTTGGTGCACACATATGCGAAAGCGCTCCGACGTTCCGGCGTTGCTAAGGGAGATGTTGTTGCTTGTAAGCATGACATCGGGCATGGCGCCTCATCCTTGCCCATAATCCATCAAAGTCCGAAGCAGCTGATATTACGTTAGTGATAGGAAGCAATTGTGCAAGGTCGCTGGCTTTGCTTCTGGCTACCGCAGCTGTGGGCGGCATATTTGCATCGTTCGCAACGGACATCGGGGATAAGGTAAAAGCACCTCCTCGATGCAGGCTGTTTGCGTTGAGCTGATGTTGTTCAAGGCACTCAACGACCGACTTGGCCAGATTGAGCCTCGTGTGGTCGTCACCGAGTCAAGCTATTCGTATAATGGAAAACGAATCGACATCGCGGCAAAGGTTGATGGGTGGACAAACAAGGCCACTAGCCCGCTGAAGCTGGTCGTAATCGGAGACACAATGGGCTTCAAAACCAAGTGGTAAGTCAGGCTGAGTTTCCCAGCTTCATTGTCAGAAACTAATTGTTTGTCTCGTTGCAGCGAGAGCCTTGAGACCTTTGTCAGTGGCATCCGCCTTCAAACACCGCTGAACTTCGAGCAAGTCCCGTTCAATACGCCACTAGTCATCATGTTTTCCTCGGGAACAACAGGGACCCCGAAGGGCATTGTACACTCACATGGGGTATGCCCAGGGTCTCGATATGGCAGGCACCGGCTTATCTGAAATGTAGGGTTTGCTCTTGAACGGCTTCAAGGAGCACCGCCTCCACAATGGCTTTGGACCGAAGGACATACATTTCCATTTCAGTGGTGTGAGTGCCGTTAATCCGGGTCTCTGGCCCCCCCTGTGAATTCAATGAGAATCTCACGAATCCCAGATCGGATGGACACTGTGGAACATATCGATCGGCGCACTCTTCTGCAAAACCACAATGGTCTTATACGACGGATCGCCTTTTTACCCATCTCCGGAGGAGTTCCTTCAAGGTATTTTGGCAACCGGGTCAGTAGCCATGTCGATGTCCGACTTCGAGCCTGTCTGACTAGATATTGCAGAATCACTGCCTTTGGTGCCGGCCCGCGCTATTATGCCGAATTGCAGAAGAGAAACCTGACACCTAGTTGGTCTTCAGCCTTCCTCCTCTCAACTGGGCGCTGACAGTGGACCAGGAACATATGCCCAAAATATTCACACCATCCTCTCGACTGGCGCAGTGCTAACGCCGAGTCTAGCATCATGGCTAGGAGATGCCTTCGGACCAGTGTGTCAGATCCAATTTTCCGGCGGCACCGAGCTGTGCGGCTCATTCATTCACGGGACGCGCTCTCTCCCATCATATCCCGGCGAGATAGCTGTCAAGGCATTGGGCATGGACGTTGCTGCATATTCCCCCGACGGCGTCGAAGTACCTGATGGAGAGAGTGGCGAGCTAGTCTGCAGGAAGCCATTCCCAAATATGCCCTACATGTTCTGGAAGGACCCTGGAAAGAAGCGCTACTACAATTCCTACTTCGACATGTTTCCTCGTAAGCTTACCGACGCCCTCTTTATACGCAGGCAGCTGCGGACAGACTATCCGTGCTGACGAACTTCTAGACGTGTGGACACATGGCGATTTCATCAAGGTTAACCCAGTGACCAAAGGGACCTATGTGTTAGGAAGGAGGTCAGTCAAGTCACCCTCTTTCGTGAAGAGATGGAGATACTGATATGCTTCACAGTGATGGCACCCTTAACCCATCTGGCGTCCGCTTCGGCAGTTCGGAAATCTACAACATCCTGTCTTCGTCTCGTTTCACGTCGTCGATAGTTGACTCATTGGTCGTCGGCCAACAACGCAGCGCCCCGCCGTATTCAGACACCACCGAGCGAGTCCTTCTCTTCATCAAATGCCGAGAAAGCGAGTCTTCCAACCGTGTGCTTCCCAGAAAGGACTTGGAAAACCGCATCTGCCACCAAATCGCCAAGGACCTGAGCAGAAGACACGTCCCGGCCCATATTTTTGAAGTCAAGGAAATCCCATACAACGCCAACGGGAAGAAGATGGAGATTCAGGTCAAGGCTGTGGTGAATGGCGGGGCGCAGGCGAAGACCAAGCAGAGGCTCAGCCCGCAGGAGCTGTCCATGCTTGAACAATTCGAGCCTTTCTTCCATCTTGAGAAGCTGCTCAAGAAACTCGACGGAACTGCTTCGAAACTGTAAATGGCTGAGGATGCATGGGCGCATTCTGCAGACACGGCGGTCAGCATAGACAGCGACGAAATCGTTTGCAGAAAACATTTCGGACTCGCTGATAGAGCTACCACAAATAGACGGCATCTCTCAAAATTCTAGCAGGTCGGCCATTCTAATTTGCTCCTCGTCCATACTCGGACATGAGCTAGCTTTGTAGACGAGGCTGAATAATGCCGAAACAGAGTGGAGTAATCGTAAGACTCTATAGAAAAGATCTGGTGATGATAGTGGGCCAGCCCCGAGCTGTCGCCCGTGGATGTCTGGAGTGCGCTCATCTTAGCAAGTAGAATGTCGAATCCATTATCAAGTGTCGTGGCCAAGAGTTCGAGACACGGCGTCTTGTTCTCGGCCCGAGCATACAACACCGTCCTCGGGGTTGAAGTCTTCGTATGGACTCAACTCGAGCTGAGTTATCGGCAGAATAGATACTAACAGGGCACAAAAATGCGAAGATCTTGACGTCTCTTGCTCTTCCTTCGACCTCGTACTCAGCGGAAGAAGCCAATGTCTTGCAAAGGTCTCGTCTCGTACCAAAGCCGATGGCCAGCCAGTCAGGTAGTTCCACGGCGTATAGGGGCCTCGCAAGCCTCGCTAACAGATGAATTCGTACCAAAGCGTCCAGCTAAAAGATATAGCTCGCCCTTCGCCTAGTTCGAGCTCTTCGGTCGTACGGCCATTTTCTTTTCCGGGGTGGAATGACCCCGTCAGCCTGGTTCTTGTGCTGGCTGAAAGCAGACTAAGCATTGAACTCAAAGATGTCCGAGCATCGAATCACGATCCTGCCCGGTTTGTATGTGCGCCCGCGGGGTCGGAGAGGTTGCTCGGGTCACGAGGAACATATAGACGCATATGGTTCTGCCATCGTAGAGCGAGCGCAGCAACTCTTCCACTTGACGATCCCACGAGAACAAACATCGTAGCGACAGGCAGGCTCGGCGACATACTTCGCGGCAGAATGGCGCCTTCAGCGATCCACGAATCGACCACCACAAACCCAACAAAGACCTTGATCCACCACAGCCCCCGAGCACTGGCGCATGTCGTCCTGCGCACGAGTTCCGAGAACTATGAAACAATGATTCAGTTCTACCAGGACCTCCTAGGAGCCAAGATCGTCCATAAGGATCCAGTCCTGGCATTCCTGCGTTACGACGAGGAGCATCACCGTATTGCGCTGATCCAGAGCCCGGACACGCAGCCCAAGAACAGGAGCAGTGCAGGGCTTGACCACATCGCCTTCTCCTACTCCACGCTGACCCAATTGGCGCAGCAGTACGTCTTCCTCAAGTCGATGGAGAAGCCCATCAAGCCTTTGTGGGCGGTAAACCATGGCCCAACCACCAGCTTGTACTACCGAGATCCCGACGGCAACAAGATCGAACTGCAGGTGGACAACTTTGACGTCCCCGAGGAGGCCGACGCGTTCATGAGCGGACCGTTGTATGATACCAACCCGATGGGCACAGACTTCGATGCCGACGAGTGGGCTAACGATCTTTTGAGCAAGGCACTCCCTGATGGGAGCGAGGGACTGTCCATGCAGGAGATCAAGGAGAGGAAAATGCGCAAGGAGATCGGCGAGAGGCATGAGCTGCCAGAGGGTTTCTTTTGATTTCTCGCCTGATAATAGCGACTTGCTTCTTCCATCCCCCTTTGAGGGTGCTCATAGTCCTGCCTGGGTACAAGTAATGTCCCACCCGAGATGTGTTGTCTTTACAAGAGGTTACAGCCTTGTCATCACGTGCAACGTTGTGTAACCCAGCCTCCTCGCTTTCAACTTCACACTAACGTCGCTTCTCCTGACCGCCCCCCCCTTTTGTGTCTCACCACAGCAACCTCCAGTACAAGAACTTTGCGTGATGAAGGAAGGTTTGGAATTGTTCCGCCGCGTCTTATCGCCCTTTGCCTACCCACCACTTGCAAACTAGATCTTGACCCGCTCCATTCAAACGTGCTGTGCCCTTCCAAGCAACAGCGGCGCGAAGACCCTGGTCAAGAGCTTGGGGACTTCATGACTTCAATGCAGCCTTAATTCTGGACTCGAATGTCACTATGCTCAGGGCCAAGAGGAAAAGCTCATCTGCCAGGGCTGCAGGCAAGGAAATACGGTCTGGATGCAGGCTGTGCAACAACCTGCGTCCACGGGGTCACGCATCCAGCTCGTACAATGCAGACAGCAGTGCCACAAGAGTCAAAGCCGACCTTACGCTTTGCATAGATGCCCTCCAGTTGTCGGTCAGCGAATGCCAATATTGCAAGCTGCTGCGGCAATCCCTGCAAGCATTTGTTGGGGGAGAATGGCCCCGAATCCGCGCGCCGCTGTGTGTTGATATTGTGGAGGGCTCGCCGATCAAGATGTCGGTTCAGGAGTCCAGTGGCAAAACTACCGTGGTTGAGTTGTATGCTCCGTCAGGTGTGTCCTTTGCACTCCCTTTTTTTCGTCCGCATGTCTCTTCAATCATTTCTCGGCCGGTGTCTTTGACGGATCCCGGAAATGACTACAAGGTCAATGTCCTGATGCTGTGGCAGACCAACGGCCACCGTGGCCGGCCCTAGGAAACGCTCGCAGCATCCCAATCTCCTCGGGATCTGACGAATCTTTTGAATTCGCCCGCAAATGCATCCAAAACTGCATAGCGAGCCCGGCACATGGCGCGTGCCAGAAATCTTCCCCGAGCACGCTCCCGACCCGACTCATAGACGTCCAGGCCATGGACGAAACTTTAAGGCTGGTCGAGCTGAAGGGGAGGAAAAGCGTCGACTATATCACACTCAGCTATTGCTGGGGCGCCGGATCAGCAGTGACCACGACCAAGGCAAACTTGAGAGACATGCGAACAATGATTAACTGGGACACACTACCGGTCCTATTTCAGAACGCCGTCACCATCACGCGCCGGCTGAACGTCCGCTATTTGTGGATCGACGGCCTGTGTATCATCCAAGATGACAAACACGATTGGGAAGCCGAGTCGTCCAGGATGAGCGACATCTACGAAGCCTCATACGTAACAATCGCGGCCGACACTTGCGAAGACAATACCCGGCCCTGTCTGGTACAGCGCCCAAAGCGACTGCGCCTGGAACACCAGAATACGCGGGGGAAGGCGTTTACTCTCAAGGCGCGGAAAGTTTCCAACCACCACGAAGCACCGGAGGAAGACCTGGCATTTCGGGCGCAGGGACCCCTGAGGCTTCGAGCCTGGGCGTTGCAAGAGAGCGTCTTATCTCCTCGGATTCTGCACTACACGGAGACCGAGCTCACATTCGAGTGTCGCTCAACGTACCGCTGCGAATGCAATCCATCTCCCAGCCGGAAAGCCACCACTCCAGGCCTGTTGCCCAACTTGCTCTCGACGAAACATCACGCCAAGATCTTCAGGACCTGGCACCGCATCGTCGCGCAGTACAGCCTCCGGACGCTGACCGTCGCGTCTGACAAGCTCCCGGCGATCTCAGGCATCGCGAAGAAGGTCCAGACCGCCACCGGCTCCGCCTATCTGGGCGGGCTGTGGAACGACAACCTGGTCACGGACTTGCTCTGGGCTTCGGCACCGCATCTGGAGTCACCCCACCTCGCGCGGAGGCTGTATGGGTACCGGGCGCCCAGCTTCTCCTGGGCCTCCGTGGACACCCACATCCAGCCCTTTGAGGACAGCGAGGACGAGACCGCCGAGCTGAGCCCTCACGTCTCGATCACCAGGACCTCGTGCACCGTGTCCGGCTGCAACCCGCTCGGCGAGGTCACGGACGGGTTCCTTGAGCTGCGCGGACCGGTGGCAGAAGCCACGTTGGTGGCTCCGGAACGCTACAAGTTCGAGTACCACTTGGTGATCGCGGGCAGCGGGACCGCCGTGGCTGTCTCCCCGGACTCTCTGCTGGTGCCGGACTCGGTCGAGGACGACGACCCAGGCTCGCCGCACGGGACAGTACGGCGTGGCCGAGAAGGGGAGAGCTACAGCCCTTTCAAAGCACGCGTGTGGTGTCTCAGCGTCGCGGGCCATTCCCACGGCTGCATCTCCGGCCTCGTCTTGACAAAGTCGTCGCGAGTCCCCGGCGCTTACGAACGGATCGGCCACTTTACGTGCGGCAACGACTGGCTGGTTGGGGCGAAGAAGCGGAAAATCAAAATTGTATGAGAAAGATCAGAACCAGAATGTCTCCCGGGATGTGTCACTCGGGCCGGCCCTCGATGAGCCTTGAGAGTAACCGGACTCCCAGCCTCAGCCTCGGTGGAACAAGGGTTATCTTACTAGCGAGGATATAGGTGAGGGGAAGAGATGCCACTCACTACGTTGACAGATGGTGTACTGGGCTTTTAGTTGATCCAAGCGACCATTCTCGCTCCGTGCGTCATGTGGAAGGAACCAGACAGCTGAAGTGAATGACTCTTATGGTGAGATGTTGGGATATCTGGAAGTTTCGGGCGTTTAGGTCGCAGCTGGGTTTCCGAGGACTAGTCAGCTGGCTATGCCGGTCATAGCAAGGGCAGTCAATGCGCCGAACTCTGTGAACATTCGGGGCGTGCTGCCGAGTCTCAACCCAGGCACATACAGGTGATTCGCGGATCTGGCGGCCAGAGCTCAGAGCCGGGCAGGATATAGGGTGGCTGACTCTCGAGTGTAAAGAATGCCAGCCCACACTACCAGGTGAATAACTTTTGAAATTGATAACAGAATGGGAGGCCTCCTCTAGTTCGCTTGAACCGTGACCTCTACAACAGCCTCCAAGGCTTTCAGTGCCAACCTCGTGGCTACGTCGACTGGATCCTGGTCCCGTTCGACAACAACATCACTCTTCACGCCCACGCCTTCCCAATTGCCCTTCGTGATCGCGTTCATGGGCTGCATGTCCGGTATCCCGACACGCCACCAGCCCGGGCCAAAGTCTTCATCGCAAATACTGCTCATCCTCATGACGGGATTTGCGGCCCCAGCGGTTGTGTTGTGGGTGCCCACAATGGCTGTTGCACGTTGCAAGGCCTGCAGATTGTACGCCATTTCCTCCCCGCCCGAGGCGGTGTGCTCGCTGGTGAGGACGAAGAGTGGTTTTGACCCCCCAAAGCGGTCGGTGTCGCTTGGCAGCTCGGACGCAGGGAGCGTCGAGAATGATTCCCTGACGACTCCGTCGCGATCCACAAAATTGGTCAGATGAACAGGCCCGTCGTCCAAGAAATACGACAAAATGTAGGCGACGGTCTCGGGAACACCGCCGCCATTTTTCCGGAGGTCCATCAACAGAGCGTCGGTATCGGCGACATGGGATATGATGTCTCCAATGGCCTTGTGGATCTTTGGGTCGTCAGCGCGCTTCCGGGACATCGACATTAACGGGACGAAACCGTCAATTCGGATGATACCGATCTTCTTGCCGCCGACCGCCTCTATTAATGGGGCACCGAACCCGAAATTGATGTCTTTGAGAGCCTCGAAGAGGCCTGGAGGATCTCTCTCATCCACAGCACCGAGGTTTGGGGGTGGTGTGCTGAAGATGACTCGGATATGTTTGTCATTGCTAACAGCCACCATATCCTTGGTCAAGCGTTTCGCCCAGTCTTCAGAATCCATGTAGCCACGGTAATCCCCGCCTATCTCGTTGGCCTGGAGCTGACTGATGATCTTATCTCCAGTTTCGGGGAAGACATACTGTTCGCGAACGACTTCGCAGAGCTCGGCCACTATCTTGCGCTTCATCTCCTGCGTAAGCGGCGCCAGAGCCTTCTCGTACTCCTTTTTCCTTTCTTCTGGGGCGTATCTGACAGGGGTGGTGGTCGGGCCTATTTCGAACTTTGTGACGGGATGGTCCGCTTGAGTGGAGTTGACTTGTATCGCCACACGGGCATATTGAGGACGCTTCTTCTCGCGGAGAAGGATTCGCATCATGCCATTTCTGTCTCCATCTTCACTCTCGCACGGCGTTTCAGCCTGAACGAAGAGGAAGCCGCCAGTATGGCGTGAAAGCCCTACCTCTCTGTCAATGTTGGCCACGTCATCACTGGCAACGTCGTAGGGGAAATGGTCTGCATGATATGCAGCTAGCGTGTCACGATCCAGAGTGTTGAATGCTTCCAGCCAGGCATGGAATTGTTGCAAGGCTGGAGAGTCGGCGGAGAGGGATGAAGGCCCCCTGGCCTGCGTTTGACTGCGGCAGAATAGACCGTTGTTGACAAGGAGATAGACACAGGCCAATGCAAACAGCGGGAGCAACAGATAAGAAGGGACGGCCATCACGCTGCATCCTCTTAAATGGTCGGGTTGCAGGGAGAGATGAGGACAAGGCAACAATCAGCCTCGCCTCCTCCCCCAGTTTCCCTCCCCAGATTCGGGATGGGCCGGCAGTAGTTTTCTCCGTTCTTGGCAGACGTCATGGCCAAATCAAAGCCAAGCCCCTTATCGCAAGAAGCAAATAATTTTTTATCCGAAGTTTTTCCATTTTTCTCCGAAAATGAGTCGATGGAGCATTTGTACACGCCATTCCTGAAACTTCTCTTCATGTGTTAACAGTCTCAGAAATCTTCAGGATGACAGACCAGGGCAAAAAGGCGACCCCTGTGCGGCTATGGGGCGGCAGGTTCACGGGGGAGATCGACCCCCTGATGAACCAATACAACGAGAGTCTGTCTGTGGATCGGGTCTTCTATGCCCAGGATATCAAAGGCTCAATAGCCTACGCCAGAGCAAACGTGAAGACCGGCATTCTCACCCAAGAAGAGTTTGAGAAACTTGAAGAGGGGCTCCAAAAAGTCCTCAAGGAGTGGGAAGAGGGCACGTTCCAGCCGGCGCCTGGAGATGAAGGTGAGCGCACATGCTATTTGTGACCTCAGTCTCGTTGGGCCTCATCCAGGTACCACTCAAGCGGCATATCGATGTGTCAACCCAATAGAGGAGAATATTCTTTGGTTTTATTGTTACCGGCATATCCTCTCCAAAATAAACAGCTAACAAAAACTTCCAAAAAGACATTCACACGGCCAACGAGCGGCGCCTGGGCGAAATTATCGGGACAAACATTGCAGGAAAGTTACATACGGGCCGCAGCCGCAACGACCAAGTAGCGACCGACATGCGCATGTGGCTCCGCGACGAGCTGAGTTTGGTTGAGCAGTACCTGGTCGACCTCCTCAAGGTCATTGCCCTCCGCGCCAAGCAGGACATCGACTACATCATGCCGAGTTACACGCATCTTCAAAGGGCCCAGCCTGTCCGATGGAGTCAGTGGCTGCTCAGCCACGCGACGGCATTCCAATCCGACCTGGAGCGGCTGCGTTTCACCAAGAAGAACATTAACAAACTCCCTCTCGGCGCTGGCGCCGTGGCCGGCAACGCCTTTGGCATTGATAGAATCCAGCTGGCCAAGGAGCTCGGCTTCGAGGGCCTGATCATGAACAGCATGTCCGCCGTCGGCGACCGAGACTTCGTCGTCGAGGTGCTCCAGTGCGCCTCCACCATCGGCAGCCACCTGTCGCGCTGGTCCGAAGATTTGATCCTCTACAGCTCCCTCGAGTTCGGATACGTCAAGCTGGCAGACGCATACACCACCGGCAGCTCGTTGATGCCGCAGAAGAAGAACAGCGACTCGCTGGAGCTGTTGCGCGGCAAATCCGGGAGGATATTCGGCGCGATGACCGGCTTGATGATGAGCATCAAGGGCCTCCCGTCCACGTACAACAAGGACTTGCAGGAGAGCTTACAGCCCATGTTGGACACGACCAAGACTCTGAAGGACAGTCTCCAGATTGCGGCACGGTCGCTGGCCACGGCGACGGTGTATCCGGAGAAGATGCGCGCGGCGCTGAGCCCGGACATGCTGGCGACGGATCTTGCCGAGTACCTGGTTCGCAAAGGTAGGCTTCTGTCTCTCGCTTCTTTCTCTGCCCATCCAACCATATCCTTTGGCTACCCATCTTCTCCCTCCCTCCTTCCTCGTGTCCTCGTCATTTGTTGTCGACAAAGTTCTAACCCTATCTCATCAGGCGTCCCCTTCCGCGAGACCCACCACCTGGCCGGCAAGATGGTGGCGCTGGCCGAGGACGAGAACAAGGGGCTGGACGAGCTCAGCGTGGCGCAGTTCCAGGGCGTGGACAAGAGGTTCGGCGACGACGTGCTGAGCGTCTTCGACTACGAGCGCTCCGTCGAGCTCAAGGACGCCACGGGCGGCACCAGTCGGCGTGCGGTGCTGGAGCAGCTGGACGCGCTGCAGAAGACGCTGGGGGCTTGACACACGGTATCGAAAATGTTGGAGACGCTCAGATAGATCTACACCCGCGAGGCAGGCGTCCGTTCATCGATCCAGAAAATAGCTGACTTTCACTTGAAGGTGTGGTGTGGGTGGCGGATACGATGGCAACGGCTCCAAGACGGATCAGATCACGAGATCAATCAAAATCAATGCGTTCTAATTACGTCCCTTCCCCTTCCAGATCTAGAGATAATCCTCTTCCTCGACATGGTCTGCACTGCACGGCATTTCTGTCCTACAACCAGGCGCACATTGGATCGATCGACCCTTTTTTTCTAGACACACCCCAGCGAAAGGTAGTCCTCCTGGGGATCCAACGCATACCAGGAGATTTCGCTGTTGTCGCCGAGCTGGTCGAACTTGCGTGTCTTGCAGTGATGACGCAGCAACAACCGGTACTGGCATTCTCTTCGGGAGGGTCAGAGCCGGAGAATCACTCGAGGAGTGCAACGTGTCGGTATGACGTCCTAACCAAGTCGGTGGATTTCTTGGATACATGGGGTCCTGGATACTTCGTTCACAATAGGGCCGATCCTCGCAAGATCCACGCCATCGCGATAGGCGGTGGACATGTCCTGTTGGCCGACAGCGAGACCTTGCGCTTCCACTGGGCCAAAGGATCATTACTAGACAGCGCACCCCAGGCCACTTTCGATGCCGACACGATGATGAGAATAGGAACCGCCGTGAGCATCAACCAAAATTGCAGTATGGACGAATCCACGTACAGAAAGAGCTCGTTTTGCGCCTTACAGCCACTCGACACCCAGGGAGTGTTTTGGGAGGCTCAGGAAAGACAAGCCGGGTTCCAAGGCGGGCAGTATCTTACAGGAACCTACAGCCAGACCTGGAATAAAATCCCGGGAATCACCCTCAAGCAACGCAGCCTTCAACGCTCCGATTGGCACTTGGTCTATTTCCTCGAGCAGAACTGGGGACTCTAGGTCAGTTTCTGCACCAGCGTCGCTCGCCGAGTGTCCCTGCGCGAGCTCGTCACCGATCTTCTCCCGACGTTCGTCAATCCCCTCGAGCAGGACACCTGGGACGAACTTGTCAACGTCCACCACATCGTCCAGAACTTCACCCGGGGCAATCTTTTTGACTGGCTCCGCACCCTTTCGCCCCGCCTGCAACGGTACGTGTTCGCTCTCATCCGCGCCATCCTCGAACAACTCCAGCACACGGGGCTGGACCGGGGGAACGCCACTCTGGCAATCGCCTGGCCTCAAGAGGGCGACCTCGAACGCGGCCTGAAGATCCCCTGCAAAGCGCAGACCTGTTGGGCACAAATCATCGCCGACGCGGAAGATTGCGCCACCTTTGCATACGTCACGTCAAAGCGCCTCGAGACGAACCAGGTGAAGTGCCGGGGCGTCCAGAGAGCGTGGCAAAACGCGAGCAAGGCGCTGGTGACCGAGGTAAGCCGCAGCCAGCCCGAGGGACAGCCGATCCCAGCTCGTCCGGACCATGTCATCGACACCGCCGCCGCCGCCTCGGCGACCACGACGACAACCATTTCGGCGCAGACGGCCTGGCAGCTGGAGGACCAGAAGACCTACTACATCAAGAAACTCGACTCTCTGCTGCGCGTCAAGGTTGAAAAACCGAGGTCGGCCAGCAACGACGTCGCGCACTTGGTGGTGACGAGCAGCAACATCCCGCGGGCCCGGTGGAAGAGGTTGCTGGTGAGGGAGAAGGAAAGGGGCAACTGTCGGATCAGGGAGCGGCAGGCGAGTGGGGACTGCGCGGAGCGTGTTATTGTCAGGGCCGCGCTGATTGGGACGTAATCTATTCATGGGGAACGGTGAAGGACAAGAGAATAATACAGTAGGATGTAGCAAGGCTCCAGCTCAGCCTCGCGTCTCTTTCCCCTTTACCTATGCGCGTACAGAAACCCAAACGACCAGAAACGGGAAAAAGTTGAATAGGTAATATTGTTACTTGTTTCATGTTGTTTCACAGTAGGGAAGGCTAGAGATCAGGGGCAACGTCCACGAAAATGCTCATCTCATTCCACTCCGCTTCATCATCAGCTGCATCCATGCGCATCGTCGAGCCGCTATCGTACACAACAACCACTTCCCGCCTGCACCGAGGAAATTATCATCGATTCGACAAAGGAGGGGGGAATCAGAACCGTAGTTCCAATGTGCCCACGGGTTTCTCGCTGCCTTCCCTTCACTCCAGGCAGAGCATTCAACCCCCGTAGACCTCCCTAACCTTCACATAATCTCCATAGAGTGCCAGTCTCCAAAAATATTAGACATCCGCTTATGGGGTACACATCCGTCTCGTCCCAACCTGGCTCTTTCATCGGAAAGACATGGAGTTGATTGGTGCATCTCATTTGCGGTATGCCATCCCGTAATTTGTGCCCAAAACCTTTCCACTGTTGTACCTTCATGACCGAATGTGTATGGGGGTATCACAAAAGATGCGGTAATTGTACACTGTATCTTCCGTCCGCTCGTTGCTGGCTGGTGCAGACCCGTCCAGGTGTATTATGGAAGCTCTATTGAATCGGTTGGATTCATCTAGAGCTCTGCTGCCACGCGCACCTTGTTGCCTCTAAACTGAGGATTCCACGCTCGTGGGCAAGCATCAGCCTCGAGATCTCCGCTTCGAGCTAGCAGGGATCGCAATCTCAACCAAATGATCCTCATCGTCGTCATCATGGTCCGCTTGTCCCGCGAACTCCGAGGCCTGCTCGTCGGGATCATCATTCATTCCATACGCGTTTTCCAACTTCTCTTTCTCCAATGGACTCAAAACTTCTTCGTCGGAACTGTTGCTCTCGACTTCTTCCGTTGGGGTCACCATTTCGCCCATCTCTTCGTCTTCAAAAACCTCCAGTGGGCGGCGCTCGAGACTTGTCCTTGCTTCCAGGGGTGGATTTCCCGACTCAATGTCAGAGCCCGACCCATCAGAGGACGAGTCATCTAGTGACCCGTCGAAATCATCATGTGAAGTTTGTCCCTGCATATCTCGACTGGGCGTTGAAGAAAATAGACTGGTCAGACCTCTGCTTACTGAAAAGCTGTGGTGATCACTCGTGCTTGGACTTAGGGAGTTGATGTTGCTCCGCTTCCCAAACGTCGTGATATCTTGTTCTTCCTCGTCCAGCGAAAACGGGTCGCCGGCATCGTTATCGTCGCCGTTTCCCAGCGCAGCGAATGGGTCATCTGCTTCGGACCCAAATTCCGACGCAGCCACCTCTTGCTCGGCCTCTTGTTTGTGTCTCGCTAATCGATCAGCCAACCGTCTGCGAGCACGTGATGGCTCGATGTTGAGTGGTGCTGGCGGAGGTGGAAGTAAAGGTATTGGCTGATCGGACTGTGTTGAGAGCAGAGCATCATTAGCCTAAAAAGTAAACATCCGTCGAATTGTATTGGTCGCACTTACATTCTCCGCCGGAAGACCGCTATCAGCAGCAGAGAGCTGAGTCACTGTCCTCACATGCTCTTCATCCTCCGCATCATCCATATCTTCGTCATCGTCATCGGAGGAGCTTCCAAACCCACTGGAAACCGATCCACTCGAATTGTAGCCAGCACTGGTGGCGCTGCCATTGTTGGACAAGTCGATGCTGTCTAGAGCATGTTGGCCACCGCCCAATCCAACGCTGGCCAATCCGCTCGAAACACCAAAACCTTGACCAGCATTGACCGCATTCAGAACAGCCTGTCTGGGGCCAAGACCATTGTCTGGTCGAAATCCTCCCAGGATAGCATTGTCGCGTTCTCTGGTCTCAGCAAGTGTCTTAGTAACGTATTCCTCCCAACCTTGAGAGTAGATATAGTCCTGGACGACAGGCGAAAGCAACTCTCTGGGATGTCGTTCGCCAAACTTGACGACCTCTTCTGCTACCAGTGTCAGGTGCCCCATGTATCCTAGGCGCATATTCCTCGCCCGTTGTTCTTCGTCACTTCGTCTCTGACCTTCAATTATCGCGTCAGTAATTCGACCAGTTTCGAAGAGATCAAATGCTAAGAATCGGTTGTGGCCCCGGTCCATGGGCCCGTTGAAAACTTGCTGTACAACATCATACACGACGTTGTGGAGGAAGTTATTCCAAGGAAATCGGAAAAAGAAACTCTGTCCACCATTAGCTCCGTAAATAGAACCCGGCGATATATGACTCTTACCAAAATTGTTGGAACCACCCTGTTCTCCACAAACATGATCTTCAAGTAATCACCAACGACTGGCGCTTCGTCTGCAGCGGGTTGTTCGGACTGGACGACTTGCATTGTGTCATCTTCAGTCGATTGGAAGGATTCGCCTTCTGGCTGATCTCCGTGGGGCCCTTCATCAAGTCGAACTTTCACGGTTGACGGGCTTGTGGGCGGCTCTGGGCTATTTGCTGTGGGTGTCTTATTAGGATCCGACGATTTGGAGAACAGTGGTGCAGGCTTGTCCTCTGGATGAGGTGAGATGTCTCCAGGCTGTGACTCCCGAGCTGAAGCCTGAATCTTTGATTCATGCTCATCGGGCGCAGTCATGTCCGTGTCTTCTAGACTGAGACGGCGGACGGTCTCATCCAGAGCACCGGTCGGCGTATTCGCTTGATCGTGGGATTGGCGAGATAGTATTGGGTTTTCAGCCGAATCCGGTTTCGAGCCCAAAGTGAGGTCTGTCGCTTCCGAAACAGCGACCTTCTCAAACCCATCCTCATCGTTGAGGTTGGCGATACGTAGTTCTTCTGTCGAGGTGGACCCCGAGGGAGTGAACGCATTTTCGAACCTCGACGAACTCGCCGAAATGTCGACCGTAGAATCTTCTGACTGCCTGGTGGACAGAAAAGCCCCTTGCGCTCTCAATCTCTCTCTTTCGGCGTCTCTTGCCTTGATGAATTCTTCACTGCCCCTCTCATTTAGAAGACCCATGTTGCTGCAATGGAGTAGTTCTGCCATCAACTCGCAGGTCTTGAATCGGTCAAAGCCGAGAGGCTCGATTTGGGTCCCCCACGCTGATTTGAGTTGACCTCTCTCAACTACCCTCGTCTCCTCGCCTTTGGTGACGGTGTGCTTGGAGCTGAGTATGAGGTTCATGAAATCCGGAACATGCTGGGCAAATAACCTCAGGAGGGTGCCGAGATAGATGGGGTCGTGGTTAGTTGGAGGAGCGTCAGCGCTGTGACCTTGATCAGGATCATAGTCGGAGTTGTTCTTCCTGATAACTTCGATTACAATCCCCACGCCCACTGTAAGCGGGTTCCCACCTTTGAGCATGTATGAAATAAGCTGTCGTATGCACTTTTCCGATACCAGTTGGCGTGTAAGGCTGTTCGGGCCAATACAGGATTGCTCATTTTGAGCCGCATTCGCAGATATTGTTATGATAGCTTTCAAGAAATCTCCGGCAGAGGTCTGGGTCGAGGAGTTGCATTCGGGAGACAGGTTGGAAAGGAGCATGGGGATCAGATCTTGCCCGTGCAGCCAGTCAACAATGCCCATTCCCCCATCCGATTTTTCGAGGCTGATGATTTTCAACAGCAAGTCCATCACCATCGGACAATCGACGTGCTGGAGAATAGCCGCAACGATTCCCGGGAGAGATTTGAAGAAATCCAACATCTCCTCAGTCTTCTTTTCAAGTAGGGTCTCGTTGACCTTTGTGAAATAGCCTGCCTGGAGAGGGTCTAGTGGGGCGGGCCTCCGCAGAAAATCCCAAAATTCAGTGAGATAAGGAGTGTTGGCCATCAGCGACTCTGTGATCGACCAAGTCTCGCAGGACAAGATCTCACAGGCGACAAAGGCATATTTCAGGCGCTTCTTCTCAACCTTCTCTTGTTCTTCGTCCAGAGGCTGCGGTTCATCCTCATTATCCATTGCGAGGCCTTTGCCCTTCTCATCCTCCTCGTTTTCATCGGACTCGGGTTTGGGGCCAGGTGCAACAACGTAGTTGAGGAGAGCATGTAGATTTGATTCATCGCGCAGATATTCTATCAATTTGGTGTGGTGCGACTTGAGCTCCTGAATGAGGTCGGACTCTTCCAATAAATCTTCGAGCTTGACATTGGGCTTTTCGAGGAGGGTGTCGATGGAGGATATATTGGAGTAGCCTCCAAATCGCCAAAACATGGTTGCGGCTGCGATTCGGACGCGATCGGAGTACGGCAGGAGATCTTAGTAATGATACAGAATCGGAGGGGTGTGGTCGTCAAGTAACAGGCCGTGGGAAGTCGTAACTCGTGAATTGAATATTGAGTAAGACATAGACAGGCGGTCCAGCGCTATTATCGGTGTCCAAAAGTTAGCTCTTTGAAGCAAATGAGCAACCGGGAACCTCTTGAGGTGTGCAATGTTGCCGGTAACTCGGAGTGTGCAACCGCATGTTTACCTGTTGTTACAAAGGAGTGACTGGAAGAGAAGTCAGGACAACCGTCAAAGACACGGGTCCCAGGACTGTTCGCCCGGAAGCGATTACTGTAGGGATGGAGGGTCTCTGAGCGCGAGAGGTGATGTGTACGGTGGTTTGTAAGTTGTGGATGATTCGGGAGTCTGGTTGGAGATTCGGCGGGTAACAAAAAGAAAGAGAGAAGCCCGCGCGAACTTGGCAGGAAAGCAGTCAGAACTGCGCCGTCCACTGATCACAAATCTCCAGTTTACATGGAATGCAGCACCAAGCGTCTTGGAGTTATGGAGGCGCGGTAGTATTATGGCTGGTGCCTTGAATGGGTTGTGGTACAAAACACTGATAATAGCAATGACAAGAGTTGTGCTACGTGCAACACGGAGCGCAGGCAAAAGAGCCAAGTGACGGGAAAGGGACCGGCTGAGTGACTTGGGCACGAGATTCACCACCGGCCGAAGAAGCTGGAGTCCTGAAGTCGCAGAAGTCGCAAGGACAAGCTAGCGACTGACCATTAGCAGATGCCTTGTGGCCCTCTTGCCGGCGCCTCCACAAACAAGCGCCCCCCTTTTTCCCTCGCACCGCGCCCAACAATCCGCCTATCCTGATGATTATTGCCCGCCACGAAATGCCCATGCCACATGGCTCCCTAGAAAGTCCGAATCGCAAGGGCCCCCCCCAGCCAGCCGGGCCCCCAGATGTCCTAGCTCTTTCCACCGAAGCCCAATCTCCAACTGGCCGAAGCACTAACAGGTGATATGATGGTGAATGCCCTGATGCATGGGAAGCGTGACACCAGATATGCAGATGAGGTGGCACCGAGTAGTAAAGAAAAAGGGGGCCGCAGGCACGTGCAACCTTTCCGGGATCATCTGGCAAAAGCTTTGGGCATCAATGAGGAGGAGGATACTCGGTAGTCATAGTCAATTTGCGCATCTGCAGATCTGTAAGTCGAAACCTGCATCTCGTGCGGGACGACCCTTACCCCTGGTCTCTCTCACCTCCTTACCTTGGGACTGCCACGTTGCGATGACCTGCTTTGCCGCAGCAGTTTGCCGTGGTGACCTACTAGAATGAATTGACGTTGTTGAGCATCAAGACCAGGTATTGCTAGTCCGTAAACGCCATTGACAAAACTCAAAGGATAATGCATCTCCCTGCCGAGTAAAGATACTGCTGGAAGCGCTCTAGGGCATACCAAAGCACGAGGGATTCCGGAGGGCGAGATGAGAAAATGTGGGCGAGCGAGGGCGGCAGTACCAAGAGGTCACCGGATAAATGTCGGAGCGAGATGACGCACCAGAAAGCCTCACAGGCCGGGGCAGGCAACTTTCGCTGCATCGCTGCTCCATCTACACTCGAGTATCTCGTACACAGACACCACAATTCTCCGCGTTTCCTCTAATGTCTGGAAGGATCCTTTTCAATTGAGATCTCGCACAGGATGAATCGGCTCTTCGGATCCAAAAACACGGCACCCAAGCCCACTTTGAACAGCGCTATACAAAATGTGGGTTTCACCAGCCCCTCTCCGGGCAGCTTGGGATGGTCTGACTCTCGTCGCAGGTAGACACGAGAATCGATTCCATCGATGTCAAGCTCGCCAAAATCAATGCCGAACTCTCCACGTATCAGCAGAAGCTGTCGAAAATGCGCGATGGGCCTGGGAAACAGGCAATCAAACAGAAAGCCCTCAAAGTCCTACAGCGACGCAAAATGTACGAATCACAACGGGACCAGCTTCAGCAGCAGTCGTGGAACATGGAACAGGCGGGAGTGATGCAAGATAACCTGAAGAATGTCATGACCACCGTGGATGCGATGAAGACCACGAACAAGGCACTGAAGCAACAGTACGGCAAGATCAACATCGACAAGATAGAACAGATGCAGGACGAAATGGCGGATCTGATGGAGATCGGCAATGAGATCAACGAGAGTATCAGTCGCGCCTACGATGTGCCTGATGAGGTCGACGAGGCCGAGCTGGATGCCGAGCTTGAGGCGCTGGGTGAGGATATGATGTTTGAGCAAGAGATGGGGATTGGCGAGAGTACACCCGGCTTCCTGCAGGACGAAGTCGCTCCACCACAGTTCGTGGACGAGCCTCCGGAGCATGCCAAGGTCAAGGAGGCCGCGGGCGGTGTTGGCTAAGAATGGCTGTTGGGGATGTGAGCTATCGTTTTTCTCGTTACAACTGTCTGTCGACTCTGCAAAATCTGTAATGTCGCGTACAAGCGTGCGTCTCTTCGTTGTTTGAGGTCCACAATGTCAAGTGTTCTTCTTCAAATCCTGCGTCCAAGCTCTCACGGCTTTGGGACCCTCGTGTGCTGCCTTGAATAACTGTCGTTCACTCTCCTCCAGTCCTCGCAGGAACTCTGCTCCCTCGCCCAATGCGCCGCGAGGGTTATGCGCTTGATCGGCGATTTCTGCTGCTCGTTCTTTGAATGTCTAGACCCCGGCAAACACCTCTCGCATCAATATCGGACTTCGAACTAAACACCATAGTTCGACGAGCGTGTATCGCAATCCGCGTCAGGGGGGTTGGGGGCGGGAACACGAGTATAATACTTACATCTAACAAGGTATCCAACACCGCGCGATCATCGAATAACTCCATGATTCGAGCTCCGAGGGCGTAGAAGTGCGGTGCCTGCGTGCGCAGATCGACTGTCTTGGGGTCTGCCTTAAGCGCGTTGATGACGCGCTGCTGCAGCGGTGCCGGGAAATCCAGCGTGACGAGCCTTGGAGAACCAGGCGTGTTTCTGGTTGAGAGACAGACACAATCAGACGGATGCGATCTTCACGCGTTTTGGATGCCTGCGGACGTGTGCGATGCTTACCCCGTCGACACCGCGAGCATGACGCCTAGCCACATGGGCAGATCGATCTTGGTGCCCGCTTTGATCTGTCTCTCGTGTATCAGCAACACATCTACTCGTTTGTTCCGCCTCGGGGATACGGGATTGTTGTCACACTGACTGTTCCGCCGGCATTGCCATCCAAGTACCCGAGGCCAGGCACGTCCAATTCAAAGGTGCAGGGCAGTTTTTGCGAGTCAGTCAAGATGGCGTCGACGTCGTAGTAAGACATGCTTCGCGTCGGCCAACCATACCAGATGATCAGACACTGCGATGTTCGTTCGCAAAGCCTAAAGGTTGGAGTGAGAAGACTATCTACGCGTGATGAGACGAGATATATGCGTGGTAGGTACGGAGTATATAAATATATACGTGTACTCCCTAGAAACGTTGGATACCCGCCAAGTCACGGATCCACCCTGCTCGATGCTCCACTGCCGACCCGCTGAATGGTCGACTCTGTCCTGTTATCCCGGATCACAAGAGCCTCCGTATTACAGCATGTATTGGGTGTTGCTGCTCTTGTATCCACTACGGAGAGAATGGGGATTTGACCAGGGAGATGTACCTGTTGAAGCGCAAAGCGTTCTCAAGCGTGACCCCTTCTATGAATCGACCAGGAAAATAATCTTTGGAAGGAGTACAAGATGGTTGTTTCATATACTATAGATGGGCCTAGATATATTCCGGATAGCGGTAGCCCTGATATGGTGTTGATACCAGACCGATGTCGTAGGCATCACGATAGCGATCATCGCTTTCAGTCTCCCCTCGAGCCATGTACGAACTGCCTTGTCCTAAAAGCACACTGTTACTGCGTTGGTCGTCCACCTGCTGCTCCACAACGTGGGCGTCATCGCCAGGCTCTGCATACCTGGGAGGCAATACTCGTGGGCCTAAGTTTTGGAGGCGATGGTCGTCCCCAAATTGAGAATCCCCCGTGTATTTCCCGAGGACATTATAGCTGGGGTCGCTTTGTCGGGACCTGCGACCAACGACCATCCATTTGGCAGCACGGCATATGGCCTTGACAATGTCCCACCAGTTCAACACGTCGACCAAGGCCAGGAGACCGAAAGCGCCGCCCTTGTACTCACCGAGCACCTCCGAACCATCTGACCTTGTCCAGTTTGCGCCCTTGGTATAAGGCCTATACGGGTACGCCCGGAGATGGAGGAGAGATATTATGGCCATCTCGGCGCAAAGAAGGGTCCCCGGCAGGGAGACACGGAGATCCGGGGTTTGAAAGCGCTTCGACGCCCTGAAGGCGCCTAGGCTCAAGAGTATGGACATGAGCAACTAGCTCCAGGTAATCAGCTGCGTCAATAGCATTCTGGGAGGAAGCAATACATTTTGATAAGTTAAGAGATAGAGCACAATTTTGATGCAGGAAAACTGGAATTTGGTCTTCCATTGGTTGACATCACCAACAATCTGATCATGGTATTGTCCAAGGCACTGTACAGGGTGTTAGAACTAGTCTCGGTCTTATCAAAAATTGCACAAATGGTTCCCAACAAAAATTAATCCAGTATGATGTCTCCAAATACATGTCGGAATCTGAGCGTTATGTGATTTCGGAAGGAGGGACAACTCACGAAGGAAGAAACGATAGCGGAGGCGGTGTTAAAGGCCAGAATCTGCGACAATTCAGCAAGGATGCAGCCATCAGTGGCCAGTGACCGAAATGCCCATATATGAGCGAAGGCAGGTTGAATAGGAGCCTCACTACAATAGCGATCAAATATTTGAGCAATGACGCCAGCAATTGATGTGGCCATCAAGACAAAACAGTATTGGAAAACGCCGAAGAAGTTGATCTGTCAACAGTCAGAGACGTTCCGGGAATCTCGGTGACTCTTACATTGAACCACGTTAGACCGCTGCTCGGGGTGCGCAACAATCCTTTCTCGGCGCCGCCCGTACACTTCTGTAGCCAGGATACAGGCCAGTTCCATTTCCTTGGTGTCACATGTCTGAAGTATCCCTTTTGTTGGTGGAGATTTGGGGCAATATAGGAGCTAAGTAAGTTGAAGAAGGACGCGAGCCCAAACGCGGCGTAGGCATTTCCAATGAGGAGGAAATAAATGTTTTTCCTGTAGTAAACAACCGGAAGGAGATTGCTGACACTATAAACAGGTATCATGAAGAGCATTCTCGTGACACTGGCGGCTCGATCAGCCCTGAGGTCGAGCTCAAGACAGAAGACTCACTGTTTCTGCCGCGACGCCTGCATGTAATGCGTGGCGTGCATCGGTATCTGTGACAGAGAAAGTACCCCCGCAAGGATGGTCGAGCCCACTGCAATCCAAACCAGGATTTTATGTACTGTCCAACCGTTCCCGACCGGTTCTTCTGTCACCGGCACTGGTTAGCGGAGACGAACATGAGAAGGAGAAATCGACACTACCCGTCAAGTCGGACAATGTTGAATTGCATTGTGGCCACCCCATTGTCACCGAAATTGTTTGAAAGGGCCAGAATCGCAAAAGAAGAAATGCTGGAGACGCTCAGGCTCAATTGGCCTGGTGAGGCTGATGATATCTGGCGCCATGTCTCAAGCAGCCCTCGGCCCAGTCACAATGCTGTTAGCAAATAGATTCCAAACCCACGTAGGGGCAGATAGTATTTCCAAAACGTGCCCAATTGGTAAATAGCGGCAGCGGCTGGCTAGATCAAGCGGCTGAGAGGTCGAGACTCGAAATGGAGGTGCGGCTGTGCTGGATATCTTGGGCTATGTTTAGGGAGACGGAGCAAAACGTTCGGGACTAAGCGACGCGAGAGGGCGACGTCGAGGCCAGAATGCCTGCCAGGACTCTACGCTAATGTTTATAGGCTAGCGCGGTTTGAGGCTTGCTGGGATGGAGATCAGTGGCAGCTCGACTAGTCAAAGCAGCGTGTAGTCGAATATGCACTTTCATAGCTAATCTGGGTAAGTGCCTCGGTGCATCTTTAAAACAGCATGCTGCTGATGTATCCACGTGATCATGAAGAAGAGCCAATCAAACGCGTCTTTTCCCCTTGCACTGTGACCTCGACGCGTTCCCTGCAAAGAATTTCAAGTCGTCAGACAGTCCATTGTGTTCCGCTGTTTCCTCCCCTCAAGTTCAAGGAGGAATAAGATGAGCTCCCAGTCAAACCCTGCGGCTTCTGCATCGCAATCAACATCGGCATCATCGTCACGCCCACCAGTGACCCTCGGGCAGACCACCCATCTGGACCCCGGTGCGTACGTCCGTGGCACCCACGCCATCACAGTCGGTGAACATGACCTAGTACATCCTAGAGCTCAACTGGTCGCTGTCCACGGACCCCTCTCCATTGGTGACAAGTGCATCATCTCGGAGAAATGCATCATTGGTGGCCCTGTTGGGATCTCAGGCGGCCCGACCTCCGATCCGGCTTCGAAAACGGGAAGTAATCAGCCTAGCCCGTTGATTCACCAGGGCGGTGCCGACGATGTCGATGATGAGGAGCGTGACCCCCTGAAAACTGTGATCAATGACAGTGTTTACATCCATCCAAGCTCGCAGGTGCATGCTGGGGCAACAATCAAGGAGGGAGTCCTGATTGAATCCCACGTGACAGTCCTGGCAAACGTCAAGGTTGGGGCACATGCAAAGATCTGTGCTGGGGTGACCGTGGATAGAGATGTGGCGGACTGGACAGTCATATATGGAAATGGCGACATGAAGCGACGGAGGAAGACACGGTCGGCTGAAGAAGATCAGACCGAGCTTGTCGAGATGCTGAGGCTCAAGGCCATGGACAAGGAACGCGAGGGAACAGTGACTCTTCTGAGGGCCGCCACTCGGATGGCGAGTTTGGCCAAGAAGAAATGAAGAACTTCTGCAGACGGCTGCCAAAATACGGACTAAAGAGCTGGCATTTCTTTCAGCAAGGAGCACAAGATCGCCTGACCCGAGATACGTGCAGCATTGTCTTTGAGGGTCCTTTCGATAACTTCACGTCGCCAATATCGATGCACTGCCCTGAGACTAATTCGCTGGCAACCAGATATCTCAGCAACTTCTGCAGCGCTCCCTCCAAGATTACGCCAGTTACTACGCTTGTGGCGATACACAACCGACACCACATGGTCAGAGGCAGAGGCCAAATGCAGGATGATGGTCTTGTGTTCCTTGTTATGAATCATAAGTGCGGATCAATGCTTCCATGCTTGCCACCCCTCTTGGTTCTCGGAACTGTCGATTGAAGACTCCAGTGAGAACAAAATCGACAAAACCAATATGCAGCTCGTCAGGTCATTTGGTCGGCTCCTCATCACGGCATTGAGCTCTTGACCACCCACCTGCCAACAATTACCGGCGAAAATGAAAGGGCAGCAAATTCAGAAGAACACGTCTGATGTTATCCGCCTTTGGAGACAAAATCGGATTTCACGAAGTATCCTCTTGTAAGGAACGCGACGACTAAGATCTCCAGCAGGCCGTGGCTCCCACTGGTGCGCAATAGTGAAGTATAAGGCTAGTTCCTCCAGGACGTCCTTAGTGGTGCTAATAAACCCGACAACGTAGAGTCGCCATCGGTTGAAGCCGTTAGGGGGGAGTGCAGCGATTCCCTCTACTTCGGGCAAATAAGGTGCTACACTCATCAAGACGACAATATGCAGCCTCAAAAGCGCGATGTGCCATAGATGACGACTGTGCAGGACAGACCTTGTGGATGCTTCACTCCCAGCCACCTCGATTTTCCAACTCTCGGCGCAGAAAACCGATGTAGACGTCGAATCGAAGCACAGCAATTTACTTAGCGAGGAAGCGTATTCTAAGTATCGCTCAAAGCGCGGCTACTCTACGAATATCCGGGCGAATGCCTCATTCTCGATTAGCTCTGGCCGGACATGCTCACCATTATGGTAAGCTTCCAATCAAGACAGGATCTTAGTTGTCGGGACCTTGACGATACTCTAGAGAGCACCATCCCACAAATGCACACTCGAGAGCGGCGGCATTTTTCCAATTGCGGGTGTCTTTAGCCCAATATGAGGCGCAACAGTACCAAAGCGCCCCCCAACAGCAACCCAGCCGGCCTTCTACTGCATTGAAATTTGGGGGCGCTTTAGGTCCGCAGCATGTCTTAGAGCCTCATAAGCCCCGCGTTGGTCCTCCAGCTCGATTTCTTCCTAAGCATGCATGGTCACATCAGTCATTGCACGTTCAGGCCTCCAGAGCGGAGCTCCGCCTATGGAGCCACTCAACTACCTTGTCGCTGGCCCTCAACCTGAATCTTAGCCAATGGGTTTGGTATGTTGCAAGCAACCTAGGCGTAGTCCGCCGAAAGACCTATCACTCTTTTCGCTGGCATCCTCGATAAAAATAAGACCCAAGGGAGCGGGACGGCGCGACCATTTCTTGCTTGTCCTCCCGATTTATATGCCCAAAGGCCAGCCAGAAGTCCCTTTGGGGGGACATACTACCAAAGGTCAGATCTTAGGGTCAGAATGGCATCGCGTTCGTGCCTCTATCTGTTGGTGTTCGTCTCGTTGATTTCCACATCTACGGCTGCTGTGCATTTCAAGAGTTGGTATGGACAATTCCGACAGGTCTTCGAGCACATCATGGAGAATGATTGCCAGGCAGAGTATCAAAGTTACTTACAGAAAGTTGCTCCGAAGGACTATCTGAGCGAATATGTCACGCCAGTCATCGACTGTATCCTGGAAAATCTGAACGAAACACGCAAGTCCAACATGGCGGCCGCCGCAGTGTTGCTGGGTCTGTTACCGACAACTCTAGGCCTTGTTGGCTCTACCACAGTAGAAGTCGGCCTCGTGGCACTGAGGCGGCCTTTTCTCTCCTTCCTGCTCGCAGCCGGGGCGCCCGCTGTCTCGCCAATCCGCACATTCGATTACATTGACACGACAGAGCTGCTGGAAAGGAAACCCAAGACCGTCAGGATCAAGCAGATGAGTCGGCCGGCGGGCTTCTGCGTCTCTCTTTTCCAATATGTCATGGCAGCCGCAGCGGTCGTCAACCTGGCTTTTGTGAGCTACGAGATCTGCGTGCGTACCATCTGTTCCTTTGCCCCCGAGACTGCCTACCTCCCGGCACTGTGGGCATTTCTGGCCGTTGCTGTGCACTTCTTTGGGACGTGGTCAGTCTATTGTCGAACCCGGATCTCCATCAAGCCCGACGAGAAGACGCCCGCGGGACTGTGGCAGATGATATCCGCAGAATTCACGCCTTCTGCGTCGCGACAAGGGGCGGATCTGGAGATCAAGGAGGAGACGTATCTGTACATCTTCCTCTCCTGGTTCACCGCCACGGGCACCGTGCTGCACATTGTGTACGGGACGCTCGTCTTTTCGAGCCTCATCTTCATCTCCACCAGCGACGCCACGGCCGTGGTGGCGAGGTATCTGGCGTCCACCCTGGTCTGCCGGGCGATCGTCATGTACGAGCTGAGTGGGCTGCGAGAGGTGTTGAGTAGTGATCGGAGAAAGGACTCGCACGGGGGGTCCGAGCTCATACCGATGGAACCGACTTCGGGCACGATGTCGCTCGGCGACCGTCTCGGGGGCGTTTGGAAGCGGGGGCCCTTGAGCCGCACGGAAGAGTGGCAGTTGCTGCGCGGAGCAGACAGGCCTGGGGAAGCGTGAGTGTCGAGAGACTTTGTACGAGCTCTTAACCCACGCCACGGTACGGTAGAGACAGGGCGGCGCATGAAATTATGACATCAAGACGGGCATTTCGGAAAACGGGGGTGTTGAAATGTGAAGCATGAGTAATGGCTCTGCCCGAGAGGACCAAGCGCACCAAGTAAGCGGCGGAATATCTGGGACGTTGCTCACCCCACCACCAAGGTATTCGCCATCAACACCAAACTTGTCCTTTCCGTCATTGCAAGAAAATCCCGTATCCAAATCCTCCCGTACCCGTACCTCGTTTTTCATGGGCGTTTTGGCCTGTAGATTCTGGCCACGTAAGAATCCACGAATCCACGAATCCACGAACCTGTCATACAATCGTAATCTCGTAACGCATGTCGGGGCGCAGGTCGCCCGTGTCGAAGCGCGCCGGCGCACACGGGACCAGGAACTCGTCGCCGGCGGCGTCGGCCGTGAAGGTGCCGTAGCGGCGGAACTGCCGCTCGCGGCCGGACGGGACGAGCAGGAGGCCGCGGTACCGGGGCACGCGGTTGCGGGCGCCGCGCAGGAGCGGCAGGCAGTAGACCACGCAGGGCAGCGGGCCCGCGGCCGCGGGGCTGAAGCCGTCGTCCGGCCGGCAGATGGCGGAGGGGACGGTGCGGTGGGCGATGCGCAGCGCGAGGCCCGGCGTCGGCGAGCCCGGCTGGTGCGTGCGCGCGAGGCTGACGCGCAACAGCACGCCGGCCAGGCGGAGGTGGCCCGCGCGCACTTGGCCCATGGGGTCGTCCTGGTCGACCGGCACGACGGTCGCGCCGGTGATCTCGACCAGCGGCGTCGTGGTCGGGGATGCCCACGTCTCGGCTTCGCACGGCACCGTCGCCGTCCGGGACGCCCACGACCAGCTCGGCGCGATGTACTCGCGGCTGCTACTGCTGATGCTGCTGTTGGCATCGGGCGGGGGGTGGTCGGGATCCGCAACGTCCCAGAGCAGTTCGAAGGGGAGGTCCTGCTTCCACAGGCCGGCGAGGTACGTGTCGTGCTGCAGCAGGCGGCGCTGCAGCTTGCGCGCGATGCCCGACAGCGCGACCAGCCGGTCGGTGCGCCTGCTCAGCCGGCCGGCCGAGTACGTCTCCATGACCTGATCCCAGATTCCGTACGGCCCGACGCGGCCGCCTCGAGTGTTCGTCGACCAGCCCGCTTGTTGTTGCTGCTGCGGCTGCAGGTTCTTCGGCAGGGCCGAGAACGGCAGCAGTTGTTTGAACTGCTCACCCAACCCGTCTGGGAATCCCGCGGGGAAGGCCTCGGATGCCTCGACGCCCGAGCATTCCCAGTACAGCTGAGCGGCGCCGAAGTGCAGCACGCGAGGCGAGAGCAGCCGTTCCTGCAGCACCCACGAGCGGCCGTTCAGGGGCGCCTGGGAGACGTTCTTCGCCCAGTCCTCGTGGTCCACGCAGTACAAGGACCTCTTCTCGCCCATCTTGGCTACCACGGGGACGGCGCAGGGGGAGATCAGGCGGGGATCGCGGTCGGAGAAGAAACCCCGGTTCCCATCCGCAGCGGCCGTCGCGGCGAGCGTGCAGAAGGCGTTCTGGTAGATCTCGCCCATGTTGGCGGACTCCCGCCTCCAATCCTCGGCCGAGTCTTGGATGATGCACAGCGAGTCGATCCACAGATACCGCACCGCGAACTCGTCCCAGAACCTCTTGGTCACCATGATGGCGTCCTGGAACGTTCGACACAGCGTGTCAATCTCCACGCCCTCAAACAGGGTGGCTGCAGAAGCGGATGTCAGGATGACCCGTGGACCTATCCCCCAGCAATGGCTGAGTGCGAGGTACTCGATCGCGTACGCATCCCCAATGCTCTCGACCGTCCGGAGGCGGACAGTGTTGGACTCGCCGACTTCAAGGAGCCGTTTTGGAAGCTGCCGCTGACGGATTTCCAACGACCTGGGCGAGCATTGACGGTGTGTGGAGATGCACGTCCACATCCACGTTTTGAAAGTGTTCCAGCTTTCCTCGGACCGGGTGGTGGACGTGATCCTTGCTTGTTGCGTGAGGGGCTCCGCCTCTGTTTGCAAGTCAGCTCCAGTCGTGAGAAGGGACGTGAGAAACAGAGCAGACTTTGCCAGATAAAAGGAAGGTCAGCCCAAGCAAACACCAACAGATGGTCCAAGCAGGTAACAACATCACCTTGCAGTCAAAGTTCTCGGGGAGGAGCAAGTTTTCTCGACACAAGTCGCAAGGAAATATATCTACCTTCACTCGACAGTAACCTGAAATGTCGTTTGATAGGCTTCGCGTGCTCGTGGGGGTTCGTGAGGCCGATCTGGTACTTATACTCTACCAGGAGCTTTCTCGAACATTGGCGCTGTGGCGGAGAGAAGACGGCTCGATTGATGGTGAAGAAACACGGCAGCCAGTGCGCCGGGCGATCGTCCCGCAGGATCTCGTTCCAGAAAGCGTGGACTTGGGGCGGAGCAGCAGCCCAGAGCAGCATGCACAGGTGGCAGCCATCCGAGGCGGACTTCTTCAGCCTGGGCAGGCTGTGGTGGTTGGCCTTGTAGAATGGCGACTCAGGGGGCGTCGGTGAGGCTGAGCGGAGGACATCTCGTCTGGACTGGGCGGCGGGTACGAGATGGCGATGCACCAGCCTGACCGGATGATCAGCATTGTTGTCGTTGTCGTCATCCTGCTCCCGGAAAGCGTTGGCGCACGCACTGCATAGCATCCTTGATCTCGTTCCACAGAGCAGCCTCTCCGTCCAGGCTTGGGGTCATGGTAAAAGCGCAAGAAGTTTGCGGCGAGCTGAAACTATAGCTTTTCGTCTAGTGCCCTATATCGCTGGCATTTGATGCCCCCCTAGACCCAAAGGACTCTAGGCTCGCTCAATGGGGAATGCGTCCCTTTGGTCGGAATCCAGGGCCCAGACTCGGGTCTAGACCTGAAGGTTTACAGCGTGAATGCGACACCACCCGGCACACAATACCTCTTAGCCTTAGGCCGTCTTACGGCTGTCTAGGGCCAAGATTTCAGATAGAGAGGGAGAATCGACAGCATTTTCCCTGACAGGCACCACATTTGCTTCAGATGAACAAGATGCACCAAAGAGCCAGCCTCTGGTGGATCAGTAGCAGCCGGAACCCATGGCATTACAAATGCTTGGAGCTGATTTTGGGCTCTCCTCGCGTCTCCCGCCTGCCCTTGATATATGTACCCAGTAGCAAAGATCTCGTCAAGAATCCCAGAGGATATTGATTGGGGTTTCAGGTGGTTGGGGGGGCAGCTTGGGGGTTGTATTCGTGGCTTACTTGGGGCTGCGCGCCAATACAGCCAAACACTGAAGAAGAACGCTGTCGTATTTCAATTGCTGCGCACGATGAAATTGTGTTTCGGTTATGTGCTTCCCTCTCGAGTAGGACTGTTCTCCTTTCCACCCTGCCTGGTGATAAACCAAGAGAAAAGGAGGACAAAGGAACCGAAGCAAGCAGCCCACATCCCAGTGACGTGCACCAGAATACCAAACACAACAAAGCCACGTCTTTTCGAGGCAGAAAAGGGCTTCATGGGCCTCTCGCAAACGAACATCGTCCGTGTTCTGAGCTTTGCCCTTGTGAAGGTCTTTTGGCCGAGCCGGTTTTCTGTCGAAGTGCGTGGGGTGCTTTGGCCCTTGACACTCCTTGATTCATATTGATTGCGACCGTTCGGATGCGCGAGTTGAGTTCATCGTATTTGCTTCGCTTATTGGCGTGCAATTGTTCACGTTCCTCCTGGTCTTCTTGCAGTCTCTTTTGAGCCTTCTCTTGCCGATGGCCAAATGCCATTTGGAGCCTTCCCGAGTCTTCCTCCTTTCTCTTCTGAAAAACCGCGCGATCTTCTTCCTCTCTTTTCAGGCGTCTTGCCTTATCCTCTTCTTCTCTCTCCATACGCGCTTGATTATCCTCCTCTCCTCTTTGTCCGGCTTTCGATCTGTCCTCTTGGACCTTGCCTCGAACCGTGCCGCTTCGTCTCGTCTGAATTTCATGTTTTCCTCTTGCTCCTCTTCGTCTCTCTGCTTCACTTTCTCCTGCCAGCGCTGTACATAGTCTTGCAAGAGTTGTTCGCGAATTTCCAATAAGGTCTGCTGCTCACGCCACGCCAAACCGTAGTTTTCAAGTATAGCACCAAGGTCTATGCAAGGCCATTCTGTGTGATGATCCGACCCATCCGGATCAAAAGGTCCTAGGAGGTCATTTAATGCTCCCGTGTTTGATTGGGCATGCGGGGTTGCTGCGTTGGCAACAGCGGCGGGCTCCTGCTCGAGGTCAATAGGGTCTTCGGCAGTTCCTGTCGATCGAGTGCGCACAATGTATGAGCTCTCGACATTGTTGGATGGGGTTCCAGCGTTAGGACCACGGACCGGTTTTTGTTCTGCTTGCCACAAGGCGTGAGAGCCATCCCCAAGGTCGGGCCTTTTGACGACGGTACCTTCAGTGATCGGGGACAAGACAGGTTTTGCCTAGTGCTATTAACGTTTGTCCCTGTCAGGGGCTTTTATCTCTTTAATCGTGGCAGCTTCTAAAGGCGCACGGCTCTGATTCGAGTCTGGTCTTCTTACATGCCTATCCCCGGCACTGCTGGACCGCCCATGGTCATCAAGGCACCTTTGGACAGCTTCTGTCTCCACGTCAACTTCGGCCTGCCCTTGTTTCGAGCTTCTTCGATTATTTCAGCTGCCGTCTTGCCATCCGCGATTGTTTGGCCTTGATATGGTGGAATGGGTTGCAGTGTCGATGGTGCGGTGGGAGGCTCGCGGTATGGTGGAGATGTGCTTGATGTTTGCTGCTGCTTCCTCTCATGCAGGTCGCTTGCATCAAAGTATTCTGCCAACCTGTCATCCTCTCGAGTCATCATCCTCTCATTGGCGAGAGACTGTTCTGGATTGTCATAGTCGACCTGATACTCTGGCACGGCTCCTTCAGCGTGGACCTCCGAATAAACAGGCAGGGCCTCTCTGCCTCGAGTCCATTTGTCCGCCTTTGTGACTGGATCGCCAAGTCGCCACTTTTGTACATCCTCTGGTTTGAGAAGGCAATCTTCTGCAGGAGCATGCGTCCCTCTGTAGTTGCCATCCTTGTCCTTTGCATAATGCTTTCGCCAGGTGTCATAGGGGATTTGACGCATGACAAAAGGCGGCAGATCATCTTCTGGGTCGCGTCTTTTCCGTTGCGTGGTCAAACCAACTTTACGAAATAAACTCTTTCGCCTGCTGGGCTCCTCCTCAAGCGCGGACTGGTTGTGCTCCCAGTTGAGGGATTCATCGTAGCTGATGGCTTCTGAAGCGCCAATGCCGGTGGGTGGAGCCATTCCTGCTGGGAGACGTGGAGGTAGAACGGCACAGGACACCATTCTGACACTTGGTGGCGCCGAGTCGGACTGGGATCCCGCTCTAAGGCGTCCAACAGATTCGCGGCGAGACATTGGGCTGGTCAAAGATGTTAATTCAGTCGATGGATAAACACACAAACACACGATAGTAATGTTGATGTTTTAATATCGAGAAAGAATTCGTTCATGACGAGGCAGTGCTGATTCAAACCCAATAATAGAAAGTATGGAGGGCCTCGTCGACACTAGGTAGCAATGACGGGAACACCGTCTGCAGATCGAAGGGATCACAAGACACTGGCCACCAACTTGGGGGGTTAACGTAGGGGTGGCGGAGTCGAGTCTCGATGGGCGATGGGCGATGGGCGGGAGCTTTCAACCCCGCAAGCCCTCGCTTAACATTGTGCGGGTGAATGGCAAGATCGACGGGGGCTGGTTTGGTTGAACCTCATGCACCCTCTGGAGCAGCTCCAGACCGGGCAGTCAGTGCTACCGCTCACCCCGTCTCGCAGGGACCCTTGCTTTGCGGCAGTGAAGCAGGGTTGAGAGTTGGTCGAGATCGGCTGAAGTGGTGTTCCCTCTCCTTGTCTGGACATCTTCGACCCACACTTAGGGAGCAAACATGGATGTGGAGATGTCGGGCAGCACCATGGGCCATTCGTATAGCTGAGCAATGCTGTAATTGTGTGGCACCTGGGTTGCCTACCCAGGAACAGGAGGCAGCAGGAGGCAGCGCAGGCGGCAGCGCAGGCAGCCTCGCAACCCCGCAAGGCTCTGGTTGTCCCAGATAGTCAACTTAGCCGATCGCAAGCCAAGGCTGCGACCACGTTCGCTTACTGGCCGCTACTGCAGCCTTAATTCACCACCGCCCTGCCATCTAGGGTTATCAACCCTAAGAATCTCAGTCTTTCATCCATCAGCCCTTCACATGTCATGACAACGACGTGCTATGGCTTCCCGTCCGCGGCTCCGGTCGAGCAGCAGAAAAGACTCGCCTCTTTCGCCTCCCAAGCCCAGTGCGATCAGCGTCGTAATCGACGCGCCGCCAAATCATAACAAACGCCGGACGCGTTCATCCAGTCGAGAAGTCGCAACGGCGCAACGACTATCGCAAGACCTTGAGCAGCCTCTACCCACTGTCTCCGAGGAAGGGCCGGCATCAGGTCAAATCGAGGATCTCGACAGCAGCATTTCCGACTCATTCGAGGAGAGCTCTACAGGATCGTCCTTTGAGAGCCTGCTAGATGCTCTGGATCGGGATACCATCATCGACAATCTGGTCAAATTGCGCAATGACTCAGACGCAGTATTCTCAATGTTTGATGGTGATGACAGAAACGGAGTACGGGACATCTGTGCAAAGCTATTGCAACTCGACCCTTTACTTCGTCGAAAACTGTTGCGCCGGGAGGAACAGCTCTTGGCCACCATGGAAGTATATGGAGGTAGCCCAGGTTTTATCATCCCCGGGATTGTTATTCGCAAAATCTTTGGGGAGGATGGACTCCGTGAGATCAACCACGACTTAGGGCGCCCCGATGGAGTGCTTTATTTGGCCAATCTTGCGTTGCAGCTGGTAATGGTCTTGCGACGCTCGCTAGAAGAGCGTCACACTTACCTCGAGTTCATGTTCAACAACTTCCCGGAACCGTTTCACGATCTCGACGTGTACCCCTTCTCATCTGACACAGTCAAAGGCACTTTCCACTTCTATACCGAGATTCTCACTCAATTCTATATCCGACAAGTTGAGACCAAGCACTACGAAGAGGGATTTGATCCTGACAGATTACTCGGAGCTGTTTTCTACGACGAACGCAACAAGATAAAGGGATCGTCGGACGACGAAACGTACGCGAAAGCAATGTCCCGGATGTCTTCTATTAAATCTTATTTCGACACGAAAAAGCCCCCGTGGATCAACGTTGAAGCCCTAAGACAACAATATCCTTGGTCAGACTTTGTTGTGCAGGTGGTCGGATGGAGCCTGGCCCGCAAGAACGAGCTGGACGATATGATCAAATCCAGAGGGGGCATAGAGAAGCTCATCGATTCCCTCCTTGCTCAAGATTTCCAAGACGAGGCAGCTCTCGCCAAGAAACCCGCACAAGGACCAGAGTTAGCGGGTCTCGGGACTAAAGTGCAGGATACTCCTACCCTTAATATTGAAGGAGAGCAGGTTGAGGACACCGATAACAAATCTACACACCAGGCGCAGAAGGCGACGACCGGAAGTCTGCTGGGGAGAGCCATGAGAGCCAACATTGATAGACTCAAGGCTCTCAAAGCCGAGCATTCAGCACGTACACCAGGTGTCAAAGTGGATCACGCCGCTCCAAGTCCGCCAGAACCAGAGCATGAGATTTCACAGTCACCCTCACCAGTTGTACAGGAAACTCAACCAGCAGCTGTTGATGGAGGCGACAACCCAGAACAGAGTCTTCCTCCAGCTACGGCATCTGACGAAGAGATCGTCCCAACTCAGCAAACAAACATTGTCCTGGAAACTGTCCGGCGACAAAATGAACAGAGCGACAAGGAGAATAAGAATCAGACGGCGAAGAAGGCATCATTGTTCGACCGGCAAGAGGGAGCAGAGAGAGTGGAATGGGGCGAACCCTCCGACAATGATAATACCCCTCTTCCTCCACGCCAACTCTCGAAGCGTCGACTGCCTCAAACGGCGGGAGACGACATCGGGTATGACGAGTTTGAGACGGATAAAAGAGCAACAAAGAGAGCTAGGACTAGTGGTGACACCAGAGGGCAAGTACCTACGACCCGCCCGAGCCTCCCCGCCGAAGACGAGATTACCCTGACTATTAATAGTCAGGATGCTCGTCTCCCTGACGAATCGCGGACGGTTGCATTCTCGAATCGAGGTCAGCCTTCGAGACCAGCCCACACAACTCGCTCGCCGTTAACAGAAGCCCGCAAGCGCACGTTGCCAGTCCCATCACCACAGCCCGCACAACCCGGTACACAAACATCTCCATCACGTCGAGCACCTCTTGAATCCGTCCAGGCAGCCAAACGAAGACCGCCTTCTTCAAGTGCGCCCACTCGAACTCATCCTGAGAGTTTCAGGTCCTCGAGGCCACCATCAGAGGGACCACCACCCGCATCCCAAATTGACAACGTAAACCGGGAAGCTAAAGAGAGGATGCGCATGTCCCGCGAGTTGTTACCCGCTCCACGAGGCGGTCAAGTTCGCATAGCCTATACCGAGCGGGAGGTCAATCGATTGATGGAACTGGTTGAATTGCACGGGACACGGTGGGCGAGGATCTTGGAAGAAGACAACAGGCACGACGATGGGCCAATGTTGCAGGGCAGAACGCAGGTGCAGCTGAAGGACAAGGCGCGGAATATCAAGTTGGTTTTTCTCAAGTAAGCTTGCTTCCCTCCCCCATTTTACCCCCATCTCCTCGTTGTTACCGCATTCCGTCTTTTTCGTTCCCCTTTTCGCTTCGATGACCCTTGAGTTCTGTCCCCGGTCCTGTCATGCTGATTTCTTGCCAACAGGGCCGGTCGTCGCATACCTCCAGGATTCGAGGCCGTCAGTGTCGGCCAGAGGCAGATCAACGAGCTGCGGAAAGCCGGCATCGACTATGTTGAGGGTCAGAATGCAGCTCGCTATACCAGACGTCCGCCGGCGGCCAATGATGACGACAATGATGCTGACGACGACGATGATATCCAAGATGTTAATGACCTTTGAGGATCCAGCAGCTGCCATTCTATCTTGGTTGATTGGTTGATTGATTGGGTGGTTGTCTGCTTGTCTGTCACAACGGCCGGTGCGTTTCTTTCTCACATGTTCAAACGCACCGATATCTGCAATCGTCTGGTGTTTGGTTCTCTTGGCCCCTCGTGGCAGCGATACCCAATGACAGCTTGAGAATAGTCAAAGCTTGGTTAGACACGTTATAATATAGTTAACCAGAAATACCACCAGTCAAATGATTCCGCGTCCGTCTCTTTTCTTCTCTCTATCCCTATCTGCCCACTCCATCGCTCCTTGTGCTGTCGCACCATTGCGATAGCAGTGGCAATGGCAATGGCAGGGGCAGCGCCGCTCACCCGCCTCCCGTCCCAAGCACGAGCAATCCGATAGATACATCGAGCAGAGCAGAGCAGAGCAGAGCAGAGCAGAGCAGAGCAGAGCAGAGCAGAGCAGAGCAGAGCAGAGCAGAGCAGAGCAGAGCAGAGCAGAGCAGGCTGGTTCCCGACTGAAACAAGGGGAGTTTTGACGGCTGGAAATTCTGTATTTCACATTTTCCCCTATGGAAAAAGGTACCTCTGAAAAAAATATCGGTACTTTGTAGAAGAAACCCAAAACTAAGGGTCCAAGATGTAGATCAAAAAGGGCCGCAAGCCGCTGCCGGGTATTTCTTTTGTCATCCAAACCCATACATAACCATTCCGGTTCTTCATCCCATCCATCACACATGATCCGAAATCCAAAAAAAAAAACCCATGCTGATCCCGAGGTATCTGAAAGGACAGAAAAGTTTGATCTCCACGCTAGATCTCCTAATGTACAAAATCGCTCCCTTGGTGTTGAAAGGTCAACTCCAGACAAACATCCTCCCATTCACACTCCCCCTCCCGCGATTCAAGAAGTGAAATATCCTTCCTTTCCCTTGTAGGGAAGCTTCGTCAGAGTCGTAAGACATCGAGCCGTCCATGCCTCCTATTAGGATCCGCTGACCCACAGGACGCCATGCTGAGAAACAAGTCGCAAATACTCCGCTTGGACATTTCATCCCACCCATCGCCCCGGGCCCAGAAAATACACAAAACGCACAATGTGGAATAGGCACAGACCTCGGGCAAGGTATCTTGCTGCGCTCACATGTTCAACAGAAAGTCTGCCAGTGCTTTCTGCTGCTCAGTCCAAGTCTCTGGATGCTCAAGGTCCACTCCTAGTGCTTGAAGATGGAGCTGTTCGGTCGACAGCTGTGGTTTTTCGACTGGTTCGAAGGGTGACCCGTCCTCGCCCATGATGATGTCCAGATCATTGATGTTTTCGAATGGGGACATGTCTCCAAACCCGCTCAGATCAAGACCCTCAATTCCATCCAGGTTGACCTTCCATTGATCGTCTTCAGCCTTTTTCTCCACGGTTTCTTTCTTGTCCTGACGCGACGTGGTAGCTGCCGAGCCTTCCTTGTCACTGGCTATCTCTGGGCTTTTGGACTTCTCGGTAGACGTGTCAGTCAACGCGCCATTGGGGCCTTCAACTATCTTCTGCCATCGTTCGCTGGTGTTCCGATAGGCCTCGTAGAACTTTGACTGTTGCTCAAACAGCTTTTCCTCGGACGGAAAGAGCTCGTCCCAGTCGTCACCACCAAAGGCAACACGCAACTGATCCAATGTGATGTTGCTGTGTTTCCAAGGATCGTCATCTTCCATAGAGATATCACCGTCTCTAGCAGCTGTGCCTACAGGACCTTGACTGGGGATCTTGGCCATGGGTACAGGGGTGTCTGCAGAGCTCTCATTCTTAATGTTGCTCGGACCTGCGACTTTGCCCTCGGATTTGGGGAAGGTCTTCTTGATCTGCTGGAAATTCTCGTCTAGGTTAAAGGCAGAGCGCAGAGAATCGTGGAGAAAAGCAAGAGGATCAGTGACAGGCTCCATGTCCAACTTGTGGGCAACATTGTGATGGTGATCAAGTTCGGCTTGAGTTGCGAAGCCTTTGAGCTGATGATCACATCCATTCACAGGACACTTAAACATCTCGGCAGGCTTGGGTGTTTTCGTCGTCTGAGGAGAGGTAACCAGGGTAGGCGTCGTGGTCGTCGCACTTGTAGGTTGCTGTTGGTTCTTCTTTCGCCTCTTGGGGTCGGTAGGAAGCTTAAGGTCTTCTTGCTTCAGACCTGGGGTCGCGTACCTTGGTGTACCTTGCCCTCTTGGATCTCCAATTTGGAACGGTGGCTGGGTGGATGTTGGGGCAGGAGGAGCTTGGTTGACCTTGAGAGATTGTTTCCGTTCTTTCTCCTGCGCCTCAAGCAAACTGAGATTTTCCGGCGTGAGCTGTGCGGGCTGCGGGCGAGCTTTGTTGTTTGGTATTTGCGCGGCAGTTTGTTGGAACTTTGCAGTGATGTTGCTAACAATCCCTTCAGCGTTGTCGGCAGTAATGCTGAAGTGGTCGGCCGGTTCAAACGTCTTGTTCTGCAGCGATTGTGGTTTGTACTGCGAGAATAATTGTATCTTCTGGAGGACCAGTTGCTTGATGGCTGCATCATTTGGCTCGATGCGATAGAATGCGACAAGGAACGAGTCGAACCTGCCAAGCATATTCTTCACATTAACGGACGTCAAAAGCTCCGTGATGCGCTTTCTGCCGTTGGTATCCATGTTGGTGATGGGCCGCAGCTTGGGCATGCTGGCTTGAACTTCCTTTGTGAGTTCCATGATTTTCCGCATCGCAGCGTGCTGCAGCTGGTAGTTTTTGTACTGCTGTCTCTTTACCGGATCCAACGCATTGATCTGCTCTTTTGTCAAAGCTTGAAATCCTTGCGGCTTGTTGCCATTCACTTGCGGTTGGGCTTGTTTATTCTGCATTGGCATTTCGATCACATCGTCATCGCTGGGCCGTTTCAGAGTCTTGTTCTCAGGCTGCGCTGGGGTCTGCGGCGGGCGAGGTTGTCCTGGCGCTGAGACGGAAGGCTGCCGAATTTGCTGCTGAGCTTGCGCCGGAGATTGATTCTGTCCAGATGCTTGAACACCAAATTGCTGTCCCGGAAGGCTTGCTTGACCTGCTTGTGGCGGCATTGGCAGCCCTTGCTGTTGCATTCCTTGTTGGTTAGCTTGCTGCTGCATGTTCTTCGCCTGCACTTGACGATGGCGGTTGATGAGGATGGCTCTAATTTGCTCGTCCGGCATGTTCGCGACGCGAGGATTCGCAGCCCGAACCTTTTGAATATCGAAGGCAGTTGGGGTCCGGAATGGCATCGGTCCGGGAGGGGCAGCGGGAGCTTGGCCAGGAGCAGGTTGCATCGAAGGCTGAGGCACTGGCTGAGTCGCTTGTCCCAGAGCCTGGCCGGCCAGGGCATTTTGCTGCTGTTGTTGCTGCAGATTCTGGCCACGATTTTTCATGATGTGAGCGAAATGGTTCGCTTGGATGTCCAATACTTGAGGGATCGGCCAGTTCGCAACAGGATTCGAAAGCAGCCATTGTTTCAGTTGATACCAGGTCCGTATTTCGGGCAATGCAGCATGTTGTCTTATGCTGCTCAAGACGGTAGGCGGAACGGGTTGCTGATCCATCAACTTCATCTGCGGAGCCGTCAATTGTTGACGAGGGGCTTGTGGTTGTCCCTGGGTATTTGGGGGCCCTTGCTGCTGCTGCTGCTGCTGCTGCTGCTGTTGCTGCTTTTGCTGTTGCATCTGCATTTGGCGTTGCCTCATCATTTCCTGCTGGTTCTGTTGCATTTGTCCCTGGCTACCAGGCTGCATACCAGCCATGTCTTGACCCTGTTGAGATACGGCCCCAGCTGAGAGCGATTGCTGCATGGGCATTGCACCAATGTTAGCACCACCAATGAATGGACTGTTCTGCATTTGAGCCATTGGCGCTTGCTGCTGTTGCAGCTGCGGCTGCTGCGGCTGCTGTGATATGCTCCTTTTCATTTGACCACTCTTCTGAAATTGCTGTAGGATATTGCGCCATTCGCTTTGCGGCTTTTGACGGAGAATCGCTTGAAGGGGTACAGGAAAGCTAGCCAGTGCTTGTTCGCGCTTTTGCATTTCTTGCATGTGCTGTTGCTGCTGCTGCTGCTGTTGCTGGCCTTGTTGTACTGCGTTATTCATTTGCTGCATCTGCTGATTCATCAACGGAGTTCCAGAGCCAGGGCGGGGAACCGTTTGTGGGCTGGCACCCGAGACATTAGGCCCAACGGGCCGATTGATAGCAGAGAGGGGGGTGTTGGACTGAGGCATTGATTGCATATCCCGACGTTGACCGGCCATTTGTGCCTGGACAACTGCGGCTTGAGCGCGAGCTTGCGCTTGCGCCTGATTCTGTGCCTGAAGTTGGGCCTGCTGCAATTTCGTAGCCTGTGCTTGTTGGATGCGCTGTTGCTGCGCAATGAAGGCCGGGTTCAAGTTGTTAGCTTGGTTTTGTTGCCCCATACGCTGGTTAGCCATCATCTGCTGCTGGAGACGCAACTGGTCCGGCATCATGCCTTGCGCACTGCTGGCGGGAACGACCAATTCACCACCTTCTTGGGATCTTAGTCCTTCTGCTTGCTGGCCTTGGAAACGGCCCATGTCGCCCATTAGCGGATTCCCATTCACAGTCATTCCCTGTCCCATCGAGTTCGGAGTCGATTGATTTTGCATCTGCCCCATCATGTTGGCGGCATTATTTATCTGACCAGCATTTTCGGCGCCGCCCAGTCCTGCCTCTATCTGTTTTCGTCGCCGGAACTCTTTGGTTGCGAGCATACGGAAATAGTAAATAATTGGATCGACGGTCCTCTGAGCCAGGTTCTGCCGTAATTGTGGATTCATCTGCTCAACGATATTGCGCATCTCTTCCTTCGGGGTGCTTTTTGCAAGCTCAGCCGCCCTCAGGTTAATTGCCTTGTTGTCTTCTGCGGTCAACTCAGGCAGCTGGGTCTGCTTCTGCTGAACATTACCGGGCATCATGGCCACCATGGACTGGTTGGGGGCGGATTGGCTTGCTTGATTCATCATGGGCTGGGGTTGGTTGAAAACGGGCGAGTTGCGTAACCCCTGCTGCTGCTGTTGCTGTAGCTGCTGCAGGTGCGGGGGCAGCGACATGTTGTTCTGCATCTGCTGGTTGGGTTGCATCTGTGGCATGAAATTTTGGTTGGGCATTTGCATACCCTGCATGCCTTGCATAACGCCGGCGGCAGACTGATTCAGCTGCTGGGCTCGCTGGTCACGGATCCTCCCTAGCTTTTCGCTGCACTCCCGGACATAGTCCTCTCGGCTCGCAGACTGGGTGAAGCACTTGCGCTCGAACTGTAGAGCGACTTCGATCGCACGAGGGAGCTCAACCGGGGGTCGGACTAGACGGAGAGAATCAACGAGCAACTTGATCTGACCGGCTCGTTCGCGGATGTGGACGTTAGCCTGCCAGCCAGTGAAAGGGCCTTGGGAGTTCAACATGTCGAAGATGTGTTGCTGGACCGAAGGGTGGTTGAGGCTCATCTGTCCGGCCATCTGCGGAGGCATCGGTCTTGCCATTCCCGCACCCATCTGCCCGGCTCTGGGGTTCATTTGACCCATCTGCCCCATTTGTCCCATTTGTGCCGCCATCTGCCCGCCCATCTGATTTGCCATGGCCATTTGTTGCTGCATGTTGTTGGGCATGCCTCGACCCATGCCCACCATGTTCTGAAAGTGTTGTGGATTCATGGCTGCGGCCGAGGGTGGCGAGCGACGGGACGCTCAGGCTGAGTGGCCTCGATCAACGCATTCGGGACAGGTAAGGAGTATGTTGCGAAAGGACGGCTCGCGGGAGATGAGGAGTTGCCTTGAGTTCTGCAATGAACTCTACGGGAATCAATGGCGGGAGCTGGCAGGGGAGAGGAGAGAAAGATCGGTAAGGCAGGCTCTAGTCAGGCCCCCGTCACGGGAGGTGGTGACACAGGCAAAAAGGAAATGAGAGCCGAGTCTGGTTCGCGGTGAGGTTGGACGTCGATCAGGGTGACACGACGCCGACAATAAGGACACACAGGAGGAAGGTCAAGGAGGTCGTCAATGGTGTCAGGGGAGAGAATCTAGCGCACGTTGTCACTCTTGGACCACGGAGGAAGCGTAGAGAGAAGAGGATGAGTCTGGGGATGTGGGATGTATGCGTTGGTCGGACAGGAATACGGAACAATCGAGGCTGACACTAGCTCGAGGAAGACCGTGCAGCGGTGCCTTATGTGAGGACTTGGATGGGAGTCGAGGAGTGAGCTGCAATTGGGCGCCAACCGGGCGCGTCGTGGAGGAATCCAGGCCAACCCACTTTGCGATGAGGCTTGTCGGTGGCTTTTTAGCCTTGTCTACCAAGAACAAAGCGCGCGGGGGTGGTGCGAGGCACCTCTTGCGGGTTGGGTAATAGATATAAAAGAGTGAAGGAGTATCGCCGCGAGGGAGGCTGCCCACGGTAGAGCGATTTAGAGAGCCATCCGGAGTTATGACGGGGGATTCATGGAGGATAGAGAGCGAGGCGGACAGAGAGCAAGAGAGCAAGAGAGCGAGAAAAAGTCGCCGTCGCAGGTGACGAGGATGGAGCCCAGGATGGATGACTTTCGCCAAACAGGAACTAGTTGCTCGAGTGAATTCGCTACTGTAGCCAAAACTGATGTTTGTTAGGCTGAGGTGTGCAGGGCCCAGCGGTCTGAGTGGCCCGGAGCCTGCTAGTCCATCTGGCCCATGTCCCCCCGAGTCCACTCAATCAAGGCTCACTGGGCCCTAGTAGCCCCCCAGAGACGGACCCAGACAGGGTTCATAAGGCCATGGCATGTCCCTCGTTGTCCCTGACTGGGTGAGTGCGGTCTTCAAACATCACTACACCGTGTAAGAAGGGCACCTAGAAGTCCTGACCTGGGCCAATTTGCTAGGTCTAACACCTGTGAAAGCGCTCTCCGACTGCGACTGCGACTCGTACTCCTGCTGCAGCTTCTAAGAGGCGGGCCCTGAGGTAGGTATCTATGTATCTGGGTAGTGTGAAGGAAGACCACTGACTCTCCCACCCCTCAGGTTCCTTCCCCCCCCCCTCTCTTTGGGCCTTTGCCACCGCAACAATGACCTTGTGGGTGCCTAGAAAGCACGAAGCTCTGGGGGTCCTTTACCTAATGTTACCCTAAACTACATCTGCTATAGCGTTGCCGTGCTTTTCCTTGTCCTCCATCTGCCTTCCTACTGTCTCTCCATCCTTACTACACCGTACAACGTCACTCGTCTGATTGCAGACCTCTACCATTTCCTTTTTTCACGATTGTGCATAATCATTTCCCCCCCTTTCCGAACTCTTCCCACTTATCGCATTCCACTTGATCTGAGGCATTTACAGCAGTAGGACTGATTTGCCTCGATATACCATTTCGCTGACGTCCAGAACATAACTGCGCTTCCTGTGTCAGCTGCGATACCCCCGGTTTTGGTGGTGCCTTTTCGATATTATGCGCGACCGATCAATGGCCGGTATCAGCACTCTTTGTCATTAGCAAACCTCATTTCGGCATTTGGAATTGGGAGAAAATGGCATCCTCGGTGGGGTCCGACATCTTCGCATGCCTGGCTCTTTTGACCATCTCAGTCGCCGTCTTGTTCATCCTACGACACTACCTGCCTCTACGAACCACGCCCGCTTTCCTCCTCGTCCCGATTTTCCTTGCCCTAGTCCTACCCGCAAGCGCCCTCATTTTAGTTCCCATTGATCTCGCATCCAGCGCGCGAGAAAGCGATCATGGCGGGAAAGGAATATGGTTGCCCAAAAGAGCCGTTTTAGTTTCGTGGAGAATCGTCTACTGGTTGACTTTTGTCCTGACATGGGTCGTCTTGCCTCTGCTGGGGGAATACATGGACGCTGGGTACCGTGACCCCAAGTCCCGGCTGGTCTATTCTCTGCGTTCCAATGGCAGATACCAGCTGATCGTTTTGGTCTGCGCCATTGCCGGTTTGATCTACATGATCTTTTCCTATGGCTTCGACTTCACGGCAATCAGAGCCTTGGTCATGGCGCTGGCGTATGTCTGGGGTCTTGCTCTTGCCATCTATCTGATGGGCCACGGGCTAGTCTCCATCCCCAGGAGGATGTTCCGCAAGGCGGATATAAGCGGCAGCCTGCGCCGCGTCCAGGGCCAGGCTCCGAGGATTCATGAGAAGCTGGAAGACGCTATTGTGGCGCTCGATGAGCTGGAAGCGCAGGTGATGCAGCTCAAACAAAGGAAAACTGGGAGTGCCCGAGATTTTCAGGATTGGATTGATGAACTGGTCGACATGACCGGCCAGCCCGAGAGCCGAGTCTTTTCAAATGTCACCACCATCGATGCCTCTGCCAAAGTCCCCGCGGTCATTACCGAGAGATACCTGGCGGACTTGACTCGACGGCTAGTACGAGCTAAACACCGACGAGCGAGATACGTCCGCGAATGGGACAACATCGTCCAGACCGCTTCAGATCTACAGGCTATCCTCGATTCCAAAGCCTCTCGGAAACTGGACTTTGGTCGTTCCACGTCATCTTCACCCAAATGGTCTCTCATGACCCCGTCCATGCGCTACCATCTATACGTCCACCTCGTTCCCGCCGTCAGGATAGCTCTGGGAGCCGTCCTCTCCCTTGCATCGGTCGCTGTCATCTGGTCCGAAATTATCAAATTTCCTGCCCCGCACCTGTCGGCGGTCAGTCTGACGGTCATTCACCACCCGAGTGACAAGAACTATCAAATTGGCTTCGGCGGGCAACTCATCGCTTCCATGTGGATTGCCTATATGTGCATCTGCGCCCTGAGTAGCATGAACGACGTTCCTACATGGAACCAACGAGCCCTGGTCAGGAGGCACACCTACGCTGAATCGGCATGCTGGTACGCGGGACAGATTGCAAAACTGACAGTACCGCTGGCGTACAATTTCCTCACTTTCCTGCCCAAGAGCATTCACCAGAATTCAACGTTTTATGATTTCCTGGGGAGACTGATCAATCTGACGCCGCTGGGGACTTGGTTCGATTACCTGTTCCCAATGTTCGTCCTCTTGCCAGTGATCATGACATTATTTAATTTATATGGCAAGATCAAGAATGTGCTGGGTTTCGGCATATTGGAAATCGACGAGGACGAGGAGGACAATCCATCCGGTTTTGGAACCGGAGGCTGGCGCGAAGGACGAGATCTCATCGCACGAGATCTTCAGGGAAATCGACCAACGGCCACGTTGGGCATCACGGATTCTCCGCGGGCGTCTTTGGATAGGCCTCGCGCTGCACCGACCAGGTGGGTGCCTCCTGCTGATCGAGTTGGGCCTGGTAGCAACCGCACGACCGCCTCGGGTACGCCGCACCACTCATCATCGGGTGGTAGGTTCAGAGATAGACCCGCTCTGGAACCTGAGCCCGACGAGGAAAATTTCTTCACGCTGTTCGGACGAAGGGTGAAGAATACGATTGATACAATCGAAACGCCCAAGTGGATGCAAGCTTCGACCAGTCGAAGTGGAAGTGGTTCCGGGTTCAAACGGCCGCGATGGTTAGGCGGGTCAAGCAGTGAAGGCGGAAACAACGGCGAGAGTGACAGCGGTGGAAGTGGTGGTGAAGGCGGTTCGAACATCCTCGGATTGTTCGGTGGGAGGAACCAGGACGGGAGACTCATGATATGATGTGAACGAACTCAGCCTCTGCGTGACGCGGTAATTAGCAAGCACTGGATCAAAACCAATAGATACGTACCTAGGTACTTATCTCCGTATATATGTGTGTATGAACATGTTAGTTTCAGCTGTTCAATACCTAACCTCGCTGCATCAGCGTGTGGACAACGTGCGTACTACTGCCAGAACTGATACGTTCATATGCGGGCTGAGCTAGATACAGATATACAATAACTAATCCCCCGAACAATCCTCTTTCGCGCCCATTCGGCTGACTAATAGCCCGCCGCTTTACTCTCCCGCCAACGACTATTTAGTCGACTCGCTCCCTCGTCCGCTTCCTTCCTCTCCCCTCTACTCTCTTCTACAGCTATTCAACAACGGTCGAGGGGCGTAAGGAAGAGTCAAGCGAGTCGGAACGAGTTAGATCTAAGTTTGTTATTATCTGGACCCCTGATTCTTCGACTTGGTATCGTTTCTTTCGTCTGTTTGCCCGTTCTTAGACACATACAAAAACCAAGATCATGAACAGCACAAGAAGCACCGATACCATAAAAGATCTGGGATTACATATTACCAACATGATGACACCCTGGAGTGCAAAACCTATCTCAGAACTGAGTATTCATGGACTCTCCCCCCCAAGATCTCTGAGAAGGCGGTCTGCTTGACGTCGACACTCATCGCTGCCACGAGAGAGGACATTGTAGGCATCAATCGGATAGGCGAATCCTTTGTCGATCGCATTCCGACGGACATGTTCGGGAACGCCGTCCCTCAGGGTTTGGCCGTGGACAGTCGTCAGGGTCCTCGCTGCGAATCCGAAGGAACGCGACACCCCATCCCAAGGAAAGCCTGGGTTTCGTTCCAGCATCGCTCGAGCGTCTCTGTACAGGCACTTTGCAGTGCAGCGAACGACCCCAGGATCTTGCATGCATCGTGACAGGAAAACAAGAAACTGGTGCCGGCAGATGAAAATACGCTCGTCGCCAGCGTCAAAGCGGTCGAGGGCGTGTAAGACCAGCTTTTCGTATTCACTGGTGAGCGCCTGGAGATGGGAAGGTGTCATGTGCCAGCGGACGAGGTAATTTGTTTCCATCTGCGGGATTGTGAAGGTTTGCCTATGCCAGGAGGTTCTAAGGTGTTGAATTGCCTGAAAGTAACCTCGTTCAAGAAGCCGAGTCACTTCGTCCCGTGGAGCTCTGTACACAACCTCAACCAGGCAATTCAACACGAGGGACAAAGTCCTGGCCGAATGAGGTTGTGACGGAACTGAACCATGTTACACTTCAGCGGTAGCATTCCTACCTCGCCGTCAGGGCGCAAGTGTTCTGCGGTATGGTCTTCCCAATCCACCGTGCTCGTCCACCATTGGAAACACAAAAAGCAAAACTCTTTAAAACGACCAGCCGCATCGGGCGCGGGATTTTTGACAGTGGTAGACGTGAAGCCACCATGTCGCAAGCCTGTCCCTATTTTCGAGTCAGTGGTGGCACGCATGTTCCACTTGACAGAGAAATCACCTGCTCCTGAGTTGGCCGCAACCGTCACAGTTGGTGGACGAGCTGTTCAAGTTCGAACAGTGTGTCTATGTCTTTATCGACTGCATCAACTGAATCAAGTCACTCACGATCTGGATCCCGATTTCATCACGAAGACTTCTTTGAACAAGTTTTCCGCCAAGCGATCTCGTTCAGGCATTATTTTTCTTGTTTGCACAAAGTCCGATTCGAAAGGGTAGTGCTTCAACGTGTCACCATCTACCGATGCGCCAATTCTGTGTCCTCGCAGGAGCCGATCTCGCAACTGACGCCGCTGGTCGTACCGTCTCTGGCGTCTCTTGCGCTTGTCATTGTTACCGCTTGATGCGGCTATCTGAGTATCGCCTGGAGGATTGACCTGACCTGCTTGCTAACGGAGAGATTCTGGCGGTGCGGACCGATTGTACGCGGGTTCTGTGTGGTGGACGAGGTCTGAGATTGCGGAACGCGCCGCGCCGTTTGTGCCTGTTCCGGCCCTATCCTGCGCGATTTTTACGCCTTTTTTGGCGGCGATAATGGCACTTGGCTGCCCAGGCTGACTCTGTAGACATCTAAATTAGCTGTTCTAGGCTCATTATCCAATAGAAAATAGGTAGGAAGGAGAGCATTGTAGAAAAAGTCGGAAGTTGATTGGGTGCCAAGAAATTACTCAGCATTGTTGGCCACGCAGGGGATAGCCTGCGCTGCTCAGCCCTAACAACCTCCCCAGATGGCGTCCTAGCGCCACAAGGAAAGAATACGTCCAGAAAAGCCTACTCTGTCCTCTCCCGACGAAGAGGTGGCGCGCCGTCAGAACCCGGGCAGGCTCTGACTGCCTCCGATCTTACAACCGTCCAAATTTTTATTTAGTTCTACATTGGCAACAAGCAAGCTTCGGCGTGATAAGAAGTAAAAGAGGCCTACCGTCGACTGCGCCATCATCACAACGGAACAGTTCGTCGGCGGCTTTACTCACCTTACACGAACGAACATTGACGAGGAAGAATGGAGTGAAAGGATACAATGGAAGATCAAGGTCACTTTCCGAGCCAGGTTCTACAAGACCGAGGGCTGATAACATGTCTCACTGGGTTCGACAGATCTTGCTGACCCGTGAGAGGATTGCTACTGTTGCCAGGCAGCCTCGAGAAATCGACGGTCAAAACCCAGTAGATGACTACTGTACAGTTACATGTTGGTAAGAGATCGCAGTTCCCGCAGCATACCTTTCATCCAGTTCCATCGTCCGTGTCGGTTTTCCCTCGGCCTAAAAAAGACGCCCCTTTCAACTTTATCGGACTCATCAGTGCACCGTTTGTAGCATTTGACATCTTCCTCCTCCCACGCCTGGGGCGTCCTTTTGCCTCCATATCCTCCTTCAACTCCTGCTCAGCCGCAGCCGTCTGCCAGTCCCAGAGTCCAATCCCATCGAACAACGTCACATCTTCGTCCTTCCCAATGACGAGGACGCGTGGAAAGAGTGCCACCGTGGCCGGCTTAGCTTGAGAATCCTCCGGCGGTTCGCCATTGCTCAACGCGCTCAACACTTCCCAGCCCGGCTCGTCAATGTCGTCGACAGTTGCCTCAAATTTGACGCTGCTATTCTGTGTCTGTCGCCAAAGCTCCACCGCCTCTTTGAACAAGCCTAGCAACTCTCGGCGAAACGCATCCAGTGTATTATCGTTAATCCAAAAACCAAGGCTTTTGGCCACCGCACCGGTTGCTTCCTTGACAAGGCATTCCTCTGCGTCCCGCTGTTCTTTCTTTGTCCACGGTGATAGTAGGAGCGCGCGACACATCAACTCTTTTCGGCTGTCTTCCTCCGCCAGTCGTATGAGAAGCTCTTTAAAATCATCACTTGCAGTGGGCCTGTAAAAATAGAAAGGAGTAAAGATGCGGGTGGACAGCATTGAGGCGATGGTTGCAAGGGCAGCGGCTACGCGGGCCTTTTTTGCCGGTTCGGTGTTGCGAGTCGGAAGGGGGATAGTACCTTTGAGCCCGAGCTGGTCGATAAAGAGGTCCCATTGGGACGAGTCCTGTACAGGTTGAATCCGAGTTAGACGAATGCTCTTTGCGTGACCGAGGAGGTGGTAAGGAGTCAACTCACGAATAGGTCAGAAGATATATTCGACAGAAAAAATTTCGTGGCAAACTCTTTGAACTTCTCCCAAAGACCCTGCATGTTGTCGGAACTGATATTTGGGAATGTTATCCTTTTGGTCAAGGCACCAAGTAGACGCATAGCCATATGAGCTTACAACTCTTTGGTATCGACATCTTGAAGTTCTGCCACACAACTTTCATACTTGCTTATCTTTTCATCTTTCTCTTTCATCTTAGCTGTTAGCTCGTCCTCCCCCGTTTTAGCCTCCAGTAGCTTTGCGTTCAATGCCGCCTTTTCGTCCTCTAGAGCCTTTTTTTCAGCAGCCCATTTGACTAAACGTCCTTCGTATGTGTCAACGACCGCCTCATATCGCCGCTTCACGTTCCCCAGCTGTGCCGTCATACATTCCTGGATCGCGTCAACAAGTCCGTGGATTGGTTTGGAGACGCCAGAGAAATCGTCTAGCGTTAGGAGGTTCATTTCCTTGAAGTCAGTGGCCAGTGACGACGTTGCTCCCGGGTCATCTGATGCCTTTGCAGCATCCATGGTGGTAGGTTGATGGAGGTGCTCGGAGGAAGAGGAGCAAAGGGCAAGGGCATAGGCGCAGGTGCAGGCGCAGGAAGGATTTTAGATATACGCGTACAGGCCATCTTCAATAGGATTGATCAGAACCTCATGAGACACGTGAATGAAGAATGTCCCAAAACTTTGAGAACATCGTCCCATGCAGTTCGCCGTAGTGGGAAGTGAGGCTGCTTAGCTTGCGCAAAGGCTGTGCTGATATCCTGCGGAAGAGGGACACGTCGCGCATTAGACCCCACCTGTTCGTCCACACCCCGGTCGCCATTCCATCCACTCCAATGATCGGGTCAGCTTCATCCTGTTGTCAGGTGTCGGCTGGGTTGTGAAATGTTCGAGAGAGAAAAAAATATGCTTCATCCGCTCTCATTAGCCTCTGCTCCAATCCAAACGGTGCAGCAGAGTGGGGATTCGAGCGCTGTCCGCAGATGGCGCCCAATTTGTCCGCGTCACAGCATGCGCAAATCCGGGCTGGGGGATGATTGACAGCGGAGGCTTTGACAATGACCAGATGGCGAGCCAATAGCCGCAGCACAGCTGTAGTCAAGGCGATAAGGTGAAATCTCCACAGACTGAAGAGAATGGCTGCCGGTTCAGCGAAAGTAGTGTTAAATGCTGCCAAGGCGCTAGGAGGTCTCCCCGCAGTATACACCTCCCCACGGTGTGCACACGTTCGAGGCGCGTGCTACCCCTGCAACCCACTGACTAAATTGATCAATTGTGCAACCGACTGTGGTCTAAATTGCATGAAACTTGATGCATGAGAAAGGACCACTAGCTATGGGTATTGGCGCCCTCCCAAAGGCCAACCTTATACACTCCTTCCCGAAAGCGGTTGATATTTCTCCCACAGGAAGTGGAGGGGACACATTTGTCACGCTAGCCGGATATGCAATATCCGAATTATGAAGGTGAGTTTTGCTCTCTTTATGCTCTGCGGAACCTTCACTACTTTGCTTATTCCAGAGACAAAGCGTCAAATATTGGAGCAACTGGCAGAAAAGTACCACGGAGATAATGAGAGTATAAATATCTCACATACCGAGGAAGAGATCATCACGAAGAATAAATGAGGACAGCGAGGAAAGATGGCAGCTCTACAACTGCAGTGCTTGGATAAAGCGGGCCCATGCCCTATTCCCTTAACGAACGATCGGACAAGTTACTGAAGTTTTCCGCTAGGTTTTGTGGCTATGACTGCTGATGTCTTGGAACAACTTTTGATATTGAGTGGTAAAATCTACATGGATGCAAAAAGACAAACTAACGAAGTCGAACTGAAATAGAAATCATTTCCAAACAAATCAGCCTAACCAGCTGCAAACAAATATAATTCCTGAACTGCTGCCGCTCTGGGAATCTTGTTGAAAGAAGGGCTCGCAGAAGGACACAGAGGGCTATTGAGAGGAATATATGTCCCAAATCCGAACAGAGTGGGATCCGACTTTGACCAGGACAGGGCGCCATAATCGGCGAATTCAAGATTTTGAAAGGTCACCTGGCTGGCATCAGTGTGGGGATGTCCAAGATCTTCCAGTATGAGCCACCTTGGATGAGCATGATGCTCCGTGAACTGGGAATTTCGCTCTAGCCTCGTCGTTGGCGATCTGTTCTCCGCAGCTCGGTGACTGACTGCTAAATCTCCATATGATATCGAATTGCTTGGTAGGTGCCACGGTTGCAGAATGAAGTCCTGGTCCATTGACGGGGGTGTATGACATTTTAACTTAAACTTGATGGCTGAAGGCGACATGTCGGAGGGTATGGCACACCTATAAAGAAAGATCTGTTTATCCGTCCAATTTAATCGCCTCCTCGGACCAAAGGATAAGAGAAGAATACTTCTCTAGTAACAACAGTCCGGTTCGGATATTCAATGGCTTCTGGGGGGGAAAGATCTATTCGTATATCGTCGATTGGCACCAATGCGGTCGGTAGTTTGGGGACCAGATGTCCTATTTTCTCAAACACATCTTCTTTCGGTTCTCCACCTCCGCTGCCGTCGCTTATAAAGCTGTCATACTCTTTATTCTTCCTGCGATTGGCGCTTAAGAGTTGATCAAGTTCCGCACAGCGGCTATCCTATCACCATATCAGCACGATGAGTAGAGCGAAGAGGAGACCAGGTAATTACCGTCGCTCCCAGATCTAGTCCTTCTAG